ATAAGCTATTGAGGAAGTTTTAAAACATGAAATTAGCTAATTTCATTTTTAAGGATGTTGTCCTAACATAATTGAGGATATCAAACACCTGTTTATGGAAATGTCACACCGATCACCGGTGTGTACCCACACACACCTGTGGGTGCATATGCACTACAATTAATTACCATATGAGAAAGCGCTTGTGTGGGGTACTTAACTTTTTCCATATACATGTTGCTTGTTCTATCTTAGGATGAAATCAATGTAATCAATTAAAATAAAGCCATACGCTGTCTCTAGTGTCTACTGTTCGGGCATAAACAAATCTGTGAGCTGGCTTGGACAATGGCATACTATCATTGCATACCTCACATTTCCACTGTATCATCATTTCTCAAGATTCAGTCACTGGAATTCTAACTTCGGAAACTGTTAGAATACTGATTCCAGGGCCTGGACAGATAGCTTAGAGGATACAAGTACTTGCTGATCTTCCAGAGGACCTACATTTGGTTCCCAGCACCCATGCCTGCCAGCACCCATATAACTCCAGCTCTAGAGGACCCAACATTCTCTTCTGGTATACACAAACACATGAATAAAATTTTTTTAAAATCTGAAAAAATACTGATTATTGTGTCCCCCACACACTTAAGTGAATTTGGGAATGAAGGGTCAAGAGAACATCATTTAGATTATAACAGGAATCCATGTAACTCCTAAGCACATGGAAGTCTGGGCGTTACTGTATTGGTTTAAGCCTTCAAGGCAGGCCCCATTGGCTAGCACTGGACATATACAGTTAGTTTGTGGATGAATCAACAAGTCAATATAGAAATCCCCAGGACACATGAACTCAGACAACTTCCAATTATAATTCTCTGGGACTGTGAATTAGGTGTCCTTCTTTGATGGGAAGTAAACATCTGAAGCTATGGCAGGGACTCCATCTTGCCTCTCTATTTATCTCTATCATGCAGCTCACTGCCAAGGAAGCCTAGCACTCACTTCATATGAAGAATGTTCTGGTGTCAGCCACGGACAGAACAACCACAGAAGGTCCCCTTCTCAGGACCAATACTGTTTGGGAGAATCACTGTACTAGTGAGGGAACACAAGTAACTCAGATAGTTCTAGAACACTCCTAGTTGAGGGAAAGGAAGTTAGATGGGGTTACAAATGCCAAAGTTAGAATGAGATATAAATAAAATCACCAACTACTCTGTTGACTTCTCTGTCTTCTGAGATGTCCTATGGATGTGAACATTTTGTCTATTACTGGCAACTGTTTCGGAATAGAAACAATTTTGTCTCAAGGAAGCCAGAGACTTGCTGGATCGAGTTCATATAATGTTCCCTGTACTCAGTGGTGACCGCACAGGTGAGATTTATCTGTTGTGGGATATTTGTACACAGCGTGAAGGTATATTGCTGTGATTGGTGTAATAAAAAGCTGAAAGGCCAATAGCTAGACAGGAGGTATAGGTGGGATGTCCGGGCAGAGAAAGAAAGAGGAGGAGGAATCTAGGAGCACGGATTATGTGGGAGACGCCAGGAGACATGAAGATGAAACAGGATGTACAAGATGGAAGAGAGGTAATGCCATGTGATAGAACATAGATTAATAGAAATGGATTAAGTTATTTGAGCTAGTTAGGAACAAGCCTGAGATAGGCCAAGGTTTCATAATTAATAAGAAGTCTCCATGTTATTATTTGGGAGCTGGCTGGAGGGACACAGAAAGACTCATTACATTTGGCGCCCAACGTGGGGCATGTACACAAAACCATGGCAGCATACAGAAGTACAGCTTGTTTAAGAGGCCCTGCTATGAACAGTTGATGCCACAGTGCAGACACAGCAGCTTTCCAGAGCTGGGACAGTCAGGTGGACCTGAAGGGGCAGAGCCAGCCACCAACGCCATAAGCCAAAGCCACCTGGAAGTTATTCTGTGGCCCTACCAGGGAAGGCAGAAATGGACCAAACACTCATCAGGTCTGAGGTCTGCTGCTAAGACTTTTGTGCCTTTTTAGTAGCTTCCTGTCAGGTCAAGTTAGGGCACTGAAGGTATTTAATCATTTCTATTGGTGAAGATTAAAGGGCTTGTGATTTTTATTACTGGGTCAAATGCTTCTTTCTCATCAACTCTTGTAGTTCTTTCCTCTTGAGTACAGGTTTTCCATGTCTCTCTTTACCATGAGACAGCTAAGCAGCCAAGCTGAAGAGCAACACAGCATTTATGTCCCTGTCACTGAGAACTGGTTATTTCCTGTCAGTTTGAATCCTGACAGTAGGGCTTTATGGCCCCACAGTGTCTCATCCTAACCAGTACAGACTGCCATGCACTATGGACCTTGTTAAAGATTTACCCACTTTATGCTTCAACGACAGGGTGGCACATCCATATTCTGAAAACAGCTGATAAAGTAGTCTTTGTCACATGCTTAATTCTTACTCAGAGGTGGCGTCATTCATAGGTTTCCCTAAGGTATGTGTACATTTGACCTCAGACGCTAATTCATTAGGTTCTTATAACTACCTCAATCTGCAATTTAATCAGAAGTGCAAATGTGAGCCTCATGTTATCCCCACAGGGCAGGTTACTGGGAACTAGACTTTCAAATCCTAGATTGTTTTTGGCATTGTTGTGTTCCTTATCTAATTCCAAACAGAATACGGAGCTCCAAAGAATGACCTGGAACCAGCGCTGATGTGGGCTTAACCAAAGAGAAAACATGGTCATGCCTGTTTTCTTTTTCTTTTGGTTTTTCCAGACAGGGTTTCTCTGTGTAGTTTTGGTGCCTGTCGTGGATCTCGCTCTGTAGACCAAGCTGGCCTCGAACACACAGAGAACTGCCTGGCTCTGCCTCCCGAGTGCTGGGATTAAAGGCGTGCACCACCACCACCTGGCAATAAGGCCTGTTTTCAAGGAAACCAGTCTCTTCAGGCATTTCATGGTGTGAAAATGGAGTAATCACTAAACACTACGGAGTAGACAACTTATGTTCTCCTCAAGAATAATTAGAAAATTTCACTTACCTTGGTTAAACCTATTTTAATGCTATTCTTTTTTAAAGATTTATTTTATTCCTGTGTATGTATTTGTGGGTGTGTCTGAGTATATATGCACATGAGTGCAGGTATCCACAGAGACCAGAAGAGGGCGTCATATCCCTTGGAGTCAGAGTTACAGGTGGCTGTGAGCCCCCCAATGTGGGTGCTGGGAACTGAACTCAGGTCTTCATGATTGAGCAGCCAGCACTCTTAATAGCCAAGTTGTCCCTCAAGCCCTATTTTAACTTTAAACTTCATGAAGTGCACACAATATACTTTCTTTCTTTTTCATATTTAGCTTTTAATTTTGAGAGCCATTTGAGACTAGACAATTTATAATAGCAGTTCTTAATTTTTTGTATTTAAGAGCCCCTTTATAAAAGGTAGTGTTTGATTTTTTGTTGTTGTTGTTTTTGAGACACAGTTTCTCTTCATAGCCATGGCTGTCCTAGAACTCAATATGAAGACCAGGCTGGCCTTGAACACATAGAGATCATCCTGCCTTTGCTTCCCTAGTACTGGGATTAAAGGTGTGTGCAACTGTGCTTGGTATAAAAAAGATTTTATGTTTAATTGTGTGTGTGTGTGTGTGTGTGTGTGTGTGTGTGTGTGTGTGTGTGAATAAAAATGCCTGGAGTCCAGAAGAGGGTACTGAACTCCCTGGAGCTGTAGTTACAGGTGGTTGTGAATCACCTGATGAAATCTGGGTCCTCTGCGAGAGCAGTAAGCACTTGTAACTCCTGAGCCATCTCTCCAGTCCCTTCTACATCTTAAATTTTACTGAAGACCACAAAGAACTTTCCATTATTAAAACCTGGATCCTCCCACCTTCTATACTCAGTCTGTTTCATGAGTGAACTGATGCATGAGAGGAATCCAGCATTGTACCAGCACTCAGTAAGGGCCTCATGAGCTTCTGTCTTGATGTTTGTTCATGGACCCTTCCCTCTGGCATGAAAACAATCAAGAACTATAAAATGTATGACACCACACCATGGTCCCCAAGTCAAGGTAAGACAATTTCAATGGAGGCAGAGGGTATGCACTCCTCTGTGTTGATTTTTTTTCTCTCCAAATGAAGAATTGGATAACTTTTTTTTATCTTTTTCCTTAGAAGATGGCAGGACTAAAAAGATTTCCTTTTCTTCTTTTGCTCTCCTCTGGCTTTGTGGGGAGGGAGGGAGGCACAGGAACACAGCTGTGTTCTTGAAGCAGAGAGTCCCAGAACAGAGAATGTAGTGAATCAAAGTGGGAAACTGGCATTTGCTCATATTCCCAGCTTTCTATCAAAGCCGTCCCCTTACACATAAGTGACCACACGGCTGTGCTGTTTTGTGAAGTTTACAGAAAATGCTTGTTTTATAGTCTCTACAGAGATGGACTAGGTGGCCCTGGGCCTCAGCACTGAGGTAGAGGCAGGAACCGGGCCCTACAACAGGATGCTAGGGTCAGGAGTCAAGCCTGTTCTGCTGGGCTTTGCCTGTCTGCTGGGGAGGAGTGCCTAGAATCAGACACTCGTTAAAATTAAAGGCAGATTAAGGCAGTAATGAAACTCACGATCCAGAGATATTGGTAGAAAGGCTAAGAAGCACAACCTAAGATGTGCTGGACCTTTGTTTGACATAAGTACTCAAGCACGCCATCCCTCCAGGAGGCCTGGCTCAGGAGAGCAGCAGAGCTTTGCCTGCCACCTTTCAGCTGTCTGGGGAGGAAGGCCCTGAGTCGATGCACTCACAGCGGGCAGCAGGCTCTGAGTATCTTTACACAGCGATGTGTTCTGAGAAACGTGGGCCTTGGGTGATTTTCTTGCTGGAGGACCATCTCAAGGAGTGTCTAAAGAGCATGATTACAATGTTCCTAGGTGATAAAGTCTGGAGGGATCACCTTCCTGTATGCATCTATTAGCGACATCAATGTCATGTGGTGTGTGACTGTACTTAGCCCACCTGAGCCACAGCACTCACCTCATTGAAATGGACATCCTGCATCCCAACGTCTTCCATCATGGAAGCCTCTTCATCGATGTTCGGTGTGATAACCCGGAAGGCTGTGCATCCCTGTCTGAACATGCCTAGGCGGAGAGAAAGCAGAGGGAGAGCTGCCAACCTGAGTGTGGCTGGAACTCTCGGGTTCTTCCTCCCTGTGCATTTCTCTGTTGAAACCTGGATCCTCCTACCTTCTAGGGCCAGTCTGTTTCACGTTTGAAGTAAAAGACTGACAAGGAGATCTGTCATGGGTCAGCCCAGAGTCCACACGGGAGGCTGGGGACCAGCATGTCCTCTCTCCATCCATTTCCCCACATTTAACCTTCCCCACTTTGCTTCTCAACTCCTTGTAATTTCTTCCCCATTTTAATTAAAATCCATTCAATCTTCAAATAAACCACACGCTGAAAAATCATAACTGAGTCAAGCTAGTGGTAATTTAACAAGGAAATGTTTGGTCAAAGGATCCATAGTCAGACACCAAGAAAAAGAAGGTAGCCAAAGCCAATGAAAGAGAAGTAAGTGGCCCCAGATCAACTGCTTCCTTCACGTAGTGATCATCTCACCTACTCGGGGAGGAAAACCCACACCTCGGGCTGGAGCCCTCCCGACTCCCTCCAGTAACACAGATAATCCAACAGTCAGGGGTCTGCAGGCTGAGGTGCTGCTTGGGGTGAAGAGAAGCCCTTTTGTTTGGGAAGTGGAGAGCTACAGTGCCAGGGCCTCAAGGGAGATCAGCTTCCGGGGAAGTGTCCACTCCTTGAGCAGTGACAGCTCAGGTCGGACACTGGGACAGTTTTAGGCCAGTTCAACATCAGCTGTGTGATGTATCAGCGAGGGAGGACTTGAAATGTTCAGCCACTCTAGTTTGAGATGCTCCTTCATGATTTTAGGAAAAAGAAACAGAGTATTTTGAAATCAGGCTTTTAAAAGTAGAACCCCAAAGCAGAGATTTTCCTGCCACACATGTGTCCAGGCTTCCAGTCAATCCCGAGGCAGCCGTTTCCACCACGGTCCTCATACAGCCTTGCTTTGATCTGGCAATAGAGAAAGCAAAGAATCCCCAAAGAAAAGCTGTGACCCAGGAACTTGAGGACACGTTGATATGCCGGAAACAAAGATATAAAAAATCAACGCTGGTGTTGAGGTCAACGGAACAACAAGCATGTTGATGAGAATGCTTCCCTTCGCTGCACAGAGCAAAGGCTGTGAGTGACACAGAGCCCAGGTACAGAAGGAGAGGGCGGAATTGAAACAGAAACCACCAGAGCCCTGGAATGGCATGTGAACAGAGCGGTTGGGGACCCTTGGGAGCTGGGAGATCCTCAGGCTCACCTCCCCGGCTCTTCCTCTGGCACGGGTTATGGCTGTGGGGGAAGACAGATGGTTCCCGCTGGAGTGCTAGGTCAGCTTCTAAACACGAGGAAACGCATCACCCAATAAAGAGACTCAGCAGGAAATAACATATGAACATGGCCCCTTTGATTGCTTCTCTCATTCTGACTCTGATGTATGACAAACCCATTCTACAAAATAGACATTTCATGGCCTTGGCATCTGCCACTTTATAATGCTTCTCACTTTGTAAAAGCACTCCTCATTAGCCTGGATCAGACACTCATATTCTTCAGTATTGTGTGTACAGATTACCAGCTTTCCCAGAACCTCAGTATTCCAAAATGAGATGCTACCCTTGAAGGCTGCCGCAAGTAACTGGTGTTTAACCACGAGGAACCATGAACGAACTCATGGGAACAAGTGCATAATACACAATTATGGAGTGTAACTTGCCCCGACCTCTGGTTAGCATAATTGCCTTTTCCCATGATAAAGCCCACAGGGCTGCATTCCAGAAAATCTGTTCAATAACTTCCCGTTAAAACTGTCACTTGATTGATAAACAGTTCTGGTGAGAATTATCTTAAGGGAAAATAAAGTCATTTCAGCTCTACATTAGCTGGTCAGGAACAGCCAGATGCAAGGCTCATCAGCTATGTTTTGCAGAACAGCACGAGGCTAGGACAACATGCCGTGTTCTCTTCTGAAGATTGGCATTTTTTGCTTTGCCCATGGAGGCAATCAAATGCCGTAACTGGAGATAAAGCAACCGGCAGCACACCTGTGTGCACGAGATTCCTTGCCTCCAGATCCACCCGCACAGCCCCCTGCACAAGGCCCAGGCATCACTCCTTACCCTTCCTCGTGAGATACTCTGCCACCAAGGCTGTTACGTGGACATAGCACATGGCTGCCTGTAAGAGAGAACAAAGCAAGCGGCTCAGAATAGTCCCGGAGAACCTGACGTCTTCGGAAGGCGTACACTTTTGCTAGCACCTAGGATACCAACTATTAACAGCTTTTTGAAAAAAGGAGTCCCTCACATATGAACTGACACTTAGGAGCTGAAAAGTGAGGCACATTTACAATTACTGCATTTTAACATAAAAGACAAAACCAGCATTTTGAGAATTATACCATTTGTCTCAAAGCAAAACAAATATTTAGAGAAAAAAATTTCTTCCCAGACTCACATTTCAGGTGCTAATAAATTTTCCTTTTAACTTTATTTTTAAACATTTATTTTTATTTATTTTGCGTGTGTGTGTGTGTGTGTGTGTGTGTGTGTGTGTGTGTGTGTGAGAGAGAGAGAGAGAGAGAGAGAGAGAGAGAGAGAGAGAGAGAATTTGTGCCAAATTCCACCTCTACATGTGTTCAGGTGCCTGTAAGAGGGATCTGGATCTCTCAGAGTTGGAGTTATAGGTGGCTGGCTACATGTGCTCAATGCAGGTGCTGGGAACTGAACTTGGATGCTCTGGAGGAGCAGGATGTGCTCTTAACTGCTGAGCCATCTCTCCAGCCCATTTTCTTTCAACTTGAACAGGGAAGGCTGCAATTTTTTTTTTTTCAAAACACAATTCTAAATCAGAATCTGGGCTGGAGCATGGGCTCAGTAGTAGTGTGTGTGGTTGGCACACCTTAGCTTCAAGTCCCCCTGCCCCAACCACAAAGATCAATACTAGAGATGACAACACATAAATCCTCTCACTAAGTTGCCCCGTTATTATCAAAACTAAAGGTGAGTGTTTGAAGTGAGACCATGATTCTAGCACAGGCACTGTCTTCAGTTGGGTGGCTGCCACCATGTGGTGTACTTAGGTAGTGAACACACATGTACACAGGCTGCCTGTGCCTCGCCTGCGGAGGAGAGCTTCTGGGAGTTACACTCACCATGTTATCCCACTGTAACAAGACGAGCTCACGCCTTGCACGGTACACCTGTTTCTACAGCACACAGCTGGAGAACAGTCACGGAGCAGGGGGACAAGTGAATGACGGCTTTCCGAGCAAGAGCACACCAACTATGGTGGCAGCAATAGCATGAATGAACTGTCCTGGTCCCTTAGTCACAGAGTGTACTGGATTATACAGTCTTCCCCCCTCCCCCAAATCCATGACCTCCCTGAGACCTCATGATGGTCATTTTTAAATGTCACCTTGCCACGACCTAGAAATACATGGGAAGAGAGTCTTACTGAGGAATCACCTACATCAGACCGGCCCAGGGACATGTCAGCAGGGGACTGCCTCACTTGATGCAAGACCCACTCTGAGTGTCAGTAGGACCATTTCATGGACTGTCGACTGGAGTAGTCGAGCCGAGCAACAAGCAGGCCGGCAGCATGGGTGCAAAGGTTTCTTTCTCTCTGCTCTTGACCGGAGCTGTGACGTGACCAGCTGTTCGAGGTCCTGCCTTGAATTCCCCCTCAATGATGTTCTGTGAGCCAGAGATGTACTTTCTTCCCTAAGCTGCTTTTGGGTATTTTCTCATGGCCACAGAAATGAAACAGAACAGGTCTCATAATGTGACACAATTTGGAAATAGGACTGTTGTTACTAGTTAAATGAAGTCACTAGTACTGGGTGGTGTAGTGATATATTGTGTACCCTAATAAAATTTGCCTGAAGATCACCACTGCCAGGCAGTTGTGGCACGCACCTTTAATCCTAGCACTCGGGAGGCAGAGATCGGTCTGGATCTCTGCGAGTTCAAAGCTACCCTGGACTCCATGAGATTGACTCAGTCTAGGAGAGAAACAGAGCCAGGCATGGTGGCACTCACCTTTAATCCCGGCACTTGAGATCTGCCTTTGCTTGGGAAGCGCCAAGAAGGAAGTGATATGGTGGGCCGAGAAAGGTATATAAGACACGAGGAGACAGGAACTAAAGCTTTTTGGCTGAAAGCGTCCTTTTCGGGCTGAGGAGTCCTAGAGGTGAGCTGTGGCAGTGGCTTGTTCGTCTCTCTGATCTTTCAACCCCAATATCCGGCTCCAGGTTTTTATTATTAAATGGTCAATTTATGCTTCGAGCAACAGGGTAGGCCCTGAATTCAGTACAACTGTGCCGTAAGGGGGAAGAGATTCGGGAGTACAGACCCGCAGTGGAGACTCCATGCGACAGTGGAGCCGACTGGAGAGATTTGCCCACAAGGCAATGAACACCAGGGAATGCCGGCACCGTGAGCAGCTTGGAGAGAGGCAGGGTCACACTTTCCCCTGGGATGCTCAGAAAGCAGCCCCTACCAACACCGAGATTCCGACCCTTGCCTCCCCCTGTAAGGGAACACACTTCTGTTTGATAAGGCACCCATCTGTACTAGTGTTGCAGGGGTCTGAGTGAACGCAGACTACAGCTGAACCTGGAAAGGGCTCTTCCCGCTTATAAGAAACCCGGGCCACAAAAATCACGTAAAAAGTCGTAAATTCTGAGAATGATAGGAAAATTACTACTGTAACTTTCTTTTTACAATAGCCACGGTGCAGTTTAGTTACATTTATAGTGAAGCAGAAGGGACCGTGTACGCTTCAACATGTCACCCTGATGAACCGTGACCAGCCTTTCAGACTTAGAATCTTCATCACTAAGATAGCCATGAGCAGCCAAGGTCAGAGTGAAAACCCTTGTTTTGGCGATACTGCTGCCATTAGCAGATGTGTCCAGCCACAAACCCTGAGCAGTGGTCCCACAGGAATACAGAACCTGTGTGTAGCCATTAGCGTCCTTGAATTTATCATTTTACATATGACACCATCAAGGCACAAAGGGACTCAAAGTGGTGCAACGTCACAGAGTTTGGAAACGTGTGATCCTGGGTTTGAAGTTTCTCTCTCATGCCTATTCCCAGTCATGCTGTCTACATACTGAAATGTGTCTGCTCTGAACAGATGGGAATGTTTAAGTATCCACACATCCACAGCAGGAGAATGGGATGCCCTACCATTATCACAACAGCAGGAAAAGCTGATCCTACCATGAAATAGAACCACAGAGGAGTTTTGGTGCAGGAAAATGTACTTTAAGTAGCAAGCAACTAAATAAATCTGTTTCCTTGTAATCTGTTTCCAATGAGCAAAATGGCCAGACAATTGCAAAATCATCCCAGCCTAGAACTCCTATTCAAGTATGTGCTTAAGGCACCAAGTTGTTTCCATTGGCTTCTTTTGATTAATGGGTACAATTTTCCTCAAAGGTACCTTCAGAGAATGAATAGAGTATAATTGTTTCTCAAGAACTCAGGCAGGCAGGGCTCCCTACCTCTGAGAGATCTCCATTTTTAACATGGATCCTCGCCATGCTGTCCAACCATGTCTTCCTGAGCTCAGGGGTGCTGGCATAGGACTTAGCCAGGCTGTACTGGAGGTCCACCAGCATCTCTGGGTCATTCTCATGCTCCTTCATCTGGGCTGTGGCCATCAGGACTGTGCGGATCCTCTTGGTCAAATCTTTCACGTCAGAGGCGAAGCTGGTGTGCTAGACAAGCGGAGAGGAGAAAGGACTCATGACTTGCACCCACTTTCTCCTCGACACACACATCCTAGGATGAGGCAGTCTTGGGGGTGAAAACGGGAAGTCACTCACCTTGATGAGCCGGTCACTGTTGGCACAGTTGTTGATGATGGACAAGGACTGCTGGAATCTGGTTCCTCCAATGCCAACCACGTCTGCAATCAGTTGGCTGACAGAAATGATGACCTTAGGGGCAGAAACACAAACAAATCAGTTCTTCAGATGATGGTCAGGCTCAGCTTCGGGGTTCAGTTAGGATGTGCACAAAGCCAACGTGAAGGCGAGATGCGCGGGGTGGGGACCACACCAGTGTGGGGAGCAGTGGCTGAGATTCCTTTTTTTTTAAGCACTTTCAATTATCACTTAGAATATGATTGTTTTCCGAATGTGTTCAGCTCATAAATTAAAAGGTGAATCAGAAAGAGCACAGAAGAACAAGAAGCAGATAGGTCCACGCCACTCGGATCGCCACTTACCCACCGCACTCTGCAGTGAGGGGAGACCTTATTCTCTCCTCAGTGTTTGTTCTGAGATTATGTGGAAGGTTCTGTGCACTTTTTTAACAGAACATGCAGGTGTTAAATATACTAATACAATAGGCAACCCGCCTTTTCTGAAGTCCATGGATAGCATGGCCTTGACTCAGGTGTCTGGGATCAAACATGGAGGCCACCCTTACTTCCTCTTCCTTCACAGGATGCAAGCACAACCATGGAGAATGTCAACTGAATCCCCTCTTCTTCCTATCTCACCATCCCTCATCCACAATATCGTCCTCTCTGTCCTCGACTGGACAATGTTCTCTGTGTGGACCTTCTAAGATCTGCTCTTAAAACTGAAGTTCAGGTGGGTCTTCCAACTGTACAAAGATTTGGAGACATCACAGCACATCTTCTGTAACTTCTCACCTGCATTCTAAACATGAAGGGACTTCTCTAGTTTCCCAGATGGGTAATTCTCATGGTGCATCCATGACCCAGAACATGTCTGCTACCCTTCAACCTAGGCTCCATCCTCATCCTTCAGGTCTGCAGAGAAGCTGTCCCTGCTCCCCAGAATCCCCAACCAGATCCTGGTGCCCTCAAGTTCTTCTGTGGGAACACTAGCCAACCATACTGTAAGGGCCGTGGGTTTGTCTGAGGCCTCCCTGAATGCACACTCCATGAGGGCCAGGAGAGGATCTGCTGTTCTGCTCCTGGTTGTGGTCATTAATTCTAGCACATTAGGTCTGTGGACAATGACTATGATGTTAACAAAGGGACAAAAGGGCTCTCCTGTCACATGCACATAAAAAACACATCTGTGAGGACAGAGTTCTTCTATTATCTCAGCTGGTTCTCAGAGCAGAGAACTCTGGATGTTTTTACTGGACACACAAGAGAGGTACTCATGAACAGAAGACAGGAAAACCTACTTTGGGGTTTTTGTTTTTTTAAGGTATTTAATATTAAGTACCTTGAGCCAACAGAAGATCAGTCAGTTCAATATTGATTCAATATCTAGATATCAAGCCAGTGATAAAACACACCCCAGGCCAGGTCTTACAGTATGGAATATGAAACAATCACAACCAGTACATGTGACTTCCCAACATTCCACTTACAGCCTTTGGTAGCACTTAGGAGGTGTGCTGGTCGACGTGACCCTCAAGGAGATAGGATTCCACTAGGTACCTGTGCCCTGACGGAGCCAGAGTACACACCTGTAAGTGTGTCCGGACAAAGGACTTCTTCCCCGTGTAGTCAAAGTTGTTCCTCATCAGGAAGTACAGCAGCTGGGAAGCGTCGGTCCGGATAGAGCCCAGTTTGGAGTTACAGCATTTGAGCACCTCGTAGCACAGAGAGGCACACATGTCTGCTCGCCCCTCATAGAACGTTGAGGGGAACTAGAACAGAACACAGACCAGCGAGGTCAGCACTCCCAGATGTCCTCAGCTCCAGGCAGAAGGCGAGAAACCTGGAACCATCAGTACAACCGTGGCCTCAAAGTAACTTACCTTATAAATTAATGACCTTAAGGCAGTAAAGACATTTTTTAAAGCCATTTCTGACTGGTGTTTTTGAAGAAAACACAGGTAGACATCAAAAACTTTCTTCATGAGAGGATTATGTCCATGGTCAGCCAAGAGCTGGTTCTGAAAACACACATTGACATCACTGTTAGAGAGGCATGTCTAACATCTCAAAGGCGTCACACAACGTAGAGTCTCAAAGACTATCTCCCGAGCACAGAGATAAAAATTTCTGCTACAAGTGGCCCAAGGAAAGCACAGAATGCTCCTGTAGTTCAAGCAAGTCCATCAGAACATGGACCGCTTGGGGAAGGTATCCTAGAAAACTGCAGTATGGCTGACAGGCTCAGTGCTAACTGTGTTGACACACACGAATTTTATCGGCTGACTCTGGTGGTGATATTTGGGGGTGTCTTACTTCTAACATGGGGTGCCATTTCAGGTGTCAGTGTACTGATGGGCGGGGACAACCCTGACGTAAGGACCATGAATCCTGTCCTCCCAAAGTGACGGCCTTCCCCAGCCTGGCGTCCTGGGCATTGAGCTTTCCTATAATCAGACAGTTTGAAGGGACAGCATGCATAGGCTTTGGCCGGGCACCACACAGGTAAACTGAGCCTGACGGTCTCGTTTGTGAGTCAGCAACTCTAAAACTACCTGGTGTTCCGACTGTAACAAACTGAGGTCAGAAATCCCAGAATGGAGAAAGGAGGTAGGTACAAAACCAGCCACAGTTATTAGCGGCCAGGAGAGGGAGGGATGCCCATGATGCTCTTGGGCTGTAAGTAGCCTTCCTGCCTGTGTGCCTGCTCTGCACAGGTCCTTCCTCCAAAGTCTCCTGCCTCTTCTCATGGCAGGGTCCAGTCAGAGAGCAAGGAGACACGTTGCCACTGCTGCTCGGGACTAAAGGATCTGTGCTCAACACAAACACAATGCACATGGCTGAACATATTCACACTCAGAACCTTCACTGCCTAGACTTTCACACTAAAATTATACAGAGAGAGATTCCAAGATCTCTCTGTGGTTCTAGCAGAGCGCGCTTCTCCAACCGTGGGGTTTGGACCTCACACTTGGAGCAGGACTCCATGAAAGCAGGCATTGCTCCCACAGATGCGTTTGCTGAGTGTGGGTATTCCCCTGTGTCTCAACTGAGTTCCTAGTAACATGCTTAATGGGGGACGGGGAGCATGTCACCCAAGGAGAGAACACACTATAGTAACATGTGACATGATATTGGGGGGAGATCATTATTTTTAGTGTCACTAGTAAAGCAAAAGCAATTCTTTTAAGCTAGTCTCATGTAGCCCAGGCTGGCCTCGCCCTCTATGTAGACAAGGATGACCTTGGACTTGTGATCCTCCATCTCTATCTCCCAGGTGATAGGATTACATGCACGCACTGCCCCATCTGGACTAGGATACTGGCGATCAAACCTAGAGCCTCATGCATTCTAGGCAAATACTGTAACAATCGATCTATGCCCTCAGCCCAAGAAGTGTGTTTCACAATAAGTAGAGAAAACACAAAGGAGCATGACCCTGGATACTGTTCCCTAATACCCTTGTAATTAAACATATGGCTCCAATACTCATAGATATTAACACCAACTCAATGTCTGTTTCTATACGAGAAATAGAAAGGACCGTTGACTGGAAGTGTTAGGCTCCTAACAAGACAGAACACGGTGCAATGGTATATATGTATAAATATATCACAATTAAACCCATCATGTTGTATACTAACTAAAAAAATGTTTTCTAAACTGGGTTTGTACCTCTTCCTTCTACAAAAAAACACAGGGAGACTTGCAGAACCTGCACCAGTGACTTAATTATTATTTGCTATATTTAAGAACAAGACCAAAACTCTTTCATTTCTTTTCCATGACATACTTTCGCCATTTAATTTAGTAATAAATGAATAATTTGAAAAGATGAGTTTACGCTTAACTCACCTCTCTCTTTAAATATCTAATTGAAGACATTTGGCTTTGCTTAAGATACTCAGAGCAGAAACGTCTGGTTAGGTTCCCACATTTATCATATGGAGGGCTTAGGATAAACACTCTTCTAGCCAAGACAGCTGCCTCCAGGGACAGCCTCTGGCATTTCCAACCTCGCAGCACCCGTGGGCTGCGTAAGCTTTATTCTATATAAGAATGGGAAGTGCAGTCACTCACTACGAGAAAGCTTTTCAGGGAGCCTAGAGATTAGCAGTCTCCTTATAGGAGCAAAAGCAGCTGAAGTGAAAACACACCAGGCATGTGTGTTGATTGAGCTTTATAAGCAGGGGACTTAGCAGGTAAAAACTCTGACCTTGAACAGTGTGTGTCTAATACAAACCTTAAAAGCCAGTGTGAACAGAGAGAGCGTGTCCAGGGTGGTGAGGCAAACCTCGGTAGCAATGTTGGCTTCGAGAAGTGACTGGTGAAGGACATCCGCCTCTGAGTGGCCATAGCCTGTGTGAATCGACACAGCATTACTATCTGGGGGTTCAGGCAACAGGTCTGGTGGGATATGACAGTGACAGTCAACTTTGGATTATTTACAGAAGGTCCTCTTCTCAGGGCCCATCTCCCTCTTTGCTTTTGTAGGGAGTTGGCATTAACAATGTTTCCATTCAATGATGCCTCTTTTCCAACTCTGGAGGCTCAGTGACAGCAGCAGTCATTTACAGTGTGCTCGCTGGGTGTCAGCTGAGTCTGGGAATGCCATCATGATATTATCTCGTCACTGGGCAGCCCTGGGAAGTATGCACCTTGTTAAATACCTTTTGCAGACAAGGAAAGAGGCACAGGTAAGCTACAGGGCTTGACCAAGATCATCAGGTGGTAAGGTGGTAGTGCCAGCACATCCACCAAAACCAGTCGCAGTGTACCAGCTGGACGACTGAGCTGTCACAATGGCAGGGGTGCAACAACGTCCCAAGCACCCCATGGTGAAAGGATGGAGATGGAGCTGATGGCTGGCCACTCCACCTAGCTCTACAACTTACTCTCTGGTGTTAGGCAAGTCAGCTGATCCCTTTACACTTCAGCATCCCCATCGGTAGAACAGGGACAAAGTATCCACACTTCAAAGGGCTGTAGTGAGGATAAATTCATCAGTATTGTGAGGTTCACAGAAATGTGCCCAGGACAAAGTGAGTGACATAAAACACTAAGTCAGTAGCACCAAGGCCTGCATTTAGTAGAATCATGAGTGATAATCAAGAGTTGACTGTACTGTAAATAGTCTTCTACTTGCTTTAATAAAAAGCATAAAAGCCAATATATTGGAAAGAAATGCTGAAGGAAAGGAAAGGACCAGAAAGACCTGTCAGATAAATTTAGCTTCATCATAAACAATTTAAACATAAATTGCAATCTTCAACAGTGGCTGCAAAATCAATTTAGTAATGATATAAATGCAGTTTGGCATACAATTTGAGATATTAAACTATGAAATGGAATGCATTAGCAGAAACACATGGAGAGGATGTAAAGATGTTACCATGGTGTCTAGTTTATCCAGAAAGATGGCAATACAACAGGACATAATGTAATGACTTTCTCCAAGGAGTGATAGAGAAAGCAACACTTACTAATTGGTCTTTTCTTTTTTTTTTAATACTCCAAAGAGGAGACATTAGTTCACAGATCAGAAAAATATAGAAAACTGATAGATTTTCCTTGAGATTATTAATGGGAACCGCTCCCTACCTCACCCCACCCCCACCCTGAAGCTATACTCCAAATTCCTTCTTGGGTCACTACATCAGAGGACTGATACAGTCGAACAAGAGGAAAAGAGAATAGCTGGACCTTGTTCTGACTGAAGGAAATGTGAGAATTATAGTTCTGCAAATGCTAGAGAGGAGCTTTTAAAGCCACGGAAGTGCTTTGAGACTGCCATGCAAACACTACCAAGTGTATTCATTCAACTCTGCTTTTCAACAGGTAGTTCTGAGCTTTTATGTCTGTGGTTCTCTGTTCTCCTGAGCCAGGGCTATCTCCCTCTTCATGAGGATATAGAATATATTTGACACCATGTTAATTCCAATCCTTTTTTTTGTTTGTCCATTTTTAAAGATTTATTTATTTACTATGCATACAGTGTTCTGCCTGCATGTATGCCTGCACTCCAGAAGAGGGCATCAGATCTCACTACAGATGGTGTGAGCCACCATGTGGTTGCTGGGAATTGAACTCAGGACCTCTGGAAGAGCAGCCAGTGCTCTTAACCACTGAGCCATCTCTCCAGCCCTTGTTGGTCTGTTTTTGAACAAGCAGTTGTCTAGAGAAAAGAAAGACGGCTATTTGTGGTTACTAATGCCACTGTGCTGCCTTTACATAAACCAAGGCATTCCTTTAGGGGTGGTGTGGTGTGGGGTGGGATAAGATACAGGGACAGTGAAAGAAGGATTGATGAATATTGTTAGAGATACAAACTGTGGAAAAAGGGGATAAAACCTAAAATATCAACACCTGTGATCAGGCCAGCCAAAACATTCCCACAGGCCTCAGGGACCTTTAAGGAAGTTGCTGTCCACTCCCAGGGAGTTGTGGTCTGGGCTAAGAGTTTGAAAAGAATGTGGTTTAGTGGTGACCTTATTTCTTTTTCTTTATAGAATTCCCACTTTCGTTCTGTAAAACATTCAGACTAAGTGCATGCAGGTAGCCATCATAAATGAGATGGCCTCCTACTGAGCAATCCCTATAGCATTGACCTGACCCAAGGCCTGGAAACAGAATCAGAATTTAACATGGGTTGTTTTAAAAACATAGAACCAATGTGCTACTTCAGTGACAGAATTATGTACACATGTACAGAAACATGGCAATGACAAGAGAGCCATGATACCATCTATCAGTCTCTTGGGGTCAGCAAAAAATGGGGGTGTGGATTGGAGATGGGTACTGGGGTGGGTCATATATGAGAACAGTATAATGATATACAGGTATGAAAATTTCATAATGAAACCTATTTATTCTGTAGATTAATGAAAAAATTAATTAACAGTCACAAAAATGAAACACAACCCAAAGAAAAGGGATTAAGCCAGATTTGTGGAGAATGAGTCTGTCTGGGTCACCTGGAAACCTGTCCTCTCAGCTTGTCACACGGCCTTAACTCAGCAGAGTTCTTAAACTAGTGTTCATCCTTTTAAAATCCCTAACACTAAATGGCAGCTCAGACTGTCCTCAGTCACAGAAGCCTGAGATAGGACGTCTCGGGAAGATGCTATCAACAGTCACACTGGAGAACACAGGAAAAAGAAACCATTAGCAAGTCCAAGAGCGGTCTTCAGAGACCAAGATTTCCTAACTGAAGGCTGAGGTGAGCGGTACGGTTCACACAAGCCCTCCATCTCAGGTCTTTCTCAGGGTGTCTCACTGGCCTGGGGCCCACCAAACATGCCAGGCTGGCTAAACCGTAAGCCCTAGGGAGTCACCTATCCTCGACAAGCGTGCCACCACCACCATACACGGCTGTTTTTGTTCTATTGTGGGGTCTAGGGATCAAACTCAGATCCCCATGCTTGCCAGCGAGACTTTACTAGGCTATGTCCCAGACCAAAGTTCAGCCAAGACTGTGTTGTAATTACTACTGCTTCCACTAGGAGGCAGTAGCACACAGCAGCACGGTGTGGATTCCCTCCACCCTTGCTCAGCCTACAGGAGCAAAAGGACTTCGCCACAGGGGTAAGGTAACATCTTTGGGTGGCATGCTGTGGGCTGTTTGGGAAGTCCTTAGCATTCACAACTCAAACTTAGAAAAGTTTCAAACCACTGTCACGCCTATGATAAGACTTGTTTTTAATTTTAAAATTGTGTATTTGTGTGTGGTGTGAGCATGCATGGAGGCAGAGATAAACGTTGTGTGTCTTCCTCCACTGCTTTACGTTTTATTAAGAAAATTTAAAACTAGGTTTCTTTACTTGAAGATAACATGGGTGTGCATGTTTGGAGGGGAGAGGGATATTTGCAGAAGTAAGCTCTCTCTTTTCACCACGTGGGCCCTGGAGACCAAACTCCAGTGGCCGGGTTCAGCAGCAAGAGCCTTTAGCGGCTGAGCAATCTCACCACCCATCTCCAACTTATTTCTTCAGGCAGGGCCTCTACTGAACCTGGAGCTTGCTGCATTGGCTAGAATGGCTGGCCAGTGAGCCCTTAGGATCCTCCTGCCTCCATACACCCAGGGCTGGGGTTACCAATGCACACCAGCTTTTATGTGGATACTGGGAATCTCAACCTGGGTCTCCATGTTTATACAGCAAGTACTTCTCCAATAGAGCGACGGCCCAGCACAGAGCTGTGGAGGCCTACAAAGGTTCCCAGTGAGATCTGAGCTTTTTACCCAGCAGGGCTGCATTAGAGGATGGCTTGACCACGTGCATGGCTACCAGGTGTTTGGAAGGGTCTGCACTTGGCTGTGCTAGGGGGAGGTCTTTGCTCTACCCCTTGGCATTCATTTAAAAAGGCCTTTAGAAGAGACAAAGGGGGCCAGTGGATGAGGATCCAGGCCCTCCAGAGCTATTCTGTGTTTCTGTCTCTCTCCCCTCTATCCTTCTATCTAAATATTTCTCACTTCTCCTTCCTCAAGAATACCCTGGGTTAAAAGTGGGAGCAGGTCTCCCACACAAAACAAGACTTGTTTTAAAACCTCAAAGTATTTTGAACACTCAGAGGCCAAAAATGAGCATGCCTCCATATCATCTGTTAGATTTAAATTTAATTAACCCAACTGTAGTTTACAAATTCCCCTTGCCTGATAGCTCCACTAACCCCGCTGACTCCATCTGTAACTTCACCAGAGTGGTTGGGGCAGGAGCCCCGGAGCCACATCTGCCTTCTGACGGTCAGGACGTGTGAGCAGTCAGAGCCGCAGCCTCTCGGGCTGTGTTTCCATTTCTATGGCTGCCTGTCCTCTATGGAGCCAAATTCTGTAGTTTTATTTTGACTTCCCCCCTTTCTGGATCACAATACAAATCCAGAAAAACAGTAAGTCTGGGGTTATAAAACAAACAGAATGACAAGGACTCTCTTGCTGAAAGGATTCCTCAGATGGGGACCTACCATCTCAGATACGTTAACTGATCACATATGGCTTCAGGAGGTGCCAATGTATTTTATGTAAAGAAACATAAACGTGATCAACAGTCAGATATCCACCCCTCCCATTTAATCGCCAAGAAAGTTTTCTTCACAGATGAGCAAGGGTATAGAATAAAGAATAATGTTCTATGGCAAAATGATATCATTTGCCAGCTCCCCATGATTCACATAAGAAAACAGACATGCTCAGAGTAATCTGTGGCCAAATCCATGAGGTACAAACTCATACTAATCACGGCATGGGCTTTCTCGTCTTTGAGGAAAACTGCGGAATAAAGGCTACCTGAATCTGAAAACGGCATTAAGTATACAGCCTCAAACTGTGGAGGCCCCTGAAGACCGTGGGACACATGTTCATGTCCTTTCTAAGGACATCAAAACGGCTAACCTCAAGCAGGAATTGCGCCTTTCATTCTTAAGTCTGAGTCAATTCAACTGCAATAAACATTAATTACTGACAGACTGCCATCTCAGAGGACCTATTAAGTTACACCATTTTCAGAAATGCTGGTGTTCCATGGGCAGCATACATGGTGGATTCCCCACATCCTTCTCTCTGGAGTTCGGGAAGAGCACGGGCAGCCAGGTCTACAGAAGACCGGCTTGTCACAGGCCTCTGCTGCCCCCTGCTGTCCACGCTGACGTCTGACAAAAAGGAAAGAAAAGCCACTGAAAAATCTTTACTTTAGCCTCTGCTGTCCCTGGCAGGCTGCCCACTTACGGGCTCTACATCACATTGGCTGGATTAACAGAAGATGCTGTATTTACTGCTATATAAGGTTTTTGGTTTTTTTTTTTTTTTTTTTTGGCAAAAGGACACCCATGTCCCCAAGCTTCCCCAGAATACCTAGGTAGAGATGCGCAGGTATGTATGCATACATGTAAGCCATATACATTGTACACATAACACAGTAGACATTCATTTTCTTTGCAGGTTTTTGACCAAGTTCCATGTGGAGCTGAAATAGATGTTGGCAGGAAAGGCTAACGCCACCTAATCTGAACTAAAGCTCGAGAGAAAGACTGAGTCCTGGAAGATACGATGAAGAGTCCAGCAAACAGGAGAAACAATTCAGGAAGAGGACTGTGGAGACACAAGTGAAGGCCAAAGGAATCGAAGAAGAACACTACTTCCTGGCAAAGCAGGAAAACATGTGACTGAGGACAGTGTGACGGGAAGACAGGGATGCCAGCTTCAACGTGGGCTGCAGGGAGAGAAAGCAGCTGCAATGGCATGCTGATTTTGCAGCAGCCCAGTCTGCTGTCTCTGTCCTGCACCTCCATCTCTCTAGTCCAAATTTTGTATGTTATTTTTGACACAGGATTATCACCATGTAACTTTGGCTGGCCTCAAATTCGATATATAGAGTAGGCTAGCCTTGAGCTCACAGAGAGCCATCCACCTGCTTCTGCCTCCTGAGTGCTGGTATTAAAGGTGAGTGCCACCACACCTGAGAAGCACTGTATTTTGATTCCTCACTTCATGTTACCTTTCTCGGGACTATTTCCAATATAAGGTGGTGGGAATATTGGTCTTTATGCTGAGCCTGCATGAAGAAAAAGGTATGACAACCACAGCGGATGGAATTATTGTGATTAGGGATGATGGGAAGGTATTAATAACCATGTATTAAAGACAGTGCTGGGGATGAGAGCACGTGGTTTCCTAGAACAGGAACTAGCTATATCATGCTCGAGAGAAGAAGGAATGGTCTTGAGAAAACAACAGGCATAGAGGAGGGACTCCATAGATGGTCATATGAATTTCTCATGTGCTGCGTGGCTGGTAAGGTTTTCTGCTTTGAGAAACCCTTAGGTAGATTAAAACACTGAAACACCTAGAAGCAGCACATGAAGCTGTTTGGGCGACTGACAGAAGTAAATTTAAAAGATGGTCCCAGGTACTAGTAGAATGTCTACCGTGAAGTTAGGAAAGCCCAGTTAGGAAGGCAAGATGAAGGAAAAGGTCTCGGTTGCAAGTGAAGCGGCCTGGAAGGCAGACCCCAACCTGATTAAGTCTTACCATTGTCTACAGAAATCCCAAGCACACTTGATATCTTTCTCACACTGAAAACACAGAAAAAGTCACTTTGTTACTGGATGCTTTTCCACACCCTTGCAGACTGACTCACGGGCTTAACATTCACTTGCAGGCGGAATGTCAGAATGTGGGTGCTCAACCAATTACACACACCGGGCAGGAGAGGCAAAAGGCTATGACCCAGATGTGCCAGGAGGGGGCGGGTAAAACCAAATGCATGCAGTAAATTTAAAATACAGGACGATGTCTGGCCATCAAATCTGCTGCATTTTGTCTGGAGTTAGGCAAAGTGTCTAAGCATTTTCAGATGGTGCCGTAGTTGATTGGGTTCCACATTCTGTCACCCCCCACTGCTCAGGACTCTCCTCCAAGGAAGGGAACTCTTCTTCCTAATTGTTTTGCTCTGGAAAAAAAATCAAGTTGGTGATGTGGTACGGTGTGGCCGGGGCTGTCCCCTCTGAGACGGCACAGAGATGGCTGGCTGTTACGATGGTATGGCATGGGACTTACTGTGGTTAAAAGTGACAGAGTTATCCAGGCTGCCCAGCTGCTGCAATCTGGCATGCATCATTCCTGTTCTGTTACGGGAAACAGGCAATGTCTGAGACTTTCGATCATGACCTATGGGTCCCAACCCCTCCTGGTTCCTGTAACATGAGTGAAATGGGATAGAAGCAAACGTTAGATGTGTTATAACAAGCGAGACAGAGCATTAGTCAAGCTGAGACACGGCACAGGAGCAGCTGGGCTACACGAAGCCGAGTGGCCAGGGACACAGACAGCCAGCAGCTCCGACACAGTGCACAGCAAAGCACTCCGAAGAAGCAAACACAAGCCAAGGCACTGAGCCTTTCTCACTCTGAGAAAGGATGGTGGAGATGCGACTTTTCCAAACAAAGAGCATTGCTCCAGTGTGGGGATAACAGTCAGCATCTGACAACTAAGAGAACATTGCAAACCTCTCTGAATTGTATGTGGCATGAGCAAAACTTTATTCTAATCAAACAATGCACCAGAAGAAGCAGAGGGCGCATGCGATGGTAGGGGTTACATGAGTCAGTTGAACACCTGTATTCTTACCCAAGCAGGAAGAAGTGCCACACACTGGGTTAAACTTGTCAAGCAGCCGAGTAGAGAAAACAGACATGTGTCTGGGTTAGCAATCAGACAACTCACTTCCCTACTGTGTACCATCACCAGAGCAGACGGAACCAGACTCTGATACCTGTCCCCCGTCCCGGACCAACCGTGCCCCTGACGGTGTTACTGTGTGTACAACAGGGACATGCATGGACTTCCATTAACAGCATGCTGCTGGGTCCCTTCCCGGTGACAAGGAGAAGGCACAGTGTTCACACAGCCACACCATTGTGGACGGCAAACACTGACAACATTCATGTCATGGTTCGAGATCGTGGTCACATGCAGCAGAGACCATGACAATGTCTGTATAAAGCGGGGCGTTATCTTTCCACAGTGCAAGGAACAACATAAACCCCGCCTCGACTCCCGCCTCCCCGTCCATCCACGCTTAATTAATTAATCCATATTCTATGCAAATATATACAGGGGCTTACAAAGTGACAGATTTTCCTCCAAAAGCTAAATTTATATCCACTGTGGGGAGGGAGAAGAAAGAACCACTTTACAAATTCTTCTGAAACATTTTGTCAGGAAGGAACCAGCAGCTTCCACAGTCACTGGTTTAGGCTCAGGGATGTTATTCTACTTGTCAGGACACTGTCCAGATGCCTTACAGTGGTGTAACTGGCAGAGATTGCCAAGAAGGTGTGACGACTGCCAGGCACGGAGCTTTTGGCGGTGAGCAGATGCCGTCTGCCCATCCTCACAGGGCAGTGCAGGAGACTGACATAAAGCACCCTGGATATACTTGCATTTTGTACTCAAAAACAAACATAAAATTACAGTAGTGAGAAAAACAGAGGTTAAGGCTAGGAAACTTTAAAACTACCACATTTCAATTAAAACAAAATATTAATGAGAGGAAAGTGCAAAAGGACCTCACTAAATCTGTTTCTTATTAAAAGCTTTCATTTCTTAACATAAAACATAATAATCCTGAAAAGTTCTCAGATATCTCCAGAAGGGACAGTACCGGCATAAAAAGCCAACCACACTCAAACACAGTGTCTATTAATTAATGTCAGTTCTGTTTCGCTGCTATAAACCATAGGAAAAACAAATCTCAATTAAAACTAGACTTGGCGGACTTTCTTAAAACAAATGTAGTTTGCTATAATCAAACTGTTAAAAAACAACAGGATGATGCTTTGAACGGCCCCACCCCACCACCTACACAGAAAGACACAGAGCAGGTACACAGGGTGGCGACAGGGCAGGGGAAGGGCCTGGTAATGACAAGCTGTGCTGGGAGGAAATGCCCCCGAGAAGGGCTGTCGGCCATACATCTGCGAGGAACCTCTAGCACTCCTGAGATGGGAGAGTGTAGGCAGGATAGGCCAGTGGGGAGACAGGATACTCAGCAGAGTTCAGATGAGACAAGAACACAGGGCACTCACTGAGTGGTCAGAACAAAGGAAAGGCTCCATTTTAAAGGCCAGTGACACAGGATGAAAACATCCTCTTTATGGTGAACAAGAAGAAGGACATTGCGTCTTCTTGGTTGGGAGCAGGGACAATGTTAAAGCCAGACAGGACAAGAACTGACTGAAGAAGCGGAGAACACTCGACAGGAAGTATGGAGAAAAGAGGAGGAGGTGAAAGCGTGTTAGAATCTGGGGGGAACTTAGAGACAGTACCCTAAAGATGATCTCCTGGGAGGGGAACGAGACCAAACCAGACAGGAGGAATGCAGGAATGCTGACAGAGACTTCTGGACGATTCCATGGTAGCAACCTAAGGTGGTTGGCTGCTTGTGTGAACCCCACCTGCCAACCACCCCAGACGACCATTCTCACACAGCCTCACAGGACAGGACACTACATTTCCCAGGTCGCCCCACAGTACCTGGCTATGTAGCGCTTCCCCATGTACTGGAACTGGTGCAGGCAGACTCTGCGGACAAGACAACCATTAGAGAAGGTGCAGTGAAAGTTGTGCCCAGTCCACTGGTTAAGTCTACTAACAACAACAAAAGTGCACTGGTGACTAACTTAGCCCTCAACCCTTGGCTTTCAGGAATTTTCTGTAAGGTCCTCCACCCAGAGAAAAGCATTTGCACATCCGGGGAGGCGCACATACACGTGCAGCCATCAGAGCTGAGGTCGTGGGTGGAGCAGAACAGAATAAAGGTTTTCATCCACCCCTTCAGGGCTGGCAGACTCGCTCCACGGCAGTGTGCCTTGGAGTGTGTTGGAGACCTTCCATGTCACGGTGTTACTGCTTCTTCCTTGTTGGAGTCCATACAAGGAGCTCTCTCTTTGGGCTCAAGCATATGGAATGGCCCCTTACAGGCATCAAGAGCCACAACACTGAACCTTTAAAAACCATGCCTTTTAACAAGAGGTAACTAATATAACGAGTTCTCCGGGTTCAGGCACGACAATTTCCCCACTGAAGTCAGCCATGGGACTGGCCACTCCTGTCAGCAGGACAGGACCCTGGCCTTCCCCTCACAGTTCTAATACACACAAAGCCCAGAGAATAAGGGTCCCACGTGAGTTTCTTTAAACACATTCTGTACCAAACTAACCAACACAAAGCTGCTTAAGTCGCCATGTATCGAGTACAAACTGAATAATCATAAAAAACTGAAATTTCTCTTTCTTTCACCGCGGTATAGTGTGTTTGACCGAGTGGTGCTGTCTGAGATGCTATTATAGGCTGATAAACCCAAAGTGTAAATTTTCAAAAGCAGCCCACATTCTGAGTTTGAAAAATTATCTGCCTTTAGCAGTTTTAGATAAAGTGCTATGGATCTGTGTTTCTAAAAATAAAGAGCTTAAATGAAATCAGAAACTCATCCCGAGTAGATAAGATAGGTTCTAGATTTAACATAAAAACAAAACAGTAGCCACCGATGCTGTGAAAACATTTTGCACAATTTTATCTAAGTAGCTTAAGCACAGAGGCTTCTCAGCAACCACAAGCAATTATTTATATATCTTAAGGGGGGCCCTTGTTGACTGACTCACAAAGGAAACTATGTGCCATGCACTACATCCTGCCCGCGGACACATTTCCTTCACACCTCCCAGCTGGAAAGATAAGAGGGGACAGGTAAAGAAAACCACTCACTCAGATATTGTAAAGAAGTCCATCAGTTCAGCAGTTGAAGCCTTGTTCCAGTATGTAAACAGCGCATCTAAAATAAGCATTTATTTGGTCAGAATCACAATACACATTATATATATACACATTATATATATATATATACACATTATATATATAACAGATATATATACAATATACACTGTATGTATGTATGTATGTATGCATGTATGTATGTATGTATGTATGTATTGGATAATCACTTATGAGATTGGGGATAGACTCCAGAGCCCAGGTCTCTATTTTATATTTTACCAAAAGGCAAACCACACTGGTGGGCTCTCCTGGATAATACACACAGCAGGCTTATTCAACATTTGAACTCCTGAACTTTAATAATAAATTACCTAGTGCTATATTATAGTACAAGCCCATCCATTTAACTTGTACATAATGTGCTCTTAAATAGACTAGAAAATCTGAAGACCATAATAATCCACAGCCAGCCTCTCCATTTCCTTCTATAGAACCCTTCCCTCCTCTTCATGGGACCTGTTGAAAATGAAAACATATGCTGTTTTGTTTTTAAAGTTATTTTAGATTTATTTTTAATTATATGGTTTATGAGTATCTGTGTTGGGTGTGTGCACACGAGTGCAGGTGCCTCTGGAGGCCAGATAGCATCTCATCCCTGGAGCTGGAGTTACAGGCTGTTGTGAGCTGTCCAATGTAGGTGCTGGGAACTGAACTCGGGTCCTCTGCAGGAGCAGCACCTGCTCTTAACAGCTGAGCCATCTCTCTGGCCCCTACCTTTGAGTTTTAAAAGAACAATACAAACTGGTTCTACTCAGATGGTTCCAAGCTGCAGCGTATCCTCTATGGGCTACCGTGATGGAATTAACCAGTTTCTATCGATGGACATTACGGCATGGATGTTTTTCTTTCTAAGCTTATTCTAGCATAAGTATCCTTTGCTGAACACCCTGTCCCATGGGGTTTTCACATGTACGACCAGTTACATCTATAGGAGAAATTCTTGAAACTGATACAGGATAATCAATGCCTAACACGTTGAAATCTGTGTGAACCCTCTTGACTGGGCACGGTACAAGAGTACTCTCATCTGATATGTCTTACATGACGCTGAAAACCAGGAAAATGACTCAGTGCTTGGAGGCTGAGATGAGCACAGAGACCAATGGCTGTAGGTTTGTATTCTATCTACATTCACCAGGGGCAGGACAGGAAGGGAAGACATGGATATGTGGCAAGAAGCTGTGCCAGGCTGTGCCAGGTGCTGTCCCAATTTCAAGGAATGCTGTCATCCAATCCTCACTCTGATCCCACATGGCCGACTTAAGTTCTCACTCACAGATGTACCATCAGAGGCTCAGGGAATTAAGAACATCTCCCATTTACCTACCTAAAGAATCATGGCTGAAGTGGTTATAATTCTAGGCCAGGTTTGATGCATTTGACTAACATTAAGGGTGTGAGCTTCCACTTGGGGGGTTCTGATCTCAGACAGACAAACTGGTGAGTTGAGGCTAGTCACCTCAGGAAGGTGAGCCCCGAGGAGGCCCACAGTGGCCCAGCATGCATCTGTGGCCACCACTAGCATACACCAGACAGAACAGCCAGTGGCCAGCAGTATTTCTGACGGTCCTGGCTCTGGATTCAGGCTACTCAAGAATGAAGGAGTAGGAAACACAGGGCACATGGACTCAGCGAAGTGGGAAAGGCAAGGGCAAGAGGCTACAGGGCCATCAGACTGGCTTCTTCGTCTGGTAAACTATCCTCTGGAGTCATTTTCTCCCTCGCCTCTACTCCACACATACAAATCCAGACCACACAGATTTCCAGGGTTGACTGAAAACTTTTAATGCTACCCTTTAAAGAAAATATGGAGAATGTTTTTTAAGACCCTAGATTTCTAGAATGGGACGTATCTGGAAGCCCTGGTTTCAATCTCCCAGGGCTCTGGAGGCGAAGGCTGGAGAATCAGAAGTTCAAAGTCACTTTTAGCTACAAAAGTCCAGCTTGGGCCATGTGAAACACTATATTAAATCCCAAATGCCCCATTTCCACGTTAGAATTTGTTTTCTAGAAAAGTAACTGATTTTCTACTTCAAGACTTCTATTTCTACTGCATTTAGCAAATTAACACACATTAAAAAATGAAGATGAAATTCTCCTAAATATTTGAAACTTTTTCAACTAAATGCCACCTGAAATGATTCACTGAAACCAGGACAGCAGCAGCTGTCCTCACTGCACTCACCGTCAGACATGCTTTTCAGCACATAGAGGAAGCACATCAGCAGACTCTTAATCTCGGACTGGTCCAGTTTGTCACAGCGAACCACAGAATTTCCCAGCGTGCCACTCTGCTGATGCTGAAAGGAGATGCAGGTAAGTTCTCTACTTGGTGATGCACACATCTCCCTCTGAAGAAAAACATTCTTTAGCTTTGAGGCAGAGCATACAAACTGCAAAGAACTGGTAACCCACAGGCACAACTTCACAAAGACACCTCTCACCCAGGTGTAACACACAACTACTGCTGCGTCCAGCTCTAAGGGACAAGCCCGAAGGCATAAGCCTTTCACACCGAGGAACAGTTTTCATTATGCCGGGGGGGGGGGGGGGGGGGAGATCTTCTGAAATGCCAAGTAAAATTTCATGCAAAAAACCAAACGCACGTCCACGAGGATCCACTCTGGGAGGGAGGACTCCGAAGGCACCACGTAACCCTCACCTCAGAACAGCAAGGTGAGCCTGAGGAGTGGCGGCTACACACCAGCCCAGAAGCCTGCCGCTGAGGCCTGTCATTCAGGGCACAGCATGGGTGTGCTGTGGGAGTGGATGGAGAAACACAGGACAGACACCCAAAAGGACACACAGGGACACACAGCACTGCCGACCACCCTAAACGCGTGAGGCCACTCCTCAGCCAGCTTATTGATAAAGCAATATCAGAAAGCTGGGGGCTGAGGATGAGGCCAGTTTTACCACTAGGAAGCAGCAGGCTCAGGTTCACATCGAAACAACTGAGTAAGAATCTTAGCTCCTGTTTAAGGGCACAGAAGACTAAAAACAACCCTTCAGGCTGTATTTCAAATTTAAATCAATATTTTTTTTTTTTGCCAAGTACCAAATGGAAAAAAAAAATCATCGAAAAAAGATTTTTTTCAAGGTGTTGGTGGTCAATTGAGGGAAAAAAAAATGAGCACGTTTTTTATGTAAGGAAGAAACACAGCTGTCATTAGTGGTAAAAGTGTAGGGTGTCATCGAGCCCTGAACCGTGTAGAGAGCTGACAAGGGAACTCAGTACTTCTTGCAGGGAGAAGATGGGTGCAGCATGCAAAGTCTCCTCTGGCAAAGGTGGAATTGTCAGAAGGGAAAAGTCCACGGTGACCCGGTTTTTCCTGGCTGGCTGGTAGCTCTCCTCCTCTCCAGCACTGGGCACAACACAAGCTGAGTGCCTCCGGAGCAGCTTGTCCCTCTACACATGAAGGCATGTTGGGGTCAAGGGAAAAGTTCAACACATCACGACAAGCCCAGACTGAGACGGCCATGTCTCCACACACGTGTGCTTAAAGATAACCGTGGCAACGCCCGTCACAGAATCTGTGACAAGGTCACAAACCTGATGCTGAGGTTGAGGAAGGATGTCCTGGGAACGAGGAACACATCCCCCCAAATGCCTGTTTATTGGCAGAAGCTTTCTTTCTTTCTTTCTTTCTTTTTTTTTTTTTTTGGTTTTTCGAGACAGGGTTTCTCTGTGTAGCTTTGCGCCTTTCCTGGAACTCACTTGGTAGCCCAGGCTGGACTCAAACTCACAGAGATCCGCCTGGCTCTGCCTCCCGAGTGCTAGGATTAAAGGCGTGCGCCACCACCGCCCGGTGGCAAAAGCTTTCGTATAACTTGAAGTAACTTAGGGATACAGAGCCCCAAGAAACACCAATCTACCAGGTTCCCGGTTAATATCAACTTTTATCTTTTCCTACAAGGTTCTAGGAAGGCAGAGGCTGCAGTAATATGAACAGAAAAGATTTGGTGGAATGAAGAGAGTGTGTGTTAGGCGTGGGTACAGTGTAACTAGAGTGTTAGGAGTGGGCACAGTGTAACTAGTGTTAGGAGTGGGCACAGTGTAACTAGAGTGTTTCACTGGGGCTCAGCACTGACAAGGTTAACCCATCTGTTTTGGGGGCCTTGGACCTGAAAGGCATAAAGACAACAAGAAGGCAGAATCATTTGCTCCCGTCCGCTCCACTGTAAACACTGCTTGGATTTGAGACCTGGAAACAGGAATCAGAGTTTCAGGGGACTCCATGGATACAGAGCACTTGCCCGACATGCAGAAGGCTCTGGTTGTCAGTTACCAGCGGCAAGCTAAAACAGTAACAATGATGACACAAGAATTCAAGGGTCCGAGCCGCAACCTTAGGAAAAGCTCCTGTCATCCTCCACATGCTGAGGAAGGTGTTTAAAAACAACCCCAAAGATCACATGTAATAAACTGCAGAACGCAAAGCAGGTTACTCTGGCTACACCCGGTACACGGGAAACACGGTGTCAAGTGAAAAGAAATCACCTTATCCAGGGAATTGCTCTTCTCAGGGTTCCTGTCGGGAAGGCTGCTGCCCGAGTCTGTGCTGATGAGAGACCCTCTTGACTCAGCGTTTCTCACACTGTTGATGTTGGGGGTGGAGGCTGTATATGGAGATGCTAAGTGGAAATTAAAGCAAGACCCAGTTTTGGTTAGAGCACAAAATACAGACAAGGAAGTTTCAAGGGGAACTGCTTTCGTGGCTACCGTTTTTCTACAAGGAAATGACTTGAGAGTGGTATTAAATTATTTCACCTTTGAAAAACATTTATTTTAATTTTATGTGTGTAAGTGTTTGTCTGCATGTATGTATGTACACTGTGTGTGTCAAGTGCCTGTGGGGCCAGAAGAGGGGGGCCGATGTCCTGGTACTGGCGTGACAGTTGTGAGCGAACTGTGGGTGCTGGGAACTGAACCTAGGTCCTCTGCAAGAGCAGCAGGTACTCCTAACCACTGAGCGAGCTCTCCAGTCTGTCGCTTACATCACCTTTTGAAAACCCAGGCCATTACAGAGTGAGATCAAAATAACCTTCCATATGAAACACTGTTCATTCACTTACTAGAGGCTACCTTCATTTGCTCAGACTAAAGTAGAATACATTATTTCAGAATGAGATTCAAAGAGAAAAAATGATAAATAAAATCCAACCAAAACAATTAACCAAAAAGTAAACTATATCATAAACCTACAGTGTGCAACCTGTATGCTGAGCTGCCTCAGGAAAATCTCAGGAAGTGTAATGGGACATCTAAATTTTTAAGGACCCACAGTGACACCTGACACTGGCCAGAGACCGCACTTCAACAGAGGACCCTGCTTTGCTTCCTCTGCTGATGTCACAGCTTCCTGCAGATGGGATTTGGTATTTTGGTATTTTGCTATGGTAAAAAGCAAGTTTTGGACAATGGGAACCAGAAAGTGAACAATCTGGTTCTGAAGTATGGAAACCAAGTATCCATAAGGTATTAACAACCCATTAATAACAGCCTGAAGTCACTGAAAATGAAATCAAAGTATTTTTTCCTTGAATTTACGCACATGGTTTTTGAAAGGCCTACTAAGTTTGCAGGGATGTAAGTACTATTTGTTTTTAAGGCCTGTGTAAACAACACTGTAAACAGAGAATAAATTCTGATAAATAATGTTACTAGTTTTGATTTGAAGATACCATGAAAAATTATGACAGATCCACCCTTAATCTGTAAACTGAAAATATTTGGCAATGTCTGCTGTAAATAAGGGAAGGAAGGAAATCTCACTTGGAAATGAAATTTTCACATGTATGAAACAACAGTATTTAAAGGTAGAAACCGGCCTCCACCTGGGAACTGTGGAGATTTTCTTAAGGTAAGAATTAGCTTCCTGCTTAGATAAGATTAAATAAATTATACACTAAAAATGACTCTTTGGACTTGGCATCCTGTGAACCAACAGGCCTTCAGCAGAAAGGCCAGATTTTGCAGATGGCATTAGAGGAGACTCTTGGCACTGTGCTTAGCAGCTGTGGGAACATGGTGTTGAAGACCCAAGCCAAAAATACCGCTACTGCAAAGCCAACAGGCCATGGCAGATTTCAGTAGGAAAATGGGCTCACACAGGCTGAGACACTCCTAAGTTGGATGGATGGATGGATGGATGGATGGATGGACCGACGGACAGACAGATGAATAAGCCATGCTCAGTTTTTCTAAGTCTCTTGGCTGTCATAATTTTAAATTTCATTACTAATGGCCTGAGTCCATCACCTTTCAGACAACCTGGAGTTGACCTTGGTGACTAAAGATGGTGTGTAATGCACATGTAAACCCTTCTCCCTTCCTAGCATTTACTGTAAAGTACATGCAAGGCTGCATGACCCAGCACTGCAGACTGTCACAGGAATGAGTGACAACCTTATGAAGAAATGATAACACCTTTTCTATAGGGAGAGAAAGGAAATGCATGCTATGGCCACATGGCAATACTTCTCTTCAAAAAATCATAGCTCACAGTGGAGGCAGGGGCTCAGGGGAAAGGGGTCAAGAAATGGACACTACACCCACCATTCTCGGATTTCCAAACCAATTGCAGGTCTAATTTAAGGCAAACAGATGCAAATGTAGTAACTCAAAATGAGCACGCTTTAGTTCTCACAATGTGTGTGTGCTTGCGCATGTATGCAGGTGTATGTGTGTTTGTGTCCTCACCAAGGGAATCACTTTAGTTTTTTACATATCCGTATTTTTTTAAAAACTATTTTTATTACTGCACATTTATTTCAGACATTAATACAGTGATGCCACTTGCATAGGGAATGACTTCAAAGATTATTTTTATTTTATGCATATGGCTGTTTTGGCTGCACTCATGTGCACCTGCACACAGAAGCCGGAAGAGGGTGTTAGAGTCTCTGGAAATAAAGTTACAGACAGCCATAGGTGCTGGGAACAGAACCCAGGTCCTCCGCAAGAGCAACAAGTGCTCCTCACCACTGAGCCATCTCTCCAGCCCACAGGGAATGGGTTTTAAAACCTAAACAACATATGACTAAAATAAAGTTCGGTTCTTCTCTCTTCCATTTGTACAGGGCAGGTGGGAGGGAAATGTGAATCTAAGAGGGGCTGTCCTTGAAAGTGGGAGGAAGCTCAGAGTGATTTTTATCCAGGAATCAGTTCAGTTCTAGGATTCCCATACTCTGAGGACATCTGAGGGACTTGTCCTCAGGATGCTCGGTAACGTGACTTCTTCACAGTTTGCAGAAGGATAAACCCCAGGACTACACTCATCTGGAGGCTCCTTCATAAGTAGCGGCTGCTATAGCATCCAGAACAAAACCCAAACCTAGCAGCAAACCTGGTTCCCAGGTGGGGCTTCCCCGAAGATGTTTCTACAGAGAATAAGGATGAGTGCTGTTAGATGGGAGGAAGTACAGAGAAAGCTGCTATGGTCACCTTCTGGAAAGGTGGATTTGGGTCTGGAAGTTCAATAAGGACGAAAAGAGACAGATCAGTCAATCACAAGCCCCTTTCATAATCGCACCACGTATGTACACCAGTACAGGTCCATTGCCATTTAGGTCATGCTAAGGATACCCAGTACCTCCTTGCTACCTTCCCAAGGACTCGCAAATCCTAATACTGAATTCTGAACTGGACACTGTGAATTCTGAATAAGAGAGAATCAGATGAGCCAAATATCCCCTCATTGTGGCTTGATCACTTCTACAAAGTCTGCCATGTTTCCCTTGTGGTCCTAGCAAGTACTAGCCAGAGAGCACAGAGCATCAAGACTTCCAAACACATCAGCAGGCTTTGGACTCATCTATTTGGCCCCGAGAGTGCATTACAAAGCATGGATACCACAACACAACTAAACTAGCTGTAACAACGACAGCACATGTTTTCCATGGCAACCACCCTCCACACTGCAGCAGCTTTTTATTCCTGACAACGATCACTTAGCTATAAGGACACAGAGGCTGCAGTAGTTAAAACACCCCGAAGGGGCAACCAGGTTGCGGTGGAGCCAAGATGCAAAGCCACACCTGTTGGAGCTAAGCTAGTGCTGGAAACACTGCAGTAAAACCCTCTAAAGGTCAGTTCCCTACTCAGAGCTGAGGCTTAGCGCCTGTGCAGAGCAGGGCAGAAACACGAAATTTCCCACAACAGTGAACATTTGTGGAACACTTACCGTGGGCCTCCCTCTGCTCCCAGTATTTATTATGTATCAGCTTTTAATCCATAAAATCTTTCTCTCCCTCTCTCTCTGTGTGTGTGTGTGTGTGTGTGTGTGTGTGTGTGTGTGTGTGTGTGTGTGTGTGTATATATATATATATAACACATATATAAAGGGGGACTATAACCATGAAAGTTATCCATAAACACAAATGAGCTCAGGCCGGGGACTGGTAGTGTAGCACAGATCTAGTGTTGGCATGGACTGTCCCATGTCAGTCACGGTCTCCTCTCACTACATTGTCTTCTCCGTAAAATGATGTATTAACAGTAGAGAAGGTAAGAGCACTGATTCAGGAGGCTGATTTAGTCCTGCGAATTTAGTGGATAAGAGGCATGTCTTTTCCTGTCCCATGAATTTGTAGCACTAATGGATGGCATAACCACTAGCCACAGTAGGATGCTTCACATATTGCAAGTGTGGTTAGCAGAGGGGGAATCAGAGGCAGAACTGGAGTGGGAAGCCCCTGTAAAATCCTTGGATTCTATCTGTGTGTGCACGCATATGGAGACCACCGTCTGCATCACCATTATCTTCATAAAGCTGCAGCTTAATTAGTCAGACTATAAATAGGTGCATTTTCTCACAGACAGACTTCTCTACTTGAGTCTTGATTTAGGCCATCTGTTTTCCTTCCCATGGGGCTGTTTTTCATACGGAGGAGGAAAAGAGCTACAGAACAGAAGACTTCTGAAAACCGACTTTTAGGATCAAATCCCAGCCACAAACTGCTGCCTCCTTCAGAATTATGAACAAGACTGTCACACTCGTCTAGCTCACCAGCATTACAGGTAAATCTTCCTCTCACCCCAAAACCTGCAGGCAGTCTGCCTCTAAAAGCATAAAGAATCCAATTCAGATTTAAAAGCCAATCAGCTGAAGAAGCATTGGACAAAAGGTAATCCAGCAGCGAGTGTCGTGTGACCCTGTTTAGGGTTCACAAGAATCCTGATTAGTGTCTGAGAGACTTCAGTGGTGAAACACCACAACCAGGAGACTACCCAAGGCCAGAAGTCCAAGTCTTAATTTACCATTAACGACTTGTGAGAGTAAAGGCAGTTTGCGCGACACAGGACAAGGCCGGTAAGCACAAGGAACATTACCAATGCCAGAGATGGCACCCAAGAGGTCTTTGTGCAGGCTGTGGTCAAGTGTGTTTCCCTTCTGCGGCGTCATAAGTGGATTCCCAGCTGGTACGGCAAGGGGCTCGTCCTTCACAATCTGCCAAAGGGAAGAGAAGAAACTATTTGAGATGGCTGAACAAGCTTCACAGACTGATCTTCAAGCGTGAAGCCAAGACACGTAACATCTGGACATGTTCAGCATCTCCAGTGGGTAGGCAGATACACAGGGCACACATGTTCAGCATCTCCAGTGGGTAGGCAGATACACAGGGCACACATGTTCAGCATCTCCAGTGGGTAGGCAGATACACAGGGCACACAGGACACACATGTTCAGCATCTCCAGTGGGTAGGCAGATACACAGGGCACACAGGAGAGGAGGCGGGAGAGGGACCAGAGGAGAGCACAGAGGAGGCCAGGAATACCAAGGTGAGGAGCCAGAGCAAGCCTGATTCTGGTGCCACCCATCTCTTCTCCGGCCCACACAGCTCTACCATCTTGCCCTGGTCACACTCCCACTTCCTGCCTTCCAGGACTCACTGAAGCCTTTTCTCCTGTCCTTGCAAGTCAGAGGCATGAGCTACGGTCTCTGGATGCTCAGGTGGGAACTCTCTGTCAGGGGAGAAACTGTACTAATTTTAAATATACCAAGAAGGTGGATTTTACTTTGGTGAAACCCAAAGCAAGACCTGTTCGTTTCCCCCAGGATTAGAACAGGACAGGGAGGTCACGTGCTGTCCTGAATTACTCTGCTCAGAGAGGCACATGGAGTCAGAGGATATACATGTGGACAGTGATCCAGAATAATGTCAGATTAGTGAGTGAGGCCGGGTAGTGTGGTATTGTATTCCCCCAAATATTGTGCATGCTAATAAACTTATCTGGGGTCAGAGACAGAGCAGCCACAATATTAAACATAAAGGATAGGCAGTGGTAGCACACGCCTTTAATCCTAGCATTCCAGAGGCAGAAATCCATGTGTTCAAGGATACAGACAGGCATGGTGACTCATCATGCCTTTAATCCCAGAAAGCAAGCCTTTAATCCCAGGGAGTGGTGGGAGAAAGCAGAAAGGTATATAAGGCGTGAGGACCAGAAACTAGCAGCATTTGTCTGGTTAAGCATTTGGCCTGGTTAAGTATTCAGGCTTTTGAGCAACAGTTCAGCTGAGACCCATTCTGGATGAATACTCAGAGGCCTCCAGTCTGAGGAGACAAGACCAGCTGAGGATCCGGCGAGGTGAGGTAGCTGTGGCTTGTTCTGTCTCTCTGATCTACCAGCATTGATCCCACGACCCCAATAATTGGCCTCGGGTTTAATTTTATTAATAAGAACTTTTAAGATTCATGCTACAGGGTAGGATAAAGTTTACACCATTTGAACAGAAAAGTGAATACTACCAACCTGGATCCTCTTAGAATAATATTATTTAAGGGTGAATAGTGTAAACAATAGGACAGTGTGGGGACTAGAGAGGTGGTCCAGGGGTTAAGAGCACTGTTTTCCTAAGGACCTGGTTTGGTTCCCAGCACCCACATGGTGGCACACAATCACCTGTAACTCTAGTTCCAGAGGATCCAACACCTTCTGCTGGCTTCCATGGGCACTGCACACAGATCAAGGCAAAACACCCATACACATAAAAACAAACACATATCAACCAACCAACCAAACAGGAAATTCCCCAAGTATATGCCACAAAGTGGCCAGATTAACAGTGGAGTCAAGAATGGTCAATATAAGGGCAAAGGTTTCAATGATGTCTGTAAATCATTAGCAGATAGAGCCACTGAGGCCAGGAAAAGGGCTTGGGTAAGAAAGAATACATTTTGGTTTGTGAAAATTTGATATAGAAATGTATTATACAAAAATTTGATAAATTTTAATAATTAAAAATGGGCTAAGTAGATGGTTTTGGGTAAAGCGCTTCACGATCAAACACAAAGACCTAAGTTCAGATCCCTAACAATCACATAAGAGCTGGGCATGGTGGCATGTGGCTGCAGCCAGCATTGGGGGCGGGGAGCAGATCTCCAGAGCTCTCCAGGCATCTGGTCTATTAGTCAGTGAGCAGCAGGTTCAGTGAGAGGCCCTGTCGTTTCCCCCAATAATGTGCAGAGTGACTGAGGAAGACGATGACCTCTGCCCTCTACATGTGCACACTGTGAGCACTTGCTTTTCATTACAAGTTAATAAGGAAAAAGCCTTTTGCAATTGAGTTGTAGCAGGGAATTGGATTTCATGCTACAAAAATGCTGAATTCTAGGATGATTCCAAGAATCTTTATTTATTTTATGTGTATGACTGTTTTGCCTGCATGTCCCATGTTCCTCTTCCTGACATCACTGACTTACAGTCTAATGAAGAGAAACAGGAGCTCAAAGAGGGGGCTTTCCCAGGAGGGCCATGGGGTGTGGCGCTCAGAACCAAGGCCTACGTGAGCAGTAAGGGACAAAGGTTAGCATTACGCCAATTTTTGTTCCTTGATCCCTGTCCCTTGTTTTGAGACATGTAGCCCAGGCTAGCCTTGAACCTGCAATCCTCCTTGAGTGCTGGGAGAGCAGGCATGTGCCATCATGCCCATTTTTGTTGAGCAGGTGGAATTAGGCTATTAATAGAGCCAGGGCTGAAGGTTTATTGATTGATTCCATTTTAGTCAGAAATGCAATTTCCCAAGACTGGATCGATGCCTTAGGGATTGAGTGCACTGGCCGCTCTTCGAGAGGACCCAGGTAGGGTTCCCAGCACCCACCTGGCAGCTCACAACTGTCTCTAACTCCAGTTCCAGGGGAGCTGATGCCCTATCTGGGCTTCCACAGGCACCGCATGCACAGTGCACACACACATGTGGGCAACACACACACATAAGATAAAAACAAATACATCTTAAAAATTTAAAGAAGAAATGTAATTTCCCATGGGTAGTATGCAGTATGTTAGCAGAATAAGGGGAGAGAGTGTAGTGGGTTGAGTAGCGTCCCTTGAAATCCATGTCTACCTGGAGCGTCAGTATTATCTTACTTGAAAATGGTATCTTTTCACATACAGATAGGATGTAAGAGGTCAGACTGGGTGGGCCCTCAATTCAGGACAGAGGGTGGGCTCACAAAGACGGAGCACCCTGTGGAGACTGAGGCCAAGTGGAGTGACAGCAGCTGCTGCCCGCAATGGCAGAAGTGAGGGACCACCCCTCCCCGCTCGACTTTGTACTCTCCATGGGAGGGAACAGAACTCCATGTTCTGAGTCCTGGAGTCGGCAGCACCCTGTTATAGCAGCCCCAAGGACACGGAGACGTGCAGTCACCAGTTCTGCTTACGTACACTGCCTGGGTTCACAGGGAAGGGGGACACGTCCCTCACATTGATTCGCTGGACATTTTCAATAAGCAGACCAAACAGAGGCAGGTAGAGAGTGGCTATCCTTGCCTGATGGCTCTGAAAAAAGACAGACATGGTGAGTGTTTCCCCTGGGTCTGAGCAACGGACGGCAGACTCACTCACACCGGCTGTTGCTTTTGTCCGGACCTTTATCTAATTAGTGATTTCCCTTACACCACTGAAAATGGAGGACACTTCTCAACGCATACTTCCCTCCGCTGGAACCACTCACCCTTGAAGTGTATCTGTCATCGAAAGAATGCTTTATCAGCAGGTTCTTCAGCATGCTGATGGCAATGACGCGGACCTCCCGAAACTCCTGGAGGGCAGTACCCACCTCCCTTAGCAACAATCCCACCAAGAAGTGGTTTCTGCAGAACTCATCTGTTAAGGAGTAGTCAAGCTGGAGATCTGAAAAGAAGAGGCAGACAGTACTTAGGTTCAGGAGGGTCCAGTGTCGCCTGAGCGAAGAAGGCATGTCATCTGTCTCCACTCGGCCACAGCTGCGTGGCTATGGGTGACGGGACTTTGCCTCAATGGGAAAACGGGTGACTTTGCAAGGTGCCTTACTCTTGACACTTCAAATTCTGTTAGGAAAACCAAACTGAAATACAAACAGCTGCCCTGGATTTTGAGTGTGGAACTGAATTTACTACCAATTTTTAGAATTTACAATAGCGATCATATAAAAAATACGTTAATGACAAATTTTTAAAAATGAAGTTATTGTATTAACTACAAAAGATTGATTTTTTAAAAAAATAAAACCATATCACTAAAGAATTAATACATATAATTTATTTAAATGTCATTTACTTCCTGAGTTCAGCTATCCTTTCCCTGGCTATCAATGCCTGTTACAGCCCCAATAAAATCAATGTATTTGCCGGGTGGTGGTGGTGCACGCCTTTAATCCCAGCACTCAGGAGGCAGAGCCAGGTGGATCTCTGTGAGTTCAAGGCCAGCCTGGTCTCCAAAGCGAGTTCCAGGAAAGGCGCAAAGCTACACAGAGAAACCCTGTCTTGAAAAACCAAAAAAAAAAAAAAAAAAAAAAAAAAAAAATCAATGTATTTTAAATGATACAGCAGCACATAACTTATTTATTCAGCTTTCATTAAACCAATACACTATTTCTGCAGTCTTTTCTAAAGTGTCCCTCTTAAACTAAAACTGGAATGCACAATGTAGCAAACCAAACCAGTAACTCATTGGCAAGCAGCATGGTAAGGCTGAGAGCTCATTTGGAAAAGAGGGGGACAGACAGGAAGCCTGAGGAAAGGGGGCAATAACGGCGAATACACACGCCCCCAAGCTGCAGGAAGCACAGAGGAGGACCGAGTCAGCACAAGACGCCACCATCCAATAAAGTCCTACGGACCCTGCTCTGACTTCCAAAGCCTTTCTGATAGTTCCCTTGAAGTCCCCAACACTCTGGCAGAAGTCCCTACTGAGCACATCGGTAGCAAGGAAGGAGCTGTTCCTCCAGAATGATCACATGCGGCTGCTTACTGAATAGTTTCTACGGACTCCACTCTAAGGCTGGGGCTTCCCTAAATCTCTTAGGGAAGAAAATGACTTAGGTCTCACTAAGCCTGCCTTAGAGTCCAGTGCTCAACAACAGTGGACGCACAGAACTCAGTCATGGGGACCCAGCATGCAAACACAGAAAGCTCATGAAAAAGCCATGTGTGCTACGCTCCTGATGCCTCCAGGGACAAGGGCTGTGAGAGCGGTGAGGTGTGATTTGGGGATGAAGCAGGGCTTCATCTTAAGACAGCATGCCAGAGAATCTAGACACACTCCAGGAGCAGAGAAAGTCTGGGGTGTGACAGCAATGTCTTAGCTGGGAAACAAATACACCCATTCACCAGAAACTGGAAACCTGGAGAGACGTCTCAATGAACAGCGTATGAGCAGCTGAGTGATCACTTGCATTCCTTTCTTTTTAAAGCTGGAGGAAAATGCAAGGGCAAGCCTCTGCCCCACACCTACCTACAGGAGTGTCATTTGACTCCACAGTTGGTGAGAGAAAAGCTAATTTACAGGAGGGGAGGGCAAAACAAGAACAAATGCAGTAAATAAGACAGATTTCTGTTAAGAAAAGAATTTAAAATGAAAACCAAGTCATGATGTCTATGTCTGATAAACCCGGAAAGGCTTCAGATCTGCCCTTATCTGTATGGTTGTCTCTGTTTGCTGAAAAGCTAGTTTCTACGTAAGATTTTATCAATGACTGTGGGAATAGAAACTTCACACACACACACACACACACACACACACACACACACACACACACACACCAAAACACTCATCCATGAATAAAATCAAATTAGGGGATAACATTTGAATTGATACTTTTCTTTTTACAAATGATATCGTTCTCTTCGTGAGAAAATGAACCATGTAGGGACAGATTACCTTGGTATCTCTGAATCCTGCCCTTTCCAAACGGCATCGGCAAGTTCAAAGGAATATAGTGTTCATGGTTGCACACCACACGGAGAAACTCAAACTTGTACTCAAAAAGAGTCTGCAGGAAGAAACGCTTAGACATGAGAACCTCGCTGGATGCTGGATATACGATAAACGTATCAGAAGCAAAGTACGTAGGCATTTAGTGCTAGCTCCTTGGCCCATGGGGACTGAATGATTCTTTCTTTATAGATGTTAGGATGGCTGCAGGATTTGTGTGAAAACCAAAAACACACTTCATTAAATGATGCCTTCAGCAGACTTTAAGGCATTTATTATTTATGCTCCTCGTGTCTACAAAGGATTTCAAGTAGCTTACAATTACACAGATTCAATACAATTTTAAAAAGTCAGTAAGCTGGGAGGTAATAAAGATAATTCTGTCAGAAAGGCTACGTGGTTACTTCTTTGGTCTTGGTAAATGATCTGGTTAAGCCATTCTCAGTGCTGAAGAACAAATGCCATCAGGAGTGCCTACTTCTTGTTGGGGCTACTTGATCCCCAACACCTCACATTTATGCACACAAGTAAGTGTTGGTATATCCAAGAGGGGAACGATGTGTGCCTCTAGAGGAACAAAAGAAAATTCTGACGAGAACTGAGAGGAACAGGTGGGTTCCCAGATGTGAACAGGCCATCCAGACTCAAGGAACAGTGCCCAAGGGCTACGCTACCTTGGGGTCTCCAGGAGCAAAGCAGCTGATGTAGTTGTTGATCTGCTTGAAGACAAAGCCCCTGTCCATGAAGGTGAAGCATCTCTGTGGACGACACAAGCCAAGAGCCGTCAGCTGAGACCCATGGTCTGTAGATCGCTGGGTTCTGGTCAGCACTCACTGTTCCTAAGTTTATGCTTTGATGTAAGCACACACCCTCTACTTGTCAGAGCGCTTCTGTTACCACTCCTGTGGGTAGCTACTTAGAAAGCACACCACAGCGGTGCCCTCCCCCCCGAGGCCCCACCTTGGTGCCCTCCCCCTGGAGGCCCCACCTTGATGAACACAGCTAGGCTGTGGTTCGCGTTCTTAGATGCCTCCGGGTTATCTCGAAACTTCTGTGTAATGTGTGGCATCAGCATGTTCACCACAGTCTCCACCGCATGATGGTAGGAGGCTGGAAATCTCTGGTTCCGTAGTAACTGAAAGAGATTCAGAGCAAACGTTTATGATGTTTTAAGTTGTAACACTTAGGGGTGGGGTTATCTCAGCTTGAAGTCCATTAAAAAAAACAAAACAAAACAGAGTTCTAATCTAGCTTGTCTGAAATTGGATGAAGTGATTAACACTCTTCCTAACGCAATCTAGTGAGTCTGCTGAAAAGTAACTTTCCACGCACTATTTTATCAATACTTTTGGGAATGGAAATCTCATAAGCAAAAAATTTAACCCAATTTTTAAAGTCAAATTATAGTATAGTATTTGAATTTGTATGTGTATTATAAAAATGCTCAAATTTATCAACTATTTGGAACTGCTTTGACATGACAAAGAGAACCTTGGTAGTTCTTATAAATGAGGATAGAAATCCTGATCCAAGAGCTTCAGCAGGAAAAGGGACAGGAGCCTGTATTTCCTCTGAGCATCTATGATGCTAGCATTTCTCAGACACTATTATATTCTTTATTCAAAATTTAAAAAGCAAGTTTGTGGTGTGCATGTGTGTGTGTGTGTGTGTGTGTGTGTGTGTGTGTGTGTGTGTGCATGTATACATTCTGTAGCACGTGTGTGTGGAGGTCAGAGAACAACTATTAAGAGTTTTTCTGTTCTCCCACCAGGTAGGTCCCAGGGACTAAACTCAGGTCATCAGGGCTAAATGCCTTTGCCCACTGAGACATCTTGTTGGCCCTTCTCAGAGAAAGGACTGTGTAGGCTTACGCTCCAAGTATTCAAACTACACACACACACACACACACACACACACACACACACACACACACACACACACACACACACACATTGACGAATGCACATGGCCAGTTTAAAGGGCACGGCAGCCTTCTGCTGCCAAGTTCACATAACGATCTGTCTTCTCATTAATGTGTACCAAAAAAAGTGCTGACTACTTAGCAATCAGCTGCGTTTATTATCACACATCTTCTACATGGCAGGCACTTGCACCTCATACTCTTCCTTACTTTCAATCCTTATATGATCCTTATGACTCAGGCCCCCTGTTACAGACGGTGAGAGAGGGTAGGTAAATGCATGCTAAGGCACACAACTCAAATGACTCCTATCCAGATCTACCAGGAATCCGCAGTCTTCTGCCAGATGAGATCACACGCTTCTTCCCTGACTCCATAAACAAAGCTACTTACAGATGAAGCAAGGAGGGAGCTCAGCTAAGCCTCCACTAACATATCATGGATTTAATTCCAACAGCCACAAGAACAGAGCACCTCAGCTTACAAACAAGGAAGCCAATGCCTAACAGCTCAATATAAAGTCCCAATTACCCTTTAACAGCCTTCCATTTCTTCTCCCCTTCGATGACTGGACCTGTTTGAAATGCAGGGGCAGTGGCTGCCCCTAGAGGCCATTTCCCAGTCTAACATAATGTGACTAGGTTCCGTCTAATGGGCTGCACAGAGTGGCAGGTCCTCCCAGGCCATGTTCAGAGAAGCAGACTGCTTTTGTTCTTTTCTTTCCTATGCTGGAATGTGCTGTGATGATGAGCCAGTTCCAACATGGTCGGAGAGGGTAACACCCGAGGCTGGATAGCCAGATGGGAGGCTGAGTCCCTGCATGACCCTGGGGGGACAAGCCGTCCTCTCCAAACCGCCTACCAGCTCGTGATTTTCCTGTCACAGTTGAGCCACTGTGATCTGGTCTGTTGTACAAGCGCCAGGATGTCACCAAGCAGGCCACACTTCAAGACTGCAGTCAGATCTGTATCTTTCTGATGTGAAACTATGCGTAATTAAATACCAGAACCTATTATGAAGATTTGAAGTGCTTGTTTTTTAATCATTTCAATTAAAACCAAGAACAGTTTTCTTTGGTTTTTCGAGACAGCGTTTCTCTGTGTAGCTTTGCGCCTTTCCTGGAACTCACTTGGTAGCCCAGGCTGGCCTCGAACTCACAGAGATCCGCCTGGCTCTGCCTCCCGAGTGCTGGGATTAAAGGCGTGCGCCACCACCGCCCGGCAAGAACAGTTTTCTAAGCACATACAGACTCAAGAAGGTAGGATCCTATCAGTGAGGTAGGATCAAGTTATATGAATACGAATTTAACCAATTCTTTAAAATCTTGCTTTGAAAAGGATTTTGTTCCTGATGTACTCCTGATGTACCAATCACTCCATGTCCTGGGATGACCACAATGACAGGTGATCGGCTTCTAGAACCCACACAAAAGCCAACTCACCGTCAGGCAAGATTGCTTACTACCTAAGACGGCCAGTCCTGGGGAAGTGGAGTCCCAAGAAACGCTGCTGTCCTTCATAGCTGGGCTGACTCAACAGCTACAAACCCAGGAAAAATGTTTTATAAAAGACCCCTGTCATGGTCGGGAAACCCATTAACCAATATTATCACCAAAAATGGGACTATCACACGTATATGTTCTTGACAGCATATAACAGTACTAGCTATGAAGTATCCCTGCCAGAAAGAACATCAAACCAAGTGTCTAAATTTTAACTGCAAGCATGTAGGTAGTGTAGGAGCCATATTACATAACGTTGTGGGATAACAACTGGCCAATCCTAGAACTCGGGAAATTCTGCTGGACAAATACTACAGTTTGTTTGTTTGGTTGTTTTTTTTTAGCACACACACTGCACTGAAAACACAGAGGAGACATTTTGAGAATTAAAGAAAAAAAGCAAAACACAAAACCACACCAACCCCCTGCCCCCAAATCCGAGAAGCACATCAGCTAAATGTGGTACATGGGCCTTATTTACATTCTGACTCAGCCAAGCCAACTGTAAAACGACGTTTTGGGGACACCTGCGGGAAAGCTGAATACAGTACGGTGTTAGAGGATAATGGAGGCTAATTTTGTCTCAGAGTCATGTAGTAGTGATATCTTGTAAAAAGCCTTCCCTGTCAGAGCTTGTGAGGGTGGGCGCAGCAAGCAGGAGCCGCAGCCATGTTGCTGACTGCTCAAGCTGAACCGCTGGTAACATTAAATGCATCACGCCACCCTCTCCACTCGGTGTTTAGATGAATCTCTACCGTAAGTTTATATTTTCACAAGTGCTGATGCACGATGGATGATTTACATGTCAACCCATCAGTAACGCCGTCACCAGTCACACTGCGATGGTCACTCGGGGCCTCTGAAAGCTGTGGGACACCCTCCTGGCAGCCACAAACAGCTGGAGTAAGGAATTCTGTTTTGACAATAAAACAAACTAAGGCCTTTTTAATGTGGTAAGACACACATTTGGAGGCAGTAAAAGTAATAAAGACCTAGGTAATTAGATGCTTTTATGGAGATCACTATAAACTGAACTGAAAGGGGAAATAAAATCTAGGATAGTGGGGCCGGCGAGCAGAGCTCCAAGGACAGAGTCCAAGACACAGACTTCTCAGGCAAGCAGAATGTCACTCCTTGGCCACAGCCTGGCACAAGTGTCCCCACTGGCCCGGGCACAGCCCTAGGGGATGTCGCCTGTAAGGGTAGTCACAGGACCTACCCCCTCTAATCCATGTCCTGCGTACTCTGTGCATGCCCTGCTCTAAGTGTGGTACCTAGGTGCCATCCTGAGTGGGCTCTCCACGAAGCCCCAGCCCCAGCCCTGCAGTCACACCCCCGTGGACAATGATGTTAAAACCAGGGCTGTGAAGTGTCAGAGCCCCTGGAACTGGAATTACAGTTGTGAGCCATCATGTGGGTGCTGGGAATCGGGCAGGGGCCCTCTGCAGGAGCAGCAAGTGCTCTTAACCGGTGAGCAATCTCTCCAGTCCCCAGGCTTCATTTAGTTGGTTTTGCTTTGTAGCCCAAGCTAGACTTGAACTCTGACCTCCCCAAGGCTGGAATTATAGTCATGCACCATGACACTCGGTTAAATTCAGACTGTCCAAGTGCAGAGTCTGGCAAGTTCTGACAGACGAAAGAGTCGCATAAGCAGCACGATCAAGGAGCCAGCCCAGTTCTCCCAGACCCACTCCTCCACGCCTAGGTCCTGACGGTGGGCGACGTTTTCTATCCCTAAATCTTTCCTTTCCTAGATTGTTCTAAATATAAATGAACCCATCTGTGTAACATTTAGGGTCTGAATTTTACTTCAATACTTCTAAGAGTTGCGCATAGTTTTGCAAGAATAAGCAGTTGTTTTTTTGTTATTAATACTAAGTGGTATTCTGTCATACTGCGTCACCAACAATTTGATTACCCATTTCCCATCCCATGGGCATTTGGGTTGTTTCCAGGTTTTCGCTATTGTGAAGAAAGCTGCTGTGCACCTTCCTACACAGGTCTTTGTGTGGATGTGTGCTTTCATTCCCTTTCATCAAATACCTAGAAGGGAATGGCTGGGCTGAATGAATGGCTCTGGCTTACGGTGTCTTAGTCATTCATTACACTATTCACATTGCTGAGTGTGACCTGCTGCCTCTGCCTAAGACGCATTCTCCTTCCCCTAAGTGTGGCATCCTTCAAGGTCCAAAGTTCACCTCCATGTTCACCTTTGCTTGCTTGGCTCCCACACACACCTTCCTACACCCTGTTTTCATTGTCCCAACCACCGCGGCGGCTTCAGGGTGGAGGATGTGCCCTCGCTCTTTCATGTTTTTCTCCTGCATTCTGCATCTAACAAACAACTACTCACAGACCTGGGGGCTGGAAGCTGGGTGGTAACATTCTGCCTGTCACACAGGCACAGAAGTGTTCAGACTTGCTTTAGGGAAAGCCCAAACAATCTACTTGTTTAGAGCACTTTTAAAATAAAATCTCTTGCCTTGCACGAAGGCTAAGCAACAGCACTTAGGACATCTATGCTTCCTACCTCTGTGGGCTTTCCACACTCATTTTTTAAGGACACCTGTGGGATGTCAGGACTTGGTTTGACACAGCGTGGGAGGAAAGAAGTGGGAAGAAAGTGTGAAGGAATTACAGTTCCTAAACATGAGTGAAAGAAGTTCCCGAAAACATCGCCCACGAACGCAGTCAGAGAACTTCCCAGCAGGCCCTGCTGCCATGAGTTTTACACCTTCCACAAAAACTCACTGTAAATTTCAAGCACCTGCCTCCTCTGATGGCCCTGAGTTGGGCTCAGCCACACGCACTGGACCCTCTGACTTCCTGAGTTAAGCTCAGTCACACACACTGGATCCTCTGATTTCCTGAGTTAAGCTCAGTCACACACACTGGATCCTCTGATTTCCTGAGTCGGGCTCAGCCACACACACTGGATCCTCTGATAGCCCTGAGTCGGGCTCAGTCATACACACTGGACCCTCTGATTTCCTGAGTTAAGCTCAGTCACACGCACTGGACCCTCTGATTTCCTGAGTCGGGCTCAGTCACATGCACTGGACCCTCTGACTCCCTGAGTTAAGCTCAGTCACACACACGGCATCAGAAGCTAGAGGTCCACCTTCTGGAGCTGCTTTCAGATGCCAGTTCAGGGAATGCTTCAAATGTAGTTGACAGATGGGGACTGGAAGGTGGATTCAAAGAAAGCAAAATGGTTTCCACATTAATTCTTCCATGCCAATATGTGCGGGAGGGTCACCCATCCACTGTTAGGATGTACACAGAAGGTGTCTCCCACAGGTCCGCACACTAGAACCCCAAAAGTAACAATGAAGCTGCATCAGCTCCCATCCCAACCCAAGGCCCAGGGGCACCTGTGGGATGAGTGGGTACCTCGGGAAGACTCACTAAGGAGGAAATCAAAGTCTGCAATAGAAAATATCAGAATAAATTCAGGATATTTAGATAAACATATAAAAACTCAAGAGGATTTGACCCAAGAAGAAAATCATGAATGATAAAAGAACTTGTTCCATAAACTAAGAACATGTGTGTGTGTGTGATGTGTATGATGTGTGTGGTGTGTATATGTATGTATGTGCTGTGTGTTGTGTGTAATGTGTATATGTGTGATGTGTGTGGTGTATGTGGGATGAGTGGGGTGTGTGTGTGTGTGTGTGTGTGTGTGTGAGAGGTGTGTGGTATGGGTGGTACGGTGTGTGTCTGTGCTGTATGTGTATATATGTAATGTGTATGGTGTGTGTGATATGTGTGTGTGTGTGCTGTGTGCTGTGTGATGTGTGTGTGTGGAATGTGGTGTGTGTGTGTGTGTGAGATGTGTGTAGTATGTGTGATATGGTATGTATCTGTGCTGTATGTGTATATGTGTAATGTGTATGGTGTGTGTGATATGTGTGTGTGTGTGTGCTGTGTGCTGTGTGATGTGTGTGTGTGGAATGTGGTGTGTGTGTGTGTGAGATGTGTGTAGTATGTGTGATACGGTATGTATCTGTGCTGTATGTGTATATGTGTAATGTGTATGGTGTGTGTGATATGTGTGTGTGTGTGTGCTGTGTGCTGTGTGTGTGTGGAATGTGGTGTGTGTGTGTGTGTGTGTGTGTGTGTGTGTGTGTGTGTGTGTGTGTACATGCACATGCATGCACAGCACTTGCAGCAGCTTTGTGACAGGAGGCCTAGATAGACGGGCAGTCTGTGGGAAGCAGGATGGCACCTCTAGCACAAGCAGGCGGGGCTAAAATGGAAGATGTGAATCTTTAGAGTGTCGGGAGGGCTCCTGAGTCTCCCTCAGTGTCAGCTCCACTGGGGCTCCACTCTACTCTGGAGACGGAGCTCTTACAGGCTGGAGCCAGGACTGGATAGGAAATCGGGCTGTTCACTACCCTCTAAACATCGCTGCAGGACTAAGAGACCACAGAGGTAGGAACAGACTGAAACTCCAAAGATAGACAAAGCATTTCTTAGAGCAGAGGTGAGGGGAGCCTGCGAAAGGCTGGAAGGGGCGGAGCCCCTCACACGGCTGCTTTCTCCAGCAGTTCTAGGCTCCACAAAGCCACGTGATCTGGAAAGATCATCGTGCACATGTTCTACCTAAACTCCTTTATTTTTGTAACACTGAAGGGTTATTTGCTGAGCAAAACAGATACACTTAAAAGACAGTCAAGTCACAATGTCCTCTGAAGTGATCTTATTTATTTAGGATTAAAACATAAAAATTATCCCAGGGCTTTTTTTGTAGGTTGAACTACACTCCCAAATTAATATCTTGAAGATGAGGTTTTTCCCCTAGGTGCTTGCTCATGCACTCCCCCTGACACACACACACACTCACACACACACACACACACACACACACACACACACCGCAGGCATGTGTGTGCCTTAACGTGACCGTGGAGGTCAAGGGACAACCTCAGGCATCGGCCCTCATCAGCCCTCACCTTCCATCTTGTTTGAGACAAGGTCTCACTACAACAGTACTGGGATTACAGAACCGTGCTAACCAGCCTGGCTCTCCCGGGGCTCTGGAGACATGGACTCAGGTCCCACGCTCCCATACAGCAAGTCCTTTATCCACTGAATCATCAGCCCATATGCTTAGGTTGTAGCACTCCAGAAATATCCCAGTGGGGGACTGTTTGGAGACAGGATCTTAAGGAGAAACTAAGGCAAAATGATGTCATCAGGGTGGGCATAATCCAACGTGACAGGTGTCATCCATCACAGGACATAAACCTTTGCAGGCAAAGCAACTATCCATAAAAAGAGTAGAGACCTCGGAGAGGTCAACCTCATGGAAACTCTGACCTAAAACTTCCAGCTTCTGAACTCTGAGGAAATAAATGTCTACTGTCTGATCCAGTGGCAACAATGGAAAATCTACAGGCTATAATCCTGTTGCACTTATGATATGTTTAACTGAAAAATAATATAATCAAATGGTATGTGTAAGAGCGCACATTTGGCTGCATACTGCTTGATTCTTCCTTGGCAGCATGATTTGGCATGAATTTAGAGGGTGCACATCTCTGTGCAAGGCAAGCACACCCCCCCCTCTTCCATCTGCCATCTCCTTGTGCACTAAATATCAAAATCTTTAAGTTGGACTGAAACAGGAAAAACAAACAAACAAAGAGACCAACTGGCGAGGATCAATGCCTGCTCAACAGGTGAGGTACGGCTGCAGGTTCTGGGCCACCAACCTTCTGTTCAGCAAAATCTGGTGGCCCTTGCCTAGGATTCCTCTGAGGAACCAGAGCCCTTGAGCAAAAAGGCCAAGGTCTTGAGCCTCTGATGTCCCCTCTCAGGGCTTTCTGATACACAGCACACGTATCCAAAGGGTACATGCAGCCCCATCACATGCAGCCCCATCACATGCAGCCCCATCACATGCAGCCCGTCACATGCAGCCCTACATCCCAATGCTCGCACAAGCTTCTCAAGCTTCTCCAGTCACACCCTCGGCTGCAACAAGGCCACAATTTACTGTCACAGGACAACTCCCCACTCCTGTCTCAGAAGCAGCTCCTCTAGTCATTAAACAGAGAGTGACAATGTCAGTGTGTGTCCTACATTAGGACTTCATAGAAGCAGCTGTGAGCCTCGGAGAGCCAGAATGCCACATCCTAACCCAGCTGGAAACAAGACCAGTTGTTTGGGGATGAGCCTCATGAGAACCAAGGGACGGAATGTGATAGTGGGAACCAAGGGACACAGCCACAGAAACACACATACCCAGTACCCCAAAAGGAGCACTGAAGGAGGGGGAAATTTAAGACTACATATATCTGCCCCAAAGAGAAGGAGCACATCAGGGCCTATTGTTTGGTTCTGGAGGATAGGTGGCTGGTGAGACTCAACCATCTGTAGACAGAAATATCTACCATGGTTAAGACACCTAATAAACACCAGATGCTGGCATTTTACATTAATGCTTAATTGGTCCCAATTCAAAAAGCTTGAAGATTTCTAAGCTAGTCAAAGAAAAAGATGTAATTTTCTTTGGATTTAATAACCTCGTAAGCAGCCAGGAACCAAGGCCTTGGAGCTGGACGTGTTTCCAAACTTGGTCCTTCCGCTCATTAACTGCAGGATTGAGGCAAATAATTCAAACATTCTAGCCTCAGTTTCTTTATGTAAAAACTGTACTCCCTCACAGGACTGTTGTGAAGCCAAAATGTTTTACTGACTGTGCAGCACATAAAATAATCCTGGGAGTCCCTGGCACACAGAAAACATAAATAGGTGTGACCTGTCAACCCCATGAAAGCCATTTTCCCACAACAAGCAGGCCCCCAATGGAGTCACCGACCTTCACTTTGTTGTTTTCTATCAAATGCTGAGCCATGGACTTTATCAGCACATCGAAGAAAAACCACGAGTACTAAAAGAAAAGGAGAAAACACAAAATGACGCACTGTTAGGAAAGAGGTGACCTCTCCTACACTGATAGGATTAGCCAAGAGAAGCAAGTGTCAACCTTAAAACACACCAGACCTCTGGCAGACACTCATCAGATCCGGGGCAGGTGGCAGACGTCTGCTCCTTGTGCACACACAACACACAGCTGGCCCCTGGAAGATGGAGCATCTCTCCAGCCAGAGGCACTGATCATTCACCGAGTCTCTCCTCTGTCAACTTCTTGCTCAGTGACACGGCTTTTGCCATCTTTATCCGTGTCCCCCACCGACTTCAATACAGGGACAACGTGACTTTGAATACGCTAATTCATTCTTTACGGCTCTCATCTGAGACCCAACTCGCAAACTGGGACCTGGAGAACTAACTCTGGTCTGCTGTGGGATAATCCTTTTGTACACTGGTTTAATAAAACACTGATTGGCCAGTAGCCAGGCAGGAAGTATAGGCGGGATAAGCAGACAAAAAGAATTCTGGGAAGAGGAAGGCTGAGTCAGGAGATGCCAGCCCGCCAGGGTGCAGCATGTAATGGCACACAGGTAAAGCCACAGAAAACGTGGTAACATGTAGATTAACAGAAATGGGCTGAGTTTAAGTGTAAGAGCTAGTCAATAGTTAGCCTGAGCTAACGGCTGAGCAGTTTTAATTAATATAAGCCTCTGTGTGTTTACTTGGGTCTGAGCAGCTGTGGCCCAGGCGGGACACAGGAAAATCTTCAGCTACATTGGTCACTCAGATTTAACAGTGTTGCTGGTGGTAACTGTCTATCAATGCACACAAATAGGCTTAGCTGATTAGGCTGTGAAATTTAACTTTTCTTTCCCTACATTTTTATATTTTCATTTAATAATATATAAAGTTATTTATATATTAAATGAATATATTTAAGAGAGAGTGTCAGCCCATGCTGATCACAACTCATCATGTAAGGAAGGATGTTTCTGATCCCCTGCCTGTTTCCCTAATTCTGAGATCATGGGTGTGAGCCACCATACCTGGTTTTCATTAATTGGCTTTTGAAAATAGTTAATTAGTAAAAATTAAAAAAAAAATTCCCAGATACAGTTCATGTTAACCAGGCTGGTCTCAAAATTGTGCACTCAAGGGACCTACAGGGTTTGGAAAGAGCAATGTTCCCCGTGGGCTCACGCATTAACACTTGGTCTCCAGTTAGTGGCGCTGTTTGGGGAGTGTACGGCATCTTTAGGAAGTGTGGCCTTGCTGGAGGCAGTATGGCACTGGATGTGAGCTTTGAGGGCTTACAGCCTTGCCTCACTTCCAATTCTCTCTCTCTCTCTCTCTCTCTCTCTCTCTCTCTCTCTCTCTCTCTCTCTCGCTTTGTGTTTGCAGCTGAAGATGTGCTCGCTCAGACCCCCACCCTGTTGCCCACTGCTGTGCGTCTCTCTCACCAAATGAGCTCTAACCACCTGAAACCGAAAGCTGAAATAAACTTCCCTCATTAAGTGGCCTCTGGTCATGGTGTTTATCACAGCAACAGAAGACTGACTAATACATGATCCTTCCTGCTTAGACTCCCGACAGCTGGGACCACAGGCATGTGCCACCATGGCTAGCTCTCAATTTACTTAACTGCAACATGAAAATTATATACATTATTGGGGCAACATTTAATGCTTTGGTATGTTTAACTCAGATTAAATATATCCAACTTAAACATTTTTTCATTTCTTTATGGTGAAAATTTTCAAAATTCTTCCTCCTAGAAACAAAAAGGAATGCACGCACAGAACACTGCTGCTTTCTGTTCTCATGGTTCTGTGCAGCAGTACTGGGGCGCTTCTTGTTCCTAAGAAACTCTCAGTACCCATCATCGACCTTCCCAGCCCAGCCCCTCATTAGCCGGTTATCTGTTGCTGTTTTGGAAGATGAGACCAGGGACCTCACGCATGCCACACAGGCATCCCCATCCCTTGGAGGGAAGATGAGACCAGGGACCTCACGCATGCCACACAGGCATCCCCATCCCTTGGAGGGAAGATGAGACCAGGGACCTCACGCATGCCACACAGGCATCCCCATCCCTTGGAGGGAAGATGAGACCAGGGACCTCACGCATGCCACACAGGCATCCCCATCCCTTGGAGGGAAGATGAGACCAGGGACCTCACGCATGCCACACAGGCATCCCCATCCCTTGGAGGGAAGATGAGACCAGGGACCTCACGCAGGCCACACAGGCATCCCCATCCCTTGGAGATCAGTGCTAACGCTGAAGAGCCAGGCTGGTTGTCCCAGTGTTACCTTAAGAAGTTTGTTGCTGGTAAGGAAATCAGCGGAAGGCTTGAGAATGGTGGTCATGGATTTGGTCAGTTCCTCGTGCACCGTCTTATATTCAGAGGCAATATACGGCTCGGCCTTATAGGCAAACTTTAAAAAAAAAAGAGAAAGAGACTTTACTCACCGGTCCTTTCAAGTTGAGGGGCAGAAAGCTTGAGAGGCTTCTGAGAACAGAGATCGGGACTGAGGTGCACATTCAAGGGTGGGAGAAGGGATGGAAACGAAGGTGGGAGGGGTGATCGTTATGTGACAGAAAGAGCGTGTCTAAGATGTCTTCAGGAACCCATCCGAAACATGGCAACTATACACGTCAGCAGTTCAGAGCTCATCTAGCACACAATTCATCAGTAATGGGACCTTCTAGAAATGTGTCACAGGACAGACTAACAGGTCCCGGAGAATCCAAATTTTAGTTTTCAAAGTACCACAAAGCCCAAGTTCACATATCATAGGATGTGTAACTTTTTAGAATGGTGTTTGTCACTCCGCTTATTTAATACTACATATCAAGAACCTATTGCTGTTTATCCCAACAATATCTCATGCTGTTCCACACAGCCTTTTGATTTGATTGTGGCCAGAGTTAACCTTCCATTCTCAAAAGTAACAGGGACGCTGGGAATTTTAGGTGGTTTAAAAAGGCATATAAAGATTGCCAATGTATAAGACGTATGCGCAAGATCACTTAAAACAATTCTTGCTTCATTAAAAGATAAAATTAGGTAAATGAAGGAATGGCTGCCTCTTTTCCAGCTCCTCCTCGTCCAGGTACAAGCCTTGGCAGTGGAGACCAAAGAGAACACGTAGGTATTAAATTCCGAATGCACCCCTTAAATGACAAGTCTTGTTAGAAAGAAGTCTTTGGAAGGAAACTTGGAGAGCCACAGCTGTAAATGATCGTAGCAGCTTGACTTATTTATTTATTTATTTTACATACCTTAACATATGACCTCAAGTGGCTCTCCAATCCTTCCTCATGGCACTGGGCAACCACATGAATAATGACCCTACACACCACAGGAATGAATAAAGCAATGAGTAGTGATGTGGAAATGGGGACATTTCATTATCTTCACAGCAGAACAAGGATGATGCCACTGGCACTCAGCAAACAAGCAGACAAGGAGTTAGACGGGGTGCCTCCGTGCGAGGTTAAAAGACATCGCTCCAGCATAATGAGCATCACATACTAGCATCCCAGGTAGGCTCCAGGTATGGATGGACTGAAGGGAAGAAGAGTATGGATGTACCCATCCATCCGTCCGTCCGTCCGTCCATCCATCCGTCCATCATCCATCCATCCATCATCCATCCATCATCATCCATCCATCCATCCATCCATCCATCCATCCATCATCCATCCATCCAATCCGTCCGTCTGTCCGTCTGTCCGCCCATCCATCCATCCATCCATCATCCATCCATCCATCATCATCCATCCATCCATCCATCATCCATCCATCATCCATCCATCCATCATCATCCATCCATCCATCATCATCCATCCATCCCTCCCTTCCCCCCTCCCTTACCGAGTCACATTAACTGTAACCTCCTCCTGAGTGGCTCTGGTGAGGACTCGGAACAGCTGGTTTAGGATGGTGGGCAGGAAGGCGATCATCACATGGCCTTCCATTGCATGCAGACTCTACAAACAGGGAATGGTGAGACACATGTTATATTTTTTAAAAATCTATTTCATTTCAGTTATTCTCTTTGAGATGGAGGTCTTGCTGTAGACCCAGGCTGAACTGGAATTCATGGCTGCCAGTGACCGTCACATCTCAGCCTCCCAAGCACCTGTGTCAACAGGTGCATGCCACCACACCCCACTGGCTTATCAAGGCAATGTCCACTTCATTTCAATGTCCACTTCATTTCAAATAAGCACGAAAGCACTCCCTCTAAAATACATGGAAAGCTGAGGGCAAGCAGAATGGCATTCAAGGATGCCTGTGTCCTAAACTGCAGGCTCTGTGAAGATGCTCCACAGTGAGGGGGAAGAAGGACCATTAACTAGTTGTCCTTAACAGGGCGTCTATAGTGGACCAGTGTAATTACAAAAGCTCTTTAAAGCACAGAGAGGCAGAAGAGGAATCACGAGGGGCTGTAACCAAGAAGAATGGTCAGAGCAGCCATAGCTGTCACTGAATTGGAGGAAGTGGAAAAGCTAACAGTCATAATGTCCCTGTGTGTTCATTTTTTAAATATGTAGGTTGTTTTCTCTTGATCAGACCTAATATAAGTCTCTACTCCATTTCTTGCATCTTATTTTGTCCTACACCTGGAATGCCACTTAGTGACTCTGTATTCAAAGTACTCTTCTATAATCATTCTGTATTGAAGTCTCCTCTGTCCTGCTGTCCATGCTACACAGTGGCTCCAGGAACACACCTAACTCCCGCATACAGCTGTGTCAGGCTCGGTGTTTTACCTCTGTCTACCCAGGAGGCTGCCATCAAGTGAGTATTAAGTTCTCTAAGGGTCAGGACTGTTGGGATTTGAGTGTGTCCTCCACCAAGCTTGTGATAGAAACTAATCCTCAATGCAAAATCAAGAAGAGATAGGGTCCAAAGAGAGGTGATCAGACCATGGGGGTTCAACCTTCAGGAATGGATCACGGAGACTGCTAGAGTGGGTTCCTTATAAAATGATGAGTTTGTCTCCTCCTCCTCTTCCTCCTCCTCTCTACCACCCAGCTCTTGCTTTGATCCTCTCATAGCCCCCTGAACTGTGAGAAAAATACATTTCTGTTCTTTAGGATGATCCAGCTTCAGGTATTCTGCTATAGTAGCACCAAACAGGCTAAGCTGGGACAGCTTCTCCTGTGCTTAGCAGCTGGCAAACATCCAGCAAAGGTCTGTCAGGTGAGCACAGGAGAAAATGTGTTCTCAAGGGAGAGACAGGGACGAGCATGCAGGCAGGAACAGAGCTATTTCTGAGTTCACTCTGGTCCCCTATCTAAAGACACTCAAAGCCACCACTGTGAGAGCATCCAGGTAGGAGCATCCTCACACAAGCTTACAAGGGGCAGCAAGCAACAACACCCACCACCAACAAAGGAAACACAATTTATTTCCAAAGTCACTTAAAAGAGGGACTAAGAAAGCCACCTGGTACCTTAAGGTATTTTACAAGTTCATTCCCTGAGGCTTGGGCTCCAGATTCCGTTTTCTGACAGTACTGGAAAAAGTTATGTAAATGCTGATCCTGGGGGGCAGAGGAGGAGGAGAACGTCTGTTAGTATATGCTTCTAGAAACAGGAGACTCCTGCTTCAGGGAACAAACATGAATGGCATATATTTATGCCTGTGTGTGTGTGTGTGTGTGTGTGTGTGTGTGTGTGTGTGTGTGTGAATGCATTTCTGTGCATCTGAGTACATGTGTGTAGGACTGCACACACCAGTGTGTATGAAGAGGTTGGAAGAGGAATTGGGAGTCCTCCTCTATTGCTCTGCCTATCCCTTTGAGGCAGGAGCTCTCTTCCTTGAACACAGAGCTGGAAGGCAGCAGGCCCTAGTACTCTCATGTCTCTGATACCCTTGGAAGTAGGGTGATGGGCATGGGTGAGATGCTTGGCTTGTTTGTTCCATGGAATCTGAATTCTGACTTTCATGATTTCGTACTGGGTGCCCTGTACCACTGAGTCATCATGAATGCTATTTAAGATTATAAAACTGACCATGTACAAATGACATCCAAAGGATCCTCCAGCATAGGAAAACGGTTGAACAATGTCACAGACTTATAAATTACTTTTCATGGATATCAGCACACATAAGCACCTCCCATGTACTTTTTTCAAATAGAGGCCTATAGTGTAATAATACATTCACAGGACACCAGGATTCTGTTTTACACAGACAACTTGGTCACAGAGTAATCACTGGAATGAGATAGTTGACCCGTACCTGAGTGTACACGGTGGAAACCAGATGAGTGGAAATTTTCAACAGAGGCTTGCCTCCTTCCACCCACTTAATTTCTGGACCATAATGCTGAAAAGAAGAATGGGGAAAGATCCAACAGATTAGCTATCTCAGCTTGCACACAACCATCAGGGACGACCCTGAGGAGGGACTAAAGACTCAAAGGCTCCAGTGGCTGCAGAGCTGTGCCTGGCCACAGCAGCAATACCGTTGTGTTTGCATTGTTTGCCCAGTTACTTCCCCTCAGCACACTGCCCTTCCTCCCGGGCTTTCTAAGTTGTCCGAGATGACGGTCCATTTCACTGGAAATGAATCCGACTTCACCGGTATCTTTATATGTTTTTGAGACAGGGTCTCACTATGTAGCCCTGACTTGACTGGAACTTTCTAAGTAGACCAGGCGGATCTCACACTCCCAGATTCACCTCTGCCTCCTGAGCGCTGGGATTAAGGTGTGCACCACCATGCTTGGCTTCATGAGTATCTTAGGCAGACCTGAGTTCAGGACTCTGGGAAGCAATAAAGGTGACACCAGACAGTGAACTACGATGTGGGAAAGAGAGTCGGTTCTCGGGGTCTATATCAACCTAACTGAGAACTCATCCTTATTTGAGCATGGCTACTTCCCAGAAAGACTCATGCCAGGCCCAGTACCTCTCTGCTATGGCACTACCAGTACAGGCTTATAAAATGCATCGAGTGTCATCTGAAACAGCTTCTAATTGTACACATTTACTTCAAAATGAATAAAGAAAACCAATCTGATAAAAATCCCATGAGCCGTTTCTGTTGTATGCTATTGCTGTTTTTATATTCTTCAATGCTTTCTGAAGAAACTGGGTTAAAACAAACCAATCTTAAAATCCGATACCCTGCCCATGCTGAGCTCCTGGTAGCCAAGGTAGCCAGATGGAAGATTGGCTGAGACAGGGATATGCTGTTCATTTGTCAACACCCTTCCGTCTTTCAGGAGCGGAAGCCAGGAATAGCCAACTGTTGAGAACAAAGAACAAGAAAAGCCACTGTGAGCTCACTCCTTCTGAAGGGAAATCACTGCAAGCCTGAGCAACAACTGTTACCATCAATCAAGTAAGTGATGGGGAGGCCTCGGGATAGCCTCGACTGAGTCTCTTTGCATATGCAATTCAGGCACAATAGCATCAGGCCACCTAGAAACCCACCTAGAAACCCTTTGGCAAAAGGATGAATATTAAGAATCAAAACATAATAAAAAACTCCAACATGCAAATGTTAAAAAACAACAACAAAACAACCAAGAAATGAAGAGTCGGGTTCCCACCTTGTGTTTCAACAGCGTCCTTCTTCTTCGTGCTCCCTTTAGTCGAGTTATCGCAGCTGACGTGGAAGAAGGTGAACAGCAGATGGTGCTTCTCATGTAGCTGGGTTGGCAGTTCTATCTTGATCTGCAAAGGCAGCAGAACAAAGTTCCTAACATCCCACAACAGCAAACGTTCCCAGGGGAGGCGGGTGTACACCACCCAACTCGAATGTAGACGCCTGTTCCCCAAACCCTTCCTAGGATTAAACGTAGACACACCCAAGCTGTTAATGACGCCAAGGAGAGACGGATTCTGAACACACTGACTAGAATCCGGGGAAGGGGTGATGTCTCTTCCAGGCATAAGCAAACGGGAAAACAGGCACCACGATGCAAACCACACAGCTGTCGGCATGAGAACCTGGGGCTGAACATTTCTTCACACACAGCGGTTTCAATGAACTACAGTTGAACTTGGACAACAGGGTTTTCAACTATATGGGTCTCAGATATGAAGACTTTTGTTTACTTTTGGTTTTTGGCACTAAGAATTAAATCTAGCACCTCACATATACTAAGCACATACTTTCTCACTGTGCCACATCATGATCCTATGCAGAATCTGGGTTTTTGTTTGTTTTATTTATGCTGTGGGATGTTCTGTATGTCAAATGTGTTGCTCTGATTGGTTAATAAATAAAACACTGATTGGCCAGTAGCCAGGCAGGAAGTATAGGTGGGACAAGGAGAGAGGAGAATTCTGGGAAGTGGAAGATTGAGTCAGGAGACACTGTTAGCCGCCGCCATGAGTACCAACATGTAAGATACTGGTAACATAAGTACCAACATGTAAGATACTGGTAAGCCACGAGCCATGTTGCAAGGTATAGATTTATAAAAATGGGTTATTTAAGATGTAAGAACTAGATAGCTAGAAGCCTGAGCCATTAGGCCAAACAGTTTAAATAATATAAGAGTCTGTGTGTTTATTTTATATGTGGTCTGCGGGACTGCCGGGGCTTGGTGGGAGCTGGAGAGAAACTGGAGATTTGCAGTCACTTGCAAAATTCATACACAAACCACTTTACCTAAAATGTCAAAAAATTAAGTACTCATGAGTATATTATATATATATATATATATATATATATATATATATGTAAAAGTGATACTTGGGGGGCTATCTATGTGTGATGTGCAGTACATGTGGGTGGTATATGCACACATGTGGGTATAAGTACATACCCAAAGTGCAAGGAGGCAACAGGATGCAAGGTGTTTAGTACTCTCCCCAGTTCCCTTGAGACATGGTATCTCCTTGAGCCTGAGGTGGGCTGGCATCAGCACACGCCAGGGGTCCTCTTATCTCGACCTTCCCCCACCTCTGAGATTATAGATGCATGCGTGGCCATGCTCAACTTTTTATACTGGGGCTGAGGATTTGAACTCGGGTCCTCCTGCTTCTGGAGCAAGCGCTTACCTATTCAGCCATCTCCTTAGTGCCAATGTGTTACCATAAAATCTACACTTACCAATTATTGAGGTAAGATTTATCAAATTGTATGCATCAAACAGATGGCTGGCAACTTTCACAATCAAAAGGAACGAAGCGAGAATGCTAACTCACAACTGTATGAATCAATGGTAGAACACACTGTAATTTAAAAGCCGCCTCCTACTGATCCTGCAGTGAGCTCAGTGCTGCATGAATCTGTCTAAAACGTAAGCAATTTCACTTTCCTGCAAACTGAACATGGCAATAAAAAGTGATGTCTCTTGGTTCTCACGTACTTTTCACCATATGTAGACTATACAACATATAGAATTTGTTAACTGATTGCTGTGTTATTGATAAGCCTCTTCCGGCCAGCACCAGGGTATTAAGTTAAGTTCTGTGTAAATCAAAAGTCACATGTGAAGTTTAGATCACTCCAAGAGCACGCCACCCCCGTGACTGTAGCAGTTCACGAGTGAACCATTCCATAGGAGAAAATCCACCAATAAACAGGATCATTCTTAGGTTCAACAGTCCTATGTTCAAGGATAAATTTGGTTTTTGTTGTTATATTTTTTAAAATCTAATCATCCTCCAAAGTTTTCCGCTCCTTCCACTCCTCCCTTTCTCTTCAGGAAAGAGCAGGCCTCCCAGGGATATCAACTCAAGGATGAATTTGAAGAGTGCTGCTAGAATATTAACTATGGTACTAAAGGTGCAATTAAGAATTTTCTTTTATTAATTTGTAATTTGTGGTTTTATTTATACCAACAAAGATGTTAAATAGAAAAATCATGTAAAACAAACACCAATTCTGCTGTGATTTCAGCAGGGAATGCTGCTTTTCTTGCACTCTGCTGTAACTAGCAAAAAGTTTCATGTTTCTCTTAAGACTGGTGAAATTGTGTCATTCTTTGAAAACACCATTACCTCATCATAGAATTCTGGGTTTTGTTGATGGTGTAGAACCGCAGCAAGGGCACTTCTCGTGAACACTGGGCCACCAGGTCTGCCGTAAATGCACTAAAAGGAGGAACAGCAAAAACCAACACTCGGTTTCAGGTGACGGAGTGAGAAATTGGTTAGATGTGTTACAGAGCAAGAGGCTTCTCAGGCTGTGTCTGCCTGGGAGAGCCCAGGTCTTCGAGCCTTTAACTCTGGGGTCCTGGGAAACCAGACCTTCCCCAGCCTGTGGCCCACCCCTTCCATTTTTCCATGCAAACATTTATATTTGTCTAAATTAAAATAAATACATTTAAAAAAAGCTTATTCAATGCCTTCCATTTCAGGCAGCCTTCTTTCCACGACAGTGTCTGTCAGTAAACTGTAAATTTCTTTTCTCCTCTCCCACCCGCTTTCTCCCTTCCCTCTCTTGTTCCCTCCCTTTGTGCCAGGGTCTCACAGCCCAGCCTGGAACTCCCTGTGTGGCCAGAAGTTCTCCAGCCTGCACTGCTGGAGTGTGGCTCTTACAGGCTTGTGCTGCCATGCCTGCCTTTATGAGGTGCTGAGACAGAACTCAGAGCTCCGTGTGTGCTAGGCAGGCGCTCCATCAACCCCAACCTAAACTCAACTACCTCGAGAGTAACTAGTTCTGTCTGGACATTTGTCTCCCTCTCTCTGGGAAAGTCATTTTAACACTGTAAAGAATTTAGGCTCTGGAGCTGGACCGCTTGGATTTGAAACTCAGTTCTACTAAAGTATGTAGCACTGAGCCATTCAAAGTCTGTGCATTAATCTTAGAAGCTGGAAATTATGGAACTCAGTGGATCTATTTGAAAGGTCTGTTTGATAATTGGAAGGGTTAAAGTAGGCATGCCACGGTGCCAGGGAACATCATCAGTCAACTTGGCCTCCGACAACAGACAACATTGCTGCTATTCTTTAATGGCTAATTAATGAAGATCCCGTGGTGGATCATGACTTCTACCTTCACACTCACTCACAGCACGGATCTTCACACCAAGACAATGTCTGATGCACGGTGGGTATTTAGTACATCCTTACTGAATCATGCACACATAAGAGATCCTACTCCAACAAGAACAGCAAAACATACAGTCCTAAAATTAGGACCAAGAATCAACCTGCACATTCTATGACATTTAGCATAGGCCATTATATAGTATAATACCATATAGTTTGAGTTTGTGTTAATTAAAATTAAAATGTGCCGATCTTTAATATATATATTAAATATATGTACATATATATATTAAAAAACAAACCTTCAGAGGTTGAGAATCTTCTTCATCGGAATCTTTGAACTCAATGCAAATAGCAATATTTCTGGCCTGCAGTGGTATGCAAGAGAAAAAGATGTAAGAGGAAAAAAAAGGCAACAAAACGCAGCATATATACACATTTATAAAAGAACCTAAAAGCTAAGTTGTAAAGGAGATGTGTATGTCTGTGCACTCACCTTAGCAAAAGACTTCTGACTGTCATATTTCAAGTACTTCGGGTAAACGTAAAGGTGATTGCTATAGACAGTATAAGGCTGGGTGTGTCTGGGTATACAGGGCACAAACTCCTCTACTTCAAAGGTGAGCGGAGATTTACTGCAGGCTTCGAATTGCCTCATGGGAATGTATGATGAATTCAGATAATCTGAAAAGAAATCCCAAATAGTACAGAGCAGAGGAAAGGCCAACTAAACAACAGTGTGGGCTGCTTATTACACAGAACTGAACACTTACTGGGGGAGTCAGAGGAGACGTTATCGATCGTGATGTCTAGATTGCCCAAAATCACTGGGAGTTTGGCCATCTTCTCAGGTCTACAAACAAAAGAGGAAATCAAGTATTATGAGGGAGGTTAACTGTGAAGTCTAAATTCTCAAGTGGCTTTTTCAGGAAAAGGATATAACAATATATATAATAACACCAGTTGCAAAAATCACATTTCTACTTTGTAGCAACCACATGAAAAATATTAAAAACAGGTAAAAATATGGCATTTCACTTAGCCCAACATTTGCACAATATTATCATTTTGGAATGTCATCAATACAACAATGTGCTAAGTCTTCAAAGCCAGTGTTTTGTAGTGCACACTGGGGCTCAGACTCTTTCCAGGATTTGAAGTGCTCCGCAGCCCAACCACACAGGTCAGGATACGGAACATCACCAAATAGTTACGATGATACAATATCACCACATAATTACAATGAAAGCCCCCTTCTCCTCAGCCTCACCACGGAGATACCAGGCTTGTTTGGAATAATCTGCATTTAGAACCAGAAGCCACATCAATGCTGGGCATGGAATAGACAATCAATGAAACTCGTTTGTCATTCATCTGACGCCATTTAATAGAGAGTCTCCCATTGTCACTGAGAAGAGCTGCTACTGTTGTCAAAGAAACCAACACAATCATGTGACACCAGGCCCCGTTCCCCACAGGTGACAAAATTCCCTTCTCTGAAGTATTTGTTCACCAAGAGTCCAGGAAAATGTTCCTCTTTCAACCATCTACAGCTACCACACAGTCTTTTTTTTTTTAATTTGGGGTGTGTGTGTGTGTGTGTGTGTGTGTGTGTGTGTGTGTGTGTGTGCCCTTGGAGGTCAAAAGCACCAGATCTCCTGGAACTTGAGTTATAGGTGGTTGTGAGCTGCCTGATGTAGGTGCTGGGAATCAAACTTAAATCCTCTGGAAAACTAGTATGTGCTTTACACATTGGGACATCAGAATAGGACTTATTTTTGTTCTGATAAAATTTCATCTTTTTATGTTTGACCCATTCATAGTTGACTCCTCCTGAATCCAGGTTCTAGTCTCTGATCTTCCTAAGAGCTTCACGTCATGAAGATACTTGACCAGCATAGTATATGTTCGTAACCATCACTGGCCACGTTATATTACACAGAATACTGCCAAGAACATGTTCTTAAATCCTCCATTTCCACGTGGTAACTGACGACTCCAACAATCAAACAGCTGCTCACTCACATCCCTGAGTCGCTCATGGGATGACACATGTAACCATGGCAAACACACTGTGCCAAGGGCGTTGCACTCCTCTGTGGCACCAGCTTAGCCAATCAATTTAGAAGAGATGTGGTCAAGGTGACCGACTCAACATGACATGGCCGGTCCTGGAACAGAATGCTGTCACACGGCTCTTCATAACCCACCTGTTTAATCATTCCTTTCACAGCATTGCCAAGGATCATCCAAGCTCAGTGTCTGTGTTGATTAGAGGTCTGTCAACTTGACACAAGCTTGGGTTGAATGGGAAGAGGGACCCTCAACTGAGAAAATGCTCCCATCAGGTTGGCCTGTAGGCAAGTCTATGGAGCATTCTCTTGATTAATGACTGCTGTGGGAGGGCCCAGCCCACGGGATGATGCAACCTCAGGGCAGGCGGTCCTGGGCTATACAAGAGAGCAAACTGAGCCAGCCACGAGGAACAAGCCAGTAAACAGAATTCACTCATGGCACCTGCTTCCCTTCCTGCCCTGGCTCCCTCCGTGGACGGTGACACGGTAGTGTCAGCCCTGGCTCCCTCCATGGACCGTGACATGGTAGTGTCATCCCTGGCTCCCTCCATGGACGGTGACACGGTAGTGTCAGCCCTGGCTCCCTCCGTGGACAGTGACATGGTAGTGTCAGCCCTGGCTCCCTCCGTGGACGGTGACACGGTAGTGTCAGCCCTGGCTTCCCTCTGTGGACCGTGACACGGTAGTGTCAGCCCTGGCTCCCTCCGTGGACGGTGACACGGTAGTGTCAGCCCTGGCTTCCCTCTGTGGACCGTGACACGGTAGTGTAAGCCAACTGAACCCTTTCCTCTCCAGGCTGCATTCGGTCATGTCTTTATCGCAGCAACAGAGAGCAGACAAACCCGGGAGCCGGCAGATTCAGCATCTGGTGCATTCCCCACCCCAGCTTTTAGGACTCCTCTGGCACGGTCACCTACTGAGTAGTCTCACAGGAAACCCTTCCGCCTCTCTTAGAAAAAGCATTCACGGGGCTGGAGAGATGGCTCAGAGGTTAAGAGCACTGACTGCTCTTCCAGAGGTCCTGAGTTCAATTCCCAGCACCCACATGGTGGCTCACAACCATCTGTAATGAGATCTGGTGCCCTCTTCTGTATACATAATAAATAAAATCTTTAAAAAAAAAAAAAAAAAGAAAAAGCATTCACTCAAAGCTCTAGATTCTTCCTCCACTATGATCAAAGACTCTGGGATACTCCCATCTCGGCTTGGTGCAGCCCGGTCTGTCAGGGACTCTCATTTCTACTCCTTCTTTCTGTTTGTGCTTGAGTGTAACTGGGACTCACTGACATCCCCAGAGATGAAATGTTAGGAAGGCACTATTATCCCACGCTCTGCTTTCAGCTGGAACGAGTTCAGACCAAGAGAACTCCAGCTGAGCTAGCCACGCCCTTACTATGCCTAGGTTCCCACTGTGTGAGATGTTTTGAGTGCCGGGCATTAGGGGTTAGGTACCTCTCCCAGGAGCCTCACCACTGGGCACTCCCTCAGTGACATCACCCACAAAAACTCTTCAGTGAAAAATCAGTTCCCAGGTGTGAACTCTGTCTCTACAGTTCTCTTGGCACACAGGCCTTCCTCTGCCTGTTCATGTGAACAACTTAGTGCAACATCCTACACGAGTAAGATCTCAGCTGAAGCTGTGAAGTTGTATTTATTCTCTTCTATGAGTCAGAAACACTGTTTATGACAAATAATACTTTCAAATGTAGGTGCCCAAGAGTAGTGTGCTTCACCACTTCCACTAACAAATGGCATCTTCACCCTTTTTAAAATCTCCAACACCAGGGGAGCAGTGGTGGTGCACGCCTCTAATCCCAGCATTCAGGAGGCAGAGACAGGTAAACCTCTGTGAGTTTGAGGTCAGCCTGGTCTACAGAGTGAGTTCCAGGACAGCCATAGCTGTTACACAGAGGAACTCTGTCTCAAAAAAACAAAACAAAACAAAACAAAAAATCCACATCATCCATAGATTTCTTTCCGGGATAGATTTCAAGTGAATGAACGAATTTTAGTTCAATAACTTTCACAGGAAATTTCTCCATCCTGTATCGAGTATTTGTGACCCCCAACTATATGTGGGAATGACTTCTGAGAGATGCTGTTTGAAGCTTGCCTGTACAAATGGAACTTCACCCACCAGGTAACCGAGATACCCATGCTTTGAGATCACTTAATTGTGTTCTCATTCTGCTCACACGGCAGGCAGACTCAGCCTGTTTACAACTGACTTTTAGGAAAAAGAAAACCATCAATCTCACCCTGCTCTGGACGCCCCATGAACACAGTAAACTGAACCCACAGATTTGATCATGTCCGCTATTTCTCCTTTGTGACCCAGAACAATGTATGTGTGTGTGAGATATGATAAGTACACGTAAGACCACTATTTGAAAGTCACACTCACCTCTCCATATAAAAATGAGAGCCAAGCCAGGCAGTGGTGGTACATACCTTTAATTCTAGCCGGGAGGCAGAGGCAGGCGGATTTCTATGCATTTGAGGCCAACCTGGTCTACAAAGCACGTTCAGGATAGCCAAGGTTATACAGAGAAACCTTGTCTCGAAAAACAAACAAACAAAAAAAGGCAAACAAAAAAGAAAGCCAACATGTGGGCATAAGTTGAGACTATCTGCTTGTGGCTTTGTGTGCTGTTCTGAGACTCCTGTGAAAGATTAAGACAGGACAGACAGGAAGACGGCCATGGGAAGGCAAAGGCAGAGAGACTGGAATGATGTACAAGCCAAAGAAAGCCCTGACCACTGGAAGTGGAACAGGAAGAGAGTACTGTGGCCTGCAGTCTGGGAGGTGTGGTCATATCAACATTTCTTTAAGCTTTTAGCCGGGCACCTTTCTGCATAAAAAGTGACCTGGTTCGCAGTAGTTGCAGAAGCCCCAGGGAATGGATACACCCATTAATATGTGCAAAGCATTTAAACCAAGGACTGCTTAGGTAAGGATTATGTAAATTATCTTCTCCCACATTTGTTTAACAGTACCAGGAGAGTTGATTAATCTTGCAAGTCAGAAACCTGGCGATTTTCTCTTCCCCACTATAAGGCCCAGTGGGCCTGTGACTCGGTTACGTAGCCCACGTCTCCTGACTTCCTCCTGTAAGGGCTCTGCTGTGACCTTTCCTGCTGACAGTGTTCCCTCAGGTTGTATCCTTCCTGCCTATGCTTACCTCTACCCTTTGTCTTACCACACCACCAAAACATCCAGCAAGAATTCCAATTAATCAGAACGGTTTGTTCCTTCTTTTGGACTCTAGGAAATGCTCTGTCCATATCCACTGCCCATCTGCCCCTCATGAGCTCTGAATGACATAATTTATATGACTGTTCCCACCTCCCCCTCCCCATCATGAGAACTTCTCATGTGTGGAAACAACCAACACCTTAAAACTCACTTCCGGAAGTCTGCGAGTAGCTTGAGCATGTCGTCATTTGAAAGCTTATTGCTGTCTTGCCGATAGATGGCAGAAAATCTGGCATTTTTGTCCAGGTTTCCAGATGTATCCTTGAACAATGTCCTGAAACAGTGAAACAACATTCAAGACACAGTTTTCCAAAGCGCAAAATAAAGAGAATTCTGGTCTCTGCACACAGACTAATCTTGATTCCATTGGTGGAGGCCAACAGAAATCTCATTATCCCCAAATGCAGCAAGTATTAACGAGGACAACCACAACTAACTCAATTACACAGAGAACAGCTCCAGCCAAAAGCTTGTACTGAGAAAACAACATACACATTCACACGGGAAAGAAGGAGGGAACAGGGATAGAGGCCACTGTGGGACTCCCCATTGCACCGTCCCAGCTGGAGGCACACGGCCAGGGCCTGGACTCTCCCCCAACAAACCTCCCATCCACCCTGCCGGGTCCAGCAGCTGTTCTCTGGCCCACATCTTTCCTCTCTGTGCCATTGCTAAATGCATTTTCAGATTTGGTGATTATTTATTCTTGATTTCATCTCTTTGAATCTTCTTTGACTCAGGATAATAAACTCAATAGGTAGGCCTACTCGTCTGTCAGTCTATTTGTCCATCGGTCTATCCCAAGTATAAAAGGTATTCTCCCTTACCTTGCTGCCCAAGCAAACGGCATTCTGTACTGTCCTAGTCTTTGGCATGCCTGTTTGGCATTCTTCAGCACCTTCTGAGCAACCTGGAACACACCAGAACAGAGCTTTGAAATACTCTGGCACGGGGGACTTGAGACCAGAGCAGCTACCATCGAATGATCATTAAACAAGCCCTCCCCATACCACCAGATGCACACAAATGCACTTCTTACAGCAGTGATAGATAGGGCTGGCTTCAAACCCAGGACGGACTTCTTTATTTAGTGTACCCCTGGCAGTGACTCTCAAAACTACAGAGTACTGTTTCCAAGATGCACATAAACTGTGCCAGTCTTTGCCAGCAACAAGCAGGCCACTCTCTGCCAGCCTCTTTCCTCTCACAGACTTCATTTCCTTTTGACTAAGGGCTAATTGTAAGCCACTGAGTGTACTAATATTTGGTATTCATGCCCAAATATCTATCTACCAGAAGTTAAAGGAAAGCACTAATGAACAATCTAAGCTTTCCCAGCTCCTAATGCGCACCAACCTGTATAGATTCCCACAATCCAGGCAACGCCATAATTAGGTACCGGCTTAAATTAGACACTGCCCTTCATTGTTACAGTTTAGCTTTATACACAAACACTATCACTTCCTCACCATCAGTTTTGGCTTGTTCTAGGTTGATGGAACACAATAAGCATATTGGCTTTTGGCCAATGACATGTATGTAGAGTGGTTCTGTTAACCACTCAGTTGTCCCACATATCCTTGTCCTGTGATAGTGCTCTGTTTCAAAGTGTGACTGACCAGAAGAGTCAAGAGGGGACCTGAGTGTCTTCTGTGTGTGTAGGAGGGAGCTTGGAGGTCATTTATGTTACTTGAGTGCATCCAAGTCAAACCAGTTTTAGGAAAACTGCTCACACCTGAGAGTCAGTGTTTTCTTCCGAGTGGCAGAGTTAAAGGAGCCCCGGAGGCTGCCCTAACCATTCTGCTCAGGACCGTACCCTAACAGGCCCTCCAATGATCTGTGAGCACCATCAAGTGTGAGAAACAATCAACAGAGCAAGAGACGCCCCTCTGAAGGTCCACAAAAGCTGCGGTGTGACCCTAGGAGCTCTGCTTCCCTTACCTTAAAAATGGAGCGCATGGGTGACAATACTCATGGCCCCTTGTCACTATAAAACTCTGTGGTCCTTCCACAGTCACATCTTGGTTCAAACAGATGACAAGAAACTGCCTGTACAGCCCTTTCTTTTTAGTGGGGTATGTATACCCATCCCTGAGAGATTTATAGCAGGATCTAGAGGTGTGCGGTTCTTGAATAAAGACACCCAATTCTTCCTCCCCAAGAGTTGACTTTAATTATGTTCAGATTCAAGATTTTTAGTCAGGTGTCATGGTGCACACCTATAATGACAGCACTAAGAGACAGAAGTCAGAGGATCTCAAGTTTAAGTCCCGTCCTAGACACATAGTAAGATCCCGTCTCAAGCAAATCGTTAAGGGAAAGAATGCTTGCCTAGCACACCCAAGGCCCTGGATCTTACTTCAAGCAACACAAAAACCCCCTAAAAAGATTCGAGCAGCAATGAGCAAGTGCATTGTGGAGCAAAATTAATGCTAAACACAAGGCTTTAGTAGATTTGTCTTTAATGGAAATCAAACAAGGACACAAAGAGAACATGCATGTGAGAGCAGGGGTTGAGTGCTTCCTTCTCCTTTGAAGCCCTTCCCCGGCCTGCAAAACGAAGATTTGTCCCAGGTGATGTTCTAGATGACTTGTGTACATCTTGGGAAAAAGGAAGACACAACGTTGATTGGCAGAACAAAATAATATCACCGTGCCAAGTCTATAAGAACCTCTCCAGGTATGAGATGGCTGAACCTTGATCCCTGTTTTAATGAGATGCTGTGGCAGTGACAAGGAAGGAGCACACCCCCAAGGGATGCTAGGAAGCAGGTAGAGAAAAGGGTAGCTTATCGTGATGTGTTCGCTGTGTACCAACATGGCAGCCGAATCTCAGCTCATGCACATGGCCGGCAGAAACAGGAATGTTGATGAGCATATGCACCTTGGAAGTATGTTCTGTCAGTGTGGTCTTATCTGAGGTCACCATTGACTCATCAAAATAAAAGACTAGAAAGACTTCTCATCTAATATTTTGCAGACTCGGCTTAGAACAATAAGATGTCTTCTTCTCTCCAGGAAACAAACTTGACTCAACTTTTATCAGCCAAAAAAGCTTAAGGGATACCTGATGAATGGGCTTTTACTTGATGGGAGCTGAACTCAAATATCTCACATGCTGTTTGGGATATGTGGTGTTCTCAGCACTGCCTGCTCCATTGCCTGTTTGATCTGTACCCTGGCCCTGTGAGGAAGGCAGGCTGGGCAACATTATTCTATGCCCACATGTGGGACATTGGGGCCTATAGAGGTGAGGTATATCAGAAGTACTCTGGCTAGCTTGGCACTCTGCGTCCAGGCCTCCTTAATCCATGAACATATTCTTTAACACCATCCTATACATCCTGGTAGCTGTGCCTAAGATCTTTAGGTGGCCACAAGGATGAAGTTTTGGAATCTCTGAGTCAATTTGGTAAACCTCGGTTTGAGCTCTGGCATGTCTGCTCATACTAGATCGGCTGACCAGTCCTTAATACACCGAGGCCCTCCCTCAAATGACCAGCTACAATATCAAACCAAACTCAAACCCCTGAAAACAGTTAAAACTGGTGAAGACAGGAGCACTCAACCACAGGAGCACTCAACCATTTACTCTAACCTAAAGGAAAGGTGTGTGAGCGAAACAGTCAATTGTCCTTGGCCACTCCAGCCGTAGGATAGTAAGAAAAAAAACTAAAGATTTGTAGGTCTCCATTTTCTAAGTTTTTAGACTCCGTAACTTCTGACCTACAAACCAGAATCCAACAGGCACACCAGCAACACAATAAACACTGGCTGACTACAGTACGTGTGCTTTTAAATGACACAGAGTTTAGTATCAAGTGGATAATTTCTTTGAAAACTAAATTTTAAGATGTCAGAATAGACCAGCAAAACGATGTATTTTATTTACACACGAGAATACTTTCATTAAGAATCGGACACACGCCGGGCGGTGGTGGCGCACGCCTTTAATCCCAGCACTCGGGAGGCAGAGCCAGGCGGATCTCTGTGAGTTCGAGGCCAGCCTGGGCTACCAAGCGAGTCCCAGGAAAGGCGCAAAGCTACAAGAGAAACCCTGTCTCGAAAAACCAAAAAAAAAAAAAAAAAAAAAAAAAAAAAAAAAAAGAATCGGACACACAGCCGGCCAGTGGTGGTGGTACACGCCTTTAATCCCAGCACTCGGGAGGCAGAGGCAGGCAGATCTCTGTGAGTTCAAGGCCAGCCTGGTCTACAGAGCAAGTTCCAGGACAGCCAGGGCTACGCAGAGAAACCCTTTATGGAAAAAAAGAGAAAGAATTGGACACAGGAGGAAGAACTTAGTGACAGAACATATGCTTGTCATGTGCCAGCACCCGGGCTCAGTTCTGTGTGACAAACCAGGAACATGAATTAAATGGAGAATACACACGTAACTGTTTTTTCATGTGTGGTATGCACCATGTCTGTATGCATGTCTGCACGTGTGTGTAGAGATTGTGTGCATGTTTATGGAGGACTGAGGTTGATGTCAGGCATCTTCACTGATGGCTGCCACTTTGTGAAGAGCTAGCTCTCACTTGAACCCAGAGCCCATTGATTCTGGTCACACTAGCTAGCCAGTTTGCATTGGAGATGCTGTCTCTGCCTCATGAGTGCTGTGACCACAAGTGGGACATTTATGTGGGTACTGGGGAGCAGAACTCTAGTCCTCAGCTGACCTGGCAAGTGCCTCATGGACGGGGCCACCCCCTAATCCGCCTATGCACTTTGGATAGTCAACAAGTGCTGTTTACCTCTGACCTTATAGTTGTTTACACTTTAGCATAAAAGTCATCTCTTCGGCTGTTACTCTGTAATAATCACGAAGCACAAAAGCCGTTCATACCTTAGACGAGTCTGAGCTTTTCATATATGGCTCAGCGCAATGCGTGATGCTTCCTTGGAGGACCTTCTCAATTCTGGCCATGAGAAATATATCTGGATGAGGACACGTGACTGAAAATATTCCCTGGGGAGACAAATGGCTCTCTTCAGTCAGTAGAATCCCAGATGACTGAAAGACATCCCTTGACCCCCAAAGCTGCAAAGGACAGTGAGACAGTCCAACCAGTGAGGAGACTGGGGCCAAACATCTCAGGTGCTCCTCAGTCCACCATCTGCTCAGAAAGTCTCTCGGTGGAGAAGGCAAGCAGGAAAAGGCTTAAGGAAATGAATGAGAGCCCCAAACCACTTCTCCCTCAGTTTACTTTCACTATACAATTACATACGCTGCCCTACAATTAACGATCTAAACTGCCCCGCTGGTTCATGACAAGGTCTCACTGGAGCAGTTTTTAACATACTGAATAGCGTGTGCAAAGAGAAGGCTGAGTGGTGTGAACGCTCCTCACCTGCTTCGGATACTGCATGGCTGCTGCATGAAGGGCATCCTGGAAGGCAGGTGGGCTCTGGCCGCCGTTCATCAGAGCTGGGGATGTGGGGGCCAGCATCTGCCGCACTGAGAAATGATTCAGGTCCACGTGGAAGTCAGCGGAAATCTTTCGGTTGTATTTTATGTCAAACAGGGACAGGGTGACAAAGAAAGGCTCGACCTGAACAGTAACATCAACATAACACCATCATCATCAAGACAGTCCAGACAGCTGTGGGGAAACGCTGCTATGCAAGGAGAGCAAGCAGCCCCGTTTATGACGTCTCCTTGAATGATTACTAGACTTTTGTTCCTTGTCACACAGTTAGGCGATAAAGCATATTAAGAAACAGAACTGTTACTACGCCTTCGTGAGCCTTACTAGTTAATTCACACTCTCCAGCTGATCTCCTTGGAGCATCTAACATGAAATCCATGTCCTGAACATGCAGTTTAAATCTGCCTTCTTACCCTTGCCCACAAACCCATCCCCATGTCATCCACACCCCAGTGTGAGCCCTGCCCCTCTGTGGGGTGAGGTCTCCACATCCAGGCTACAGTATAAAGGGAAACCTGTGACACCTGAAATTCATCAACATTTAAAAAGGAAAACATTTAGTCTTTAAAAATTATTTTGAAACTTGTGGCCAATTTTATTAGAATTTAAGTGAAAAACCCTAGGGCGATCAAGCTGTCAATCTCAGCGGCCACCCAGGGAAGAAGAATGGAGGAGAGAAGAGGAAAAAATGCTATGCCTTTTTAAGCCAGCGTGGAGGTCAGATACATGGTGGACAAGCAGTGACGTGATAGAGAGGGGGCTTTTGAGAAAGGGGTAGGAAAGCCCAAAGGATCGGACAAAGCACTCAGGTTCTGGCCAGCATGTGAGAGAAAAACATTAAAAAGGTGTGTGCATAGAAGTCACACCTTTCTAAAATTTGGTAAGGTGGGCAGATTCAGCTGAACCTCATGGATACTTGGCTTATGTAGGGACTGTGCTGGGAGGTGAGAATTAAGGGAAGGAAAAATACAGAGTTATTAAAGGGCAAATAATTCCACCTCTCTCTTTAGTACGGCTTAAGGTGAGCCTGCCTTCCTCAGCTGGTCCCTTGGCCGGGTGACTGACCCACTCAGCTGGAGTATCAGGTCACCCAGGCTAGAGTCTGTGCCCTTGACCAGGGGGACCTTATTACAACTCTTTATAACATTCTCCTCTCTAAAGACCAAGTGCTGGGGACAGGAGCAGACTCTGGTCCCTAATTTGTTTCCTGCATGTTTTAGGATGGCTTTTTTTAAAAACCTGTATTTTTCAAAAGGAAAATTACATTTGTAGTGGGTCCTTCCTCATTTTCAGCAACACAGCATTGCAGATTGAAAGACAAATCGTTGCACTTGACAAGGATCCTTTTCCCAAACTTTTCTTCAAATGGCTTCACTTCTGGCTCAGCGGATGAGAAGTCAAGTTTCTTTAAAATGAAAATGTGGATATATAAACACATAGTGCTCCCATTAGAAATCCAATCATGCGTGTTCTCACATAAAACTGCCTAAAACATGGAAAAGCTCTATACACTCATCCATAATAGTGCTGCGCGACATAGTAAAGTCACATATGTAATAGACATGTGCTGATATCATGACAGTCACGTAAGTGATGATATGTCTGCTTGATGGAAAACTATGCAGGAATTAACACTATAAACAATCTAAACACCCATTAACATGTGTAAGGACACATAAAATACATTATATGTATATATACATAACACACACACAACGTGTATAAATACAGACACATATACTCAATAATAAGAAGGAAATTCAGGGCTGGACGTGGTGGCACATTTGTAAACCCAGAACCAGGGAGGCAGAGGCGGGCAGATCTCGGTGAGTTTGAGGTTAGTCTGGTCTACATAGCAAGTTTCAGGCCAGTCAGGGCTGTATAGTCAGAATTCTGAATCAATGAAATGGCCCAGCAGGTAAAGTGTGTGCCATATCAGCCCGACCGCCTGAGTGTGAGCCGAGAACTCATGATGGACAGAGAAGCTAGTCCTGAAGCTGTGCTCTGACCCCACACATAGCTGAGGTTTCAGAGCACATACACTGTCCCAACAAATAATAACAATCAACCATAAAGGAAAGCCATGGATGGAGCTTGGAAACATGGAAGTAAAAGGACACAAAAGACAAATTCTGTACCATTCCACATTGATGAGTTGGTATCCATAAAGACTAAAAGTGGAACCGAGGTCACTGGGGGCTTAGGGACAGTCAGGGATCAGGAGCCGTTATTTAAAGAGAGTTTCAGTTTGTAAAGATGAAAACATTAAAATATTCTGGAAATGGATGGTGTCATGGCTCCATAGAGAATATATTTATTACTTTAAAAAAAATTTTAACTTTTTAAGGTTTGAATTATATATTTTCAGATGGCTCAAATGTAAGGTTTGCGCTGCATGCATGTTACCACAGTAAACAAAGTGTGTAAACAGGAGGTCAGTGAAGAAACTTAGAAAATGGTTATTATTAAAGCTAAGTGGGAGAGTCTATTAAAAGGCAGAGCTAAGTCTATTAAAAGGACCATACATGAGGGGGGAGGCATTAGGGGAAATGTAGCAGAACTTTGTCCCTTTTCGGCAGCTCTAAGTTAACACTCAATGTCACGGGCCCTGCAGGTCTTTGTCACACCGTGTTTGGACTTTGCTGGGACACAGATGTGGGCTGCACACACTCCCAGTTTTCTCTCGGGGATTAAAGCTAGGTGAGACGTATTATTCCCTCCCAGGTGTCTACAGGGCTGTGTGCCACACTCTAATGGTTAAGGGGTACCTTATATGATTAGCGTGGACCTGAAGATTCAGGCTGGTGCCTTCTGGGAATCTGGCTAAACACTGCTCTCAATATTCAACAATACACTGAATATTAAACATTCATGAATTTTATATTTTAAATATTAAATTAGCTCTTACCTGGGCATCTGGGTCCAAGTAAAAAAGCTTCACTCTGCTCTCACTTTTCAGTTTGATTTCTGCTTCTCTGGTGCTCTGTGGACAAAATAATTTATTTGTGAACAAAATCCTTTGTCCCCACCCCTCAGAGGTATTAGAATGTGTCTGAAAGCTGCCTGTGGCAGTTTAAATGAGAAGGACCCCATAAGGCTCATATATTCGAATGCTTCATCCCTAGTTGGTGGAATCCTTTGTGAAGGGTAGGATAGTTGAAGCAGTTGTGTCATTTGGGGTGGGTTCTGAGGTTTCAAAAGCCCATACCATTCATTCCAAGCTAGTTTTTCCTCTCTCCGCCTTGAGCGTGTGGACTAAGATGTAGGCTCTCAGCGGCTGCTCCAGCCCAGGCCTACTTACCGGCTGCTGTGCTCCCCACTAGTGCCCATGGATTCTAATCCTCTGAAACTGTAATCAAACCCCTAATAAACTCTTCCTCTATAATTTGTCTTGATCATGTCTTCACAACAGTGGGAAAGTAAATAAGACACAGACCCATCGGAACATGCAAGCTATTCGACAACCCTGTTTGGTCTCTGGGAGGCAGGGGCATGCCATCCAAGAGGTGTGCACTGTGGCATGGGCAGCACAGGCTGTAATGTTGTGGGAGAGACAGCATAGCACAGGAACCCCGGGAGGCTTAAAGTGGGGTACAGCTGCACTTGTGAGGTTTTCAACTGGAATCTTCCAGTATCGGCCATGGACATGAGCTGCAGACCTGGAGAACATCAGCATGCAGGCAAGGATGGAAGTCTTGGAAGTGGCTAGAATTTTCAGAGAGACTGTGGGGTGAGTTTTAGCAGAGCACCAGGGGCTTCAAAACTGAAGGGACAGACAGAAGAGAAGCCACAAAAGGATATTGACAGTGGTGGCAGGATGATCTGGAGGGGGCGTGTGGAAGAGGCACCTGGACATTCACAAGATCAAGTCACCTTGAACCTATTCATCACTCCCATAGTGCATCCTTTTAGGCAGTCATAGATATTCAACTCTTCATTTTTACAGATAAATATGGAGTTCTGATTATAATGTCCTCTTCTCCTGGAGTCACCTCTCTGCCCTAGACAAGGGGGCAGTGGCAGCCACAGTGAAGAAGTTGACTGACTTCTTTGTTGATGGCTAAGTGACATCTACTATTGTATTTCTAACCTAACCCAATGGGAAATTAAGAATCTTACTAATTTTTCAGTCATTAAGTTGTTACAATAGGTCCTTGGCTATGACTCAAATTCTCATGACTATATTTAACCAGTGGCCTACTTGTAAATGAAATGACATTCATAACTAGCTCTGCAAGCCAACTTGCCTCCCTACCTGGCCTTTTAATTTCTAAGTAAAAAGAATGCACTAGATGAAAGAACCCCAAACAGCAAATAAACATATGAAAACAAAAAAAAAAAATACAAACAATGAGCAGGAAAAGATATATTGAAGCAGAATAAAATAGTCTTTAAAACAAACAAACAAAAAAACCAAAAAAACTTTGGACCAGGCAGCGGTGGTGGCGCACGACTTTAATCCCAGCACTCAGGAGGCAGAGCCAGGTGGATCTCTGTGTTTGAAGCTGGTCTACAGAGCAGCTCCAGGACAGGCACCAAAACTACACAAAGAAACCCTGTCTCAAAAAATCAAAAAGAAAAAAACCCAAAAACAAAACAAAACAAAACAAAACAAACAAACAAAGAAAAAACCAAACAAACCTTTGGGAACAAGGCAGAGAAATAGGAATATAAACTGTTATACTCTTTAAGGCCAAGAAACTGGAAATATTTAAAACATCAAAGCACAATAACCTTTGACCTAGAAATCCCAGCTTGGGGAAGTCCTCCTGAAATAAGAGCTCATAGATTCCATGTCATGATGCTTACTATACGATTTACAGAAGCTGAAAACTGAAAATCACCTAAACGTTCCTAAAAGACATGGCTGAATAAAGTATACATATCACCAATTAACTATTACACCCTTGACTTGCGTGTGCTCCATTATAAACTTACTCTGCAGAGAGACCACCTCTTCTGCTGACCCAGAGAGACAGCCGTGAACTATGTTTAGGTGGTAGAAAAACTGTCAAAATGACAGGCAAATCATGAGACTCTTTGAGGAAATAACTAAAAACCTTACCCATGCATGTACACATTTTATTTGCGCCCAGTTTGGTGAGAGGAATCGGAGTAAGTTGACTACTGGAGTTGTCAGGAAGATGAGGGAGATCATGAAGAAAAAAGATTAACTTTTTTGCACAACATTGGGTAGTTTTACTTACAAGAAGCATAAAAGTAAAATTTTAATTAGTGTTTAGTAAAGATACTTATAACATGCACTCTCATTGCCTAAGTGCCCACAAAAACATAGCTGTTAAAAAAAATTATCCCAAGACTATGTAATTGAGCAGGTGTCGGGGTGGCAGGAAGCAGTTCCGTTCTGAAAACAGCCTGTGGTCGGTCAGTGCATGGTGTGGCTGTAGGAAGCTTCTTCCCAACAGCCGTTGCTCCATCCTGGCATGGCCTGTTTTCTATTTTAGGTTCAGTAGACAGAAGAATGGGAGGAGAATGGACAAGAGCAGAGCGACCCTCCCTAGAAACTGCCACCCGCACACAAGTCAGAGAAGTGGACTCAGCCGAAACAAAGACATTTCCCATCTCGTGCAGCAAACACCAAACTCAGCCACAAATGACACACCTTCCCTATGTTTCCTTCATCGTCAGTAGTTAAGGACCAAACATTCAAGAGCTTCCAGGAAAGATGGTGATGTATCTCAAGTTTATTTGTGAGAAATTTGAGGTGAAAAAAGTCTATGGCCAAGTTTATTTTATTTCAAAGGTACAGGGAAAACATTGTGTTGACTGCTGAGTCATTTAGACAGAATGAGATAAAACAAATTTGGCAAAATCCCCTAAGGCTAGAATATATAACTCTTTAAGAAAATTTTATGTGTATGTGTGGTTTGCCTGTATGCATATCTGTGAACCATGTGCAGACCTGGAATCCATGAAGACCAGAAACGGTATCAGATGCCGTGGAACTGGAGATACAGATGGTTGTGAGCCACCATATAGGTACTAGGAATGGAAACAAGGTCCTCTGGAAGAGCAGCTGGTGCTTTTAACCACTGAGCCATCTCTCCAGTCTCTAGATTATTTACTTCTTAATTAAAGGGATATCACAACACATATTCACTGCATTATGATATTTATCCCCAAAGGACTAACATTTCACCTCAAGACATAAAGCCAGGTTAGGGCATTCTAGAATTAGGAAGCTTAGCAGTGGAATGACTGCCGAACCACAGCCAATTCCTCGGAGTAATAATGGCATAGTTTTCTGGTTTGGGACTTAGGGAAGGAAGTGTTTGTTACAGACTTGGCTTTAGAACTCTTATAAAAATGTGGCCAGGAAACCACATGGGTTCCCACAAGTCCTCTTGAACATGGCCCCTATGCCTTACTCAGACTCAGGGAGACTACAGACTTGCAGACATCACACTGTCCTATATTCCACTATGGAAGATTTACCTGGATAGGAAAATCTATTGACTTAGAAATAAAATGATAAAAAAAATCAGTTCTAGAGTCACATGAAACTGCTTTTCTTTCAGAATACAAGGCAACAAAGCATGAGCTACTGTTTGCACACACACACACACACACACACACACACACACACACACACACAGATGTAAATACATTAAGAGAGAGTATGGGGGTTCTCTTCATATTACCGTTACACAAGAAGGTAATACACACCCTCCAGTGTCACCTAACATCATGGCAAGCAGAGGAAGGAATGCCATGAGTTCTCAGAAGAAACCAATTTGCTGGTTCATATAGGCTTTTTAAATATAAATACTTGTAAGACTGATGCTATGAATTTTGTTATATTTACAATAAAAACAGTTTGGTTCCATGCTGGACAGTAGGAGGAAAAGATTAAGTTTTGGGGGAAATATAGTATGTCCCTAATATGAAAATAGTAAAGATATCCAGTACTCCAAGTATAAGCAAACACTCCAGGAACTTACAAATCCAAGTCCCTAATATTCCAGAATGAAACATCAGTTATTTTGTACTAAAACAACTTCCCGTCAGACATATCCTGTTTGGCTAAGTCTCAGTCACAGTGGAAAACAAAAGCCAGAGCAACAGGAAGAGTGAGGCAAATACAAGCCATGCAGAGAGAACTCGGCCGTAAGCAACACCTCCAGCTACCTTCTGCCTTGCCCTGTTGATCCAGGCATCCTACAATCTGTACTGTGGCTGAGCCTCCCATCAATCCCTTCTGCTTTCCTGACCTCTTCATCCTCTGAGTAAACTCCCCTTCTCTCCCTGCATCCCTCCCACCCCATTCCATACACAATTCATCTGACTCTGTAACCATGGAAATTCATTCCTCAAAAACAGGATGTCCATTTGCTAGCGAGTTCTCATACTCCCTTAATGAGTACAAATGAGCCACATCCCAGGCTCACTAGCAGGACTAACACCCAGGCTGACCATGAAGGGACCAGGCACAGGCATCCCCACTAAGAGCCTGGCTCCTCATACATCACATCTCTGAGTAGGCCACCAGAATGTACAGGTGACTGACAGAGCCACACTTCCAATAGTCCTCATGGTAGTACCCTGGGAGAAAGACAATACATTTTTCCCCTTTTCCTTTGAAAAATTACGTTGGCCAGGTAGCAGGAGAAGAAAAGACTAAAATTCTTATACAACTTCATAGGGAAAAACTGAATTTCTTGTTGGTTGTGTCCTGTTATGCTTTGCTTAAGATAGGCTCTTGCTATGACCCAAGCTGACCTTAAACTTGCATACTTCCTGTCCCAGCCTCCCCAGGAGTATGTGCCACCATGCCTGGCTTAAAAATACAGATGTTGCCGGGCAGTGGTGGTGCACGCCTTTAGTCCCAGCACTCGGGAGGAAGAGCCAGGCGGATCTCTGTGACTTCGAGGCCAGCCTGTTTTACAAAGCAAGTTCTAGGAAAGGCGCAAAGCTACACAGAGAAACCCTGTCTCGAAAAACCAAACAAAAACAAAACAAAAAAACAAAAACAACCAAAAAAATACAGATGTTAAATAACCAATTCTGGGCTCAAATAACCTGAACTTCATCTTAGGTTGCCATTTTGTTCACTGAGTAAGCCTAAAGTTCTTTCTGACTTCTAGTTGAATTACTGTGCTGTTTCAAGAAAACTAAAAAATCAAACAAGTTCAAGCATGTTGTTGTGGGGAACCTCTGAGCACTCAGAAACAGGATGCACACATGGGTATCAACTGATACCCAGAATTCCTAACAAGACGAGGGGTATAGCTCAGTGATAGAGTACTAGTCTACCATATGCAAGGCCCTGGGTTTCAGCAACACACACACACACACACACACACACACACACACACACACACACACACACACACGCGCGCGCGGGACTAGCATGAAAATAAACACAGAAGCCAAAACTACTCCAGGATGGGCATAGGTTACAATGGGAGCTCTAAAGTTAGCTTTAATGGGCAGGTGCTAAAAAGATTCTGTGGAAATAGCTAAGCCCTGAGGAAAAACAATACTCTAAAAGTCCCAGCCAGGAAGGAGATTTATATTTGAGAACAACCATGTCATCTAGGAAGAAAGGTCAATGCTGAATGCCAGCCTATTTGCAATCCTATATAGACACACCATGTTTCTATTATAGTGTTTAACATGTGGGTGTGTACAGTTACCATTTCACAAAGACTATAGAGGGACAGTGAAGACAAAGACATCACTCTCTGTTTAAAAAGAATCATGCACAGATGCACACACAGGAGATCAGGACAAGGATATTCATTGTAGCATTGTTCAGAATAAGAAAAATGGAAATAGCCCAAGAGTTAAAGTGTTTATACAGTGCAATAAAAATGACTGACCAGATCTGTACCCAAAACAAGGTCAAATGTGATATTATTGAACACCAGTGCAAAATAAACATATGAGCACACAAAATCACCACCCAGTGTCTTTTTGGTAAATGTGTTTGTAAAAACACAAAACAAAATGGAAGTGAAATGCATCACAGCGGGTGCTCGAGGTGGGTGCTGTGGCACAGAGGAGAATGGGAGCAAAGGCAGCGTTAAAAGAACTGCCAATGGTCACTGAAGTTGTATTTTTAAAAACAGATATGCTAATGAGGTAATATGGCGGCACAGGGCTCTGGGCAATGGTGACATGGTTGTTTTGTGTTTCCTTGTGCTTTTCAGTAACTCTGGGGTTTTTCAAAATTACAAAATGCATGAAGAACCTGGCTTTGCTGTTGTTTTCTTGTATTTTGTTTGTTTTGGGTGACCCAGGAACACATTCTGTAACTTCAGCAGCTCCTCTTTAGTAAGTGACAAAATTACCACAATCCATAATCATCCTCTGGCGAACTGTGGCTATTAATTTGAATAAGATAGGGTGCCCAATGTGCTGGCTCCTTGACACAACCTAGGTCATCTGAGAAAAAGGAGCCTCAGTGGAGACAACACCCCCACCAGATTGGACTGTGGGCCAGCCTGTGGTGCATTTTCTTAATTGGAATGAGAGGGCCCAGCTCACTTTGGACAGTGCTACCTTGGGCTGGAGGTCCTGGGTGCCATAAGAAAGAGACTGAGCAAGCCATGAGAATACCAGTAAGCAGCACTCCTCCATGTCCTCTGCTTCAGTTCCTGCCTCCAGTTTGCTGCACTGAGTTCCTGCCGAGACTTCTTCCCTCAGTGATGGACTGTGACCTAAGAGTTGTAAGCTGAAATAAACCTTTTCTTCCCCAAGCTGTTTTTGGTCATAGTGTTTCTCACAGAAATAGAAACATTAACTAAGACACCAATGAACATAATTTAAGTGAGAGGAACCTGAGTAAGAGAGAATACTAGGCATATATAGGCATGTATTTTGGTTATTTCTTCAATATTTGTGCTGACATATTAAATATAATGGTAGCATCTTAAAAATGGCAATATACTTTGTAAGGCATTTTCTGGAAAATAGACTGAATTGTCCCTAATGCCTAATAATTGCCATCCCCTCACATTCACATCAGGAAGCAGAGACAATCACACCATCAGTGTTATTATTATAAGAGAGCCATGAAATGAGAAACATTTAGCATTCAGTCAAGAGTAAGAATATTAAAATGACCTCACCTTGGCAAGTTCAGGCAGGTAGCTATCCAAACCGGAACCGGAACCTTCCAGTTTGCTTTGTTCATCATCTAAATGGCAAAAAAGATCTACTGAGTCATGTGCAGTTGAAGCTTCTTATTTAATATGAGCAAAGGAACCAGAATGTAGTGGTTCTCAAGTCTGAAAGAATATTCCAAACAGCTCAGGGCTTTAGAATGACACTGATGACCAAGCCCAGCAGGGAAAGTGGTGACACTCAAGACCTTGCACAGCTAAGATTCCCCATCCTAAATTTCTCCCCCACACTATAACGTATGTTAGCTGTGTGCAACATCCTTCACAGCTTCCCCCACCCCCACTAAAACTTATGTTAGTTGTGTGCAACATCCTTCACAGCCACTCCCCCCCTCCCCCGTAGCAGGAATCTTAAAAAGTTCTTATTAATAAGATCAAACCTGAGCCAGGTATTGGGGTGAACACTGGAAGATCAGAGAGACAGAACAAGCCACAGCTACCTCGCCTCGCCGGATCCTCAACTGGTCTTGTTTCCTCAGACTGGAAGCCTTTGAGTCCTCATCCAGAATGGTTCTCAGCTGAACTGCTGCTCAAAAGCCTGAATGCTTAACCAGGCCAAATGCTTCTAGTTTCTGGTCCTCAAGCCTTATATACCTTTCTGCCTTCTACCACCACTCCCTGGGATTAAAGGCTTGCTTTCTGGGATTAAAGGCATGTGTTACATGCCTGGCTGTTTCCAATGTGGTCTTGAACTCACAGAGATCCAGAGGGATTTCTGTCTCTGGAATGCTAGGATTAAAGGCATGAGTGCCACCATTTTCTAGCCTCTGTATCTAGTGGCTGTCTGTTCTCTGACCCCAGATAAATTTATTAGGGTACACAATATTTTGGGGAATACAATACCACCAACCCCCCCCACTAAAACTTATGTTAGCTGTGTGCAACATCCTTCACAGCACCCACCCACCCACTAGCACTAGTTAGCTGTGTGCAACATCCTTCACAGACCCCCAATAGAACTTGCTAGCTGTATGCAACATCCTTCATAGGCCCCTCACACACTAGAACTTGTTAGCTGTGTGCAACATCCTTCACAGACCCCACCCCCACACACACTCTAGAACTTAGATTAGCTGTGTGCAACATTCTTCACAGCCACACCCAATCAGAAACTTTGGTTGGACCAAGGAAATAGTATTTTGGCTTTTTTCAAACTCTCAGGTAATTTGGGGAACAACCAGAGTTGTTCACTTATAGGCTTGAAGTACACATGAACATACATCAAAAACACAGCTGATTCCCTGTAATTTAGAGTCAGGTTACTGTCCATCTTTATCTTGAAAATCTCAAAAGGTGATACCAACAACAGCAGTAACTTTCTTTAAAGACAGATTCCATGCCAATGGCTAGAGCTACATTTTTAAGCTTACTCATTCCATCGGCAATTTTCTTTTCAATTACCCCCACCCCACACACACACACACACACACACACACACACACACACACACACACACAACTTTTTTTTTTCTCTTAAAGACAGGTTGTCATGTAGCCCATGCTAGACTTGAACTTACTAGTAGTCAAGGATGACCTTAAACCTCTGATCCTCCTGCCTTGATCTCCTAAATGTTAGGATTGCAGGTGTGTACTACCACACAAGGTTTATGCAGGACTGGGAACCGAAGCTTTCATACATGAAAGGCAAAAACTCCACCAGCTGAGCTACATCCCTAGCTCTTATTTCCATTTTCAAGTAAAAACTGAGACTCAGAAAACATAAGCAGTTTATCCAAGGTCACATAGCTAAAAGTGAGATTCTTGGGACTCACATCCAGGCCTGCCTCCCCACACCATGGTTGTTCACATGCCACACAAACATCGTCAAAGTATTAATTCTTTTTGTTTGTTTTGTTTTTTTGAGACAGTAGCTCACTATGTAGCTCCAGTTAACCTGCAACTCCCTAGACAGTTGGCTGCCACCTTAAAACCTGTGCCTCTTACCTTTGTTCCCCCACAGGCTGGAATTACAGGCAACCCTCACACCTGGCTTCAGGGAAGTAAAATCTAATACAATAAGTCTTCGTTGACAGACACTTTGAAAATGGCTCCCATCTTCCCTATCTCTCATGGACCTACCCACCTTCATGAGAGTCCCCATTTCGCTTTTCTTGCATTGCAGCTTCAAAGTTGAGCTGGAGGATCTTGTTGAGAACCGTGACCCACTCCTCCATCTCCGCCTCACTGTCTGCTGCCAAAAGGTAACTGCTTTTGTCCTGCATCTTGAGCTCAAAAGCAAAGCGCCTGACTCTGTTGTTCTGTGATGGAAACAGGCAAATGAGACACATTGGGAAGTAGCTCAGGATAATCTGCCCTATTTGTTAATGGTGCCATCTCCTCAGCCCTTTGGTCTTACTTTAAAACTGCAAACTCCCTCCCCATGAGCCCTCATCATAGCCCACCTTCTCCACCTTTAACCTTCCCATTTGATTAATTACCTATCTTTTTAAAAACTAAAATATTCTTAGTTTATGTATACAAGTGCTTTGTCTGTGGTATCTATGTATACTATGTGTGTGGCTGGTCCCAGGGGAGGTCAGAAGAGTACACCAGATCCCCTGGAACTGGAGTTACAGATGGTTGTAAGCCACCATAAACATGATGGGAATTGAACCTGGGTCCTCTGCAAAAGCAGTACATGCTGGGATGTCTCAGTGATTAAGAACGTTTGCTGCTTTCTCTCTCTCTCTCTCTCTCTCTCTCTCTCTCTCTCTCTCTCTCTCTCTCTTTAAATTTTAAGGTTTATTTTTATTATTTTTGATTATAGTTCCATGTGTATATGTGTATGTAAGTGCAGGTGCCCATAGAGGCCAGAGGCATCAGATCTCCTGGAGCTGGAGTTACAGACACTTATGAGCCAGTTGACATGGGTGCTGGGAACCAAACTTGTGCTCTTAACCACTGAGCCATCTTTTAGGCCTCATTACCTTTCTTCTCTATTTAATTTATGTATTACTTGTCCCCTGCAATGGCATAGAAATCCCTCAAGGACAGAGGTTATCCATTCTCTTTACTTAATGTTAGATCCATGATCTTTAAAAGCAATGTCTGGCACACAGTGGGCATTTGAAAAATAGCTGAATCTATGAAATCTCACATGTAAATGTTATATTCAATTACTTTTAAAAAATTGAGTTGTATTCCACCATTGCCTTTCTTCTAAAAGCTAACTACTATCTACCAATCAGTTCAGCTTACTTCCCTGGACCTTTCCCGTCATTTATTAATCCTAAAAGTATGTGGACTCTTTGTCTCCAGTCCATGGGATGGAAGATAAGTAAGTGTAGACCAAGGTTAGTCCATCTCAGTGCTGCTCACATTCGAATCCATCATTCTTTTCACAAGGGACTATTCTATGTACTGTACTATGTTTGGCAGCATCCTGGTCTCCACCTATCACATGTCAGTGGGACAGCTATGAGTCAAAAACATCTTCAGACACCGGCAAATATATCCTAGAGGCAAACACTCCAGGCTAACCACACTAGACAGAGATTCATCTCTGAAGAACATAGTCCACATAGGCTGAAGAGGGAGGTGTCACAACCTCCCTCTGACTGCTGAGCAGGCAGAATGTCTCGATACCCAACTATCTGCAGTTCAAGGATGCTTCGCAGTGTAGTGCCCAGGCACAAGGTGACCTAAGGTCCATCGTTTTTTGCAGCAAGTTTTTAGAAGCCTGAAGCTAAAAGTTTCTCTGGGTAAGGCCATATAAACCACTGTGCATAGACTGTCTTCCATGGGCTCAGTAATTGCCACCTCAGATCTCACTTGGAGTGAAAGCTGGGAATGAAGGAGTTTTCTCTGTGTATTGGGGAATCACCTTTCCTCAAACACACAAAAGTTAAGTACAAGCCCTAGGCCTTGAGTCTAAGTGATCATTTCAGAGAGTCATTTTCTTCATCTGCAGCACAAATCTAATGGACCAACTCCTGTGGCTTTAAAATACTATTAGGGTTTAAGACTCAAGTTCTCTTTCAGGTCTACCTGGAAACTTTTCCCTTAGGCATTTCTTTACATTCATAGCAGTAATCAGCTACTATTTCAAATAACATCCAAAGAGGGGTGGGGCCAACAGAGGGGTGTGGGAGGGGCATGAGAGGGCAGAGAAGTGTGTTAGCATACCATATATATTTATATGAAGATCTCTTTATGGTGGTGGGGGCTGACAGAGGGGTGTGGGAGGGGTGTGAAAGAGTAGAAAAGTGTGTTAACGTACAATATATACTTATATGCAGATCTCCTTAAGGAAGTCAGTACCATGAACAGTAAATACACATGATCAAAATTAAAAAGTAAACATCCCAAAGTATTGGGTTTTTTTTTCCTCAAAACCATTTAAATCACAACTTTTTGTTTCTTTTTGTTGTTGTTGTTTGAGACAGGGTCTCATGTAAGCCAGGCTGCTCTCAAACCCCCTAGGTAGCCAGGAAAGACTTCAAACTCTGGGACTTCTTGCCTCCACCTCCCAAGTGCAAGGACTTCCAGTGTAAGCTACCATAGATGGGCTTAACTTACAACCTTTAATGCTCAGCTTCAAACAGGTGAGATAAAAAGGAAATTAGTCTTTTGAAGACTTAAGTATTCAGCTATTTTTCAAATGCCCACTGTGTGCCAGACATTGCTTTAAAGATCATGGATGTAACATTAAGTAAAGAGAATGGATATCCTCTGTCCTTGAAGGATTTCTATGCCATTGCAGGGGACAAGTAATACATAAATTAAATAGAGAAGAAAGGTAATGAGGCCAAATGAGAAATTCTATGAGCTACATATGCAAAAAGAATCTGAAGGAAGAGATGGGCACTAGGGTCAGACCTCAGAGTCTGAAATGCACCCATGAGGCTAGCAGCTGGATGAGAGCTATCCAACAATAAACATCTGTGCACTGCGTTGCAGACTTGCAACAAGACATTCTTGTCAAACAAAAAGAATTACTTACTTCAAAATGAGGGTGGAAAAAAATACATCCAGCTTTGCTTTCAACTATGTCAGAAAATTCAGCTAAAAAAGTAACTCCCAGGTCTCTCAACTTCACATAAATGAAACTTGAGCTTAGAAATCTGACACAGGAAGCCAATAAACTCATTAATGAATCACTCTGTAAATACTTATTTACAGTTAATCAGCATGCTTTGATATACTTTAATATACTCTGTTATTCACTGGCAGCTTGTGGGGGAAGGTGCTGGCAGGGGATCCACCAGCTGATTGGCTGCTGGCTAAAGATATTTTTTCAGGGACTGTGAAGTCATGCTAAGTCTTGAACTAGGGCTCAGAAACATGCCCACCATTTGCAGTCTGAGGTCCTGCCCTGTGGCTTATGGGTTTCCAAAGATTAAACATGCCAAGATCTAAGTAAAATTCCATTGTTCTGGCTGTTTTCAAAAGCTAGCAATGCTCATCTGGCTTCATCAGCTGTAGCAGGTGCTTCCTTTACTTTAGGTACCTGGCAGCCATTTTGTCCCAGTCCCCAGCATCCCTACCTGTGGCATTTCCCATCTCTCCTGCCACACCCACACTTCTAACTTGGTGTGCTAATTTTCACTGACAAGGACAGAGTCATTATTACCAAAGCACTGGACAAAATAGATCAAAACACTATTCTCAAATAAGGGTAGAGTCAATGTGGCTATGATCCCCAACAGAAGAAAGATAAATGAACCCACTGACTTTAGCATCTGGCTAAGAGACTCAAACAGGGTCTTTGTCATCTTGACAAAATAAAGCTACTGACCAAACCTCATGAAGACAGGCAGACAGAATATATAGGAAGTCTCTAGAATGAGATACAGGTGAAAGCCACCAGGTGGACAAATCCCACATCTGTTATGTCTAGTTTCTATCTGCATACGTACCTTAACAAAAAAAAAAAGTCTGCCAATTAATAAATAAAATTCGAGACAGAGCAACCTAGATTTCAGAAAATGAAAGACGAGATCAGGGGCCAGTGAGATCTCAGCAGGTAAAGGGACTTGCCTCACAAATTTGGCAACCTGAACTTAATCCGGAGGACCCATCTAGTGGTGGAAGAAGAGAACTGATGTCCACATGTGTACTATGGGATTCACCACAACTTGAGCCCCCTCACAACAATAAATAATTTTTTTTAATTATAAAGAAATGATCATAAAAAATATAAAGTAAGAACTACAGCAGATGTCCCCTAAACACAATGGTGATGAGAAGATGCTGTAATGCCTTTGATCTTCTGAGGTCAAAAAACTTCTTGGGATTTCTAAAAAATGAGCCAAGTACAACTAGAATAAAAGGTATGTGCAGATAGAGTAAATAAAAATGTATCATTTTCTATAAAGTTTCTTAGGCAGCTACCAGACTCTAGTAACTAGAGGATGTCTCCTCCAAAATAAAAATTTTTTAAATCACAATAAAAAGGAGGAAAACGGGCTGGAGAAACAGGTCACTTGGTAGAGTGCTCTCCCAGCATGCCCGAGGCCAGGGCTCCATCCCCAGGGTGCACAGGCGTACAAGGTGGTGCGTGCCTGCCACTGCAGCACTTGGGAGGCGGAGGGAGGAGGATCAGAAGGTCCACTCACCCTCCACTTGTCTTGAGGCCAGCCTAGACTACATGAGACCCTGTCTCAGAAAGGAGCAGAGAATGCGACATGCGGGGAAGGTGAAGAGAAAGGGTGTCTACGACAGCAGCTCTGCAGGGTGGGAAAGTCACGGTCTAGAATGGAGCAGAAAGGCGACGGCTCTAGCATTCTACCTCCCTGTTCAGGGGGTCCAGGACTGAGATGCAGGGGTGCAGGGGTGAAGCACCTCTAGCAGTGCATTTCAGCCCTTCTCTGTTCAATGAGGTGAGTGTATTCACCAGAGGATGGAGATGCAATTGGATTTTAGGTAAGAATGTAAATACCCAAACAAAAAGACCTATGGTCAAACCCAAGAGCTATGTCAGCTACGTCCCTGACTTCTCCAGGCTAATGTCGCTTTGAGGGAGGCTTCTCTGGTGATGCTGAATCCATTTACTATCTAGTTGACAGGGGGAGTGTTAATTGGTCACAGAACCCCTCTGTCTGAGGGCCTCAGAAGGAACACATTCACATTCTTCATTCTGCGATTCCTCAGGCAGATTCTGAAGAATCAGGCTGTTTGTGTTTTACACACTATGAATTGTGAAATGGAACAAGTCTCCATGTTAGAAAGTGAACATCCCAGTTCCGTGGGTTTTACTACGTGGCCCCGGCTGGCCTTGAACTTAAGATCCCCCTCTGCCTCATTCTCTGTCATCATGCCCAAGTTTTAAACACAAAACTTCACACACTACAGGACTCCTGCCTACTACAGCATCCTGCCATCTTCAAAATGATGAAAAATAAGCTTTGTTTTCAGGTTAGGTATTATGTTTCTACCCTAATTACAGCCATGTTTGGAAGCATTTCCCTGAATCTGCTCATTCTTGCATAGTATCAATGCAGACCAGAAACCTTAATAAAAATTCTTTTCATACTCACCTGAATCACACCCATGCAGGAATCTAGGAATATGGATCCTTTGGGTTCCTTGGAGATTTTTTCATCTTTATAAAAATTTAGATTATAGGATCCATCACCGAGTTGAATCAGGTGGAAAAACCGCCTCTTAAATGACTGAAAACAAAACAAAACAAACACAGACAGTTCTTCTTTCTAAATGGACAGTGGGAACTGATAAGCCACTAGAACTCTTGAAGAATTCTGTAACCCCAGTGGGAGTCTAGCCAATGTTGCTGGTAACAGGATTGGTTGCAGGAAGATCCCCCACCATGGTTCATGGTCTTCCTGCCTATCTGTCTTAAGAAGGTGCCACCATCATCCATGGGTCACTGTTTCTCACCCACAGAGCTTGAGATTTTACATAACCACCCAAAGGTAGGGGAGAGTTCCACCTTTGAGACAGAGATGCTCTCATCCCCCGAGTTCCTCACTCACACAACAGGGATGTCTTTTGAGCCTCGGGATTCTGGTAGTCAGCACGCCCCTGGGTTACTTTTCATCTCTGTGTTCACCTCACCTTCTTCTCACTGCTTCTTTTCTCCTTAAGATTCACCCTGGCCTCTCCTGCATAATTTCTTAAACTACTTTTACTTTATTTTTTTAATTTTTTTAAACTATGTGTCTGTGTCTGTGTGTGGGTATGCATATGGAAGTGCTGGTACCTGTGGAGGCCAGAGGTGTGGGATACCCCTGGAGCTGGAGTTACAGGCAGTTGTGAGCTGCCTGGTAGGGGTAGTGGGACTTGAACTCAGGTCCTTTAGAAGGAAAGCATCTTAGGAGCCTGACAATATCCCTTTTGTGGGGAAAAACAGCACGCCTGTTTATCTTGTGCAGTATGCTCAAGAGCCAGAGTAGCAAGGTTTTATGTGAAGAGAAGCTGGGTGACGCCCTCTTACCCTCATGGTCACGCTGATCGCACTGTTCATGTTGCCTTTGTACAGCCAGCCATGTTTGGTGAGCCCACCCTTCTGAGACCCCAGGGAAGCAGCATCCTAGGAGGGGAGGAAAATGCCACAACGTCAATCCACTGCTTTATGTAGATTATTTTCTGTGAGTTTCACCAATGGGAAAATCACCCCATCTGTCCACTACTACTCTACTGGGACACCAATGCCCCTAAGTCACACTAGAGTCCATTTGCAGTGAAAGAGAAATGAGCCTAAACTTCCAGATATCCTGTTCTTTTAAGGTCAGGTTAGTTCTAGCCAAATTTTTACTTTTGGGAATTTAATGAGCCGCAGAAACCACATACCACTCAGTTGTACTGCCTCACCCAGTTTCATGAAAAAAAGTTTCAAACTACACTCCTCCGTGCTTAGAGGACAAAAGAAAATTCTTGAAATGCTTCCCAGAGGCTTGGTTCAGGGAAAGGTGAATAAAGAAAAGGAAATACAAGGCAATGCAGGAAGGCGATATAAAATGATGGGGTGAGGGGAAGGGAGGCCAGAGGAGGCAGGAGCTACAATAAAAGTGCGTCTTCAAGCGGAGACCTACCCAGTGAGATCTGGGTGTGAGCTGGTGGACACTGAGCTGGTGCCTGTCCCAGCTGCAGCCAGCACATACAGCCATGGACAGCTATAAATGTGGCCCAACACAAATCGTTAAGCTACTTAACACTTTTTGACATTTTTTTTCTGTAACTTGGCTGCACAGTGTGTGGACTATACAGTGACAACATCAGCTTTCAGTGACAGAGGCTGGACACGCCGGGAGAGAGCGTTAACAGACAGAGGCAACATTGCCTACAAATGGTCTCGGGTTTGGTTACAAAGCTGACAGCCATGGGGAGGCCTGGCTCCAGCTTTGTTTCCAACCATTCAATATCAGTATTTGTGGTTTTCGCATTGTTATTATTGGAACTGAGGAATCATTTACCCGCCAAGGGTTTCCGAAGCACTGGGCACCTCTGCATGTGCACCTTCACTTGGCCCTCCCAGTCCTGTGATCAGCATCCTTAAAAAAGACTGTGTGGCCCTGGCTGGCCTAGAACTTGTTATGTAGACCAGGCTGGCCTTAACTCACAGAGATTCACCTGCCTCTGCCCAGGGAGTAGTGGGATTAAAGGTGTTTACCGTGAGCCACATTAACTTTCTGAGAATTATTTCTAAAACAAGTTGCTCCATGAATATTAACTTCTAAAGATGGTTAATGCTGTACTCAGTGTACAGCTAAGGAAAGGGGGGAAGGAGTCTAAACTCACGATGGGGATTCCCTTCCTTAGCAGACAAGTGTGAGGCCCCCACTCTTTCTATACTTCTCTACGTACCTCTTTCCTCCAAGAGTTAGGGAGCTTATTAACGTCAGCCTGCGCTAAAACCACTGGAGAAATAACCATTTTACTTCCACGGGCTGCCAGGGGAAGAGACTCTGTTGAAAAACTGTCTAAATTCAAGGTCTAAGTCATTGTGGTATCTTTTAAAAATGTGGCCAGATCTGATCCAAATCTTTGCAAATGATCTCGGAACAAAACACAAGTCCGAGAACATGAGGTGCTGAGCAGTCAAGATACAGCAGGAACCTTAAGACAACCCAAAAATATATTAAAAAAAAATTCTTCCTTTGCTTCATTAAACATCCCAGTTCCTGTTTGGGCTTAAAGGTCGGCACTTCTCCCGAAGCCTGCACAATCAGAGACTCAAGTGAGAAGAGAGGCAGGAGAGAGCAGGAACCCCACCTCATCTTTGTCGGCCTCCTCATCAACTTCATAGACGTGAACTGGAAGTTTATCCAACTTGGCCAGTTTGCTTTAAAAACAAGAAAGAAAACTTGCTTTGTAATTGCATAATCAATAGAGTCTATGTCTCCATCCATCGGAAGAGCCAGCCCGGAACAAGCCCAACAGTGGCCCCTCAGGTAAAGAATAACGTAATCTATGCCCTTGCTTTTCAATGAGACAAGGGACCCCAGTCAAAGGTCCGCACAGCACCGGAGACCTGTAGAACTGTAGAAATGGAGACACAGCTTGCTAGCGCTAGGAGGCCTATTAAATGGAAGAAAGTGGATTGTGTACTAATTAGAAGACTTGGTGGGGAAATTTTAATATAAAATATGACTGAGAAAAGAATTAGGGGGTCACAGAATTTTAAGTGATTAATGATGGAGGGTAATGAAATAATTAATGATGGACAGTATTGATGACCACAGCAGCAGTAGCTGCAATTATATGAATAGCTATGTGCTAGGCATGCTGGGTACTTTACACATGCCCTCTCATTTACTCATTTAAGCTGGTGGGAGCCGTTGTCAAACTACTAAACAGGAGGAAACTGAGGCTTATAGAGAGCAAAGCGAACCCAGACAAAACCCAGAATCTGTAATCCTAATTACAATGCTCCATTCAGTTAGAAACTCTTATTAATGCTCAATGGCAAAATCAACCAACAGTTAAAATCTACCCCATAGTAAACAAAGAATACATGTAGTCAGTTATCTTTCAACATGGGGATAGTCTGAGCAAGACAACCAAGGAAGGTAGATTTATTGGATTAAATAGGAATCATTCCCAAATCCCCAAGTGAGAATTGGACAACTATAGAGCTAAGGAGCCCATCCATGTGGAGAAAATAACACTGGCAGGGAGTTCTGATGTTTAAAAAGAGGTGATCGGGAAGTTGGCTGAACACTCTAAGGAGTGGCTGAGCCACACACATAGGAAAAACAAACAGCGAGGTCCAGGGAGACAAGTACAAAGGGCTCAAGATCTCACAGACGCAACAAACCAAAGAACGCATTAATTTGGGTTCACTAAGATTTTCAGTAGTGACAGTGACCCTGAAAACAGCCTGTCTCCACTTGCTCTGTTTCCAGCACCAATCACACTTCCCTTCGCAGCTGTGTCTGGAACGTGTTGTTTTCCAACAGCCCTCCCCACCCGCTTCCCTTGATGACAAACATATCTGAACACAATTGCTTTTGGTACACTCTCAGTTAAAGTTTCAAAGCAGGGAAGGAATTGACCTCGAAAAACATTGTATCAGAGTTACTTTCTCAGAACAGTATTTATTTACTATAGATAGTTTCTTTTCCAAAATATTCTTTTGAAGAAACATACAGACACACACGGACACAGACACCTAAGGTGGGGGGGGGGGGTGGAGGAGAGGAAGAGAGGGGAGGGAGGGAGGGAGAAAGAGAGAGAGAACTATTCTCATGAATTAAGCTGGAACCAACCTAGGTGTCTGTCAACCGAGGAAAGGATACATAAGATGAAATTGTTTTCAGTCCTAAAAAAATGAATGCAACTGGAAATAGTCATATTGCAGAAATTATGCCCATCTCAGAAACACAAATACATGCTTTCTCCCATATGTGGTGCCTAAATTTTATATAGATATATAAAAACCACGGAGGCATAGATGACATAAAAGAATGTGCCTGAGGATGTAAGGGCCAGACAGGAATGGGGAGAGTGGTGGACAGCAGAGAATATGCTCAAAGCACAGTGCACGCTTGTATGAAAATGTGATTATGATCCCTGGAGCGTGTGTGTGGACGTATGTCAACAAAAAGGAAGATGTGAACATGAGAAGGTGGAAGGAGCGTGTGAAAACTGAACAGTGGGAGGCAAAGGAGGATTAAAGATGATCAGAGTATTATATACGTGGATGAAATGTCATGATGAAACTCATTACTTCATACGATTAATAAATGCTAACAAAAAGTGGTCAGTCTAATAAACATAAAATCATACTGCAGAATATTTCAATATAGTGGCCATATCTTTTATACACTTTAGTGAAAACTTTCTGGCCTCCAAACAGAATTTCAGAACAGGATTAAGTCACCTATATGTTCTCATGCTGTCTACCCCATCAGAGTATGACAGCCACAACACAATTGTCTGTGTTTTCACAATGACTCTGACTACGCAGATGAAGCCACACAAGCCTGAAGACCTCATGTGTCCATCTGACAAGGGACTCACCTCGGAAGCTGTCGAAAGTCTCCTGAGTAATCTTCATATTTATAGGTCACAAGATGCCAGTCAGAGTTGTAGGTTTTGATGCACTGTTCGGGATTTAGACAAACCAGAGAAACAAAGTCAGGTGACTTTCTGGGTTATCAGACCCTAGAGACATACCAAAGTTCTGCGATCAATCATGGGCTGTCAAAATTCTACCTGCAGAGTCTTCCACGAGGTGTAAGACTTTGAACCAGTGAAACATGACCCTTGGGAAAAATGCTGTTTCAAGTTATCAATATTAATGATCTGACAGCAGCTTTTATATGGTGACATTGAAATAGCAATTACTATTCCTGGCTTATAATCATTTGTTTTTATAAAAAAAAAAAAGTTATGGTGCCATGGCGGTTTGAAGGAGAATTGCCCCCCAGAGGCTCATATATTTAAATGTTTGGTCCCTAGTCGGTGAAACTGCTTGTGAAAGATTAGGAGGTGTGGTTTTGTTGGAGTGTAGCCTTGTTGGAGGAGGTGTATCACTGGAGGGTATAGAATTTTGAGATTTCAAAAGCCTGCACCATTCCCAAAGCCTCTCACTCAGGCTCATGTTTGTGAATCAAGATGAAAGTTCTCAGTTACTGCTTCCACACCATGCCTGCCTACCATTCTCCCTGCCACAAGGGTCATGGACTCTCCCTCTGAACTGTACGACCCCAATAAACTCTTCTATAAGCTACCTTGGTCCGGCAATGGAAAAGTTACTAAGACAGTTGCATTTATTTATTTGTCTGTGGGGAATGCGCTCATGTAGAGGCTGGAGGGCTCTAGCAGGCCTGGACTTGGCAAGCATGGTGCAGGCCGGCCTTGCCCATGCCCTCCCCCTTTCTTGTAAACCACGGATTATATCCCTAAAGCTAGCCATCAAGGTCTGTTCCTCATTTGGACGTTTTCTTACGCCAGACTAATTCCTCGGGCTGACTACCGAAGTCCAGAAATCAAAAGCCCCTTTGGCTCACCTAATTAACATGTGTTGTGGAATAATCTTTTTGTACACTGTGAAGATGTGTCACTCTGATTGGTTTGACAAAAAGCTGAACAGCCAATAGCTAGGCAGGCTTTGCTGGGCAGAGAGGACACTGGGAAGAAGAAGACGGAGATGCCAGGAGACGCAGAGCAAGCAGTATGGGCACTATGGAGATGAGGTAATAAAACTATGAGGCAGAAAGTAAATTAATAGAAGTGGGCTAACTTAAGTTATAAGAGCTAGTTAAAAACAAGCCTAAGCTATTGGCTGAGCTTTCATAATTTATAATAAGTATCTATGTTGTTTTTTTGTGAGTTGGCGGCCCAAAGAAAAAGCCATTTACAAACATGTCCAATCAAAGCATACCACGGCATCCTAGCCCACTCTAACAGACACCTCTCCTTTTTCTCTTCTTAAAAATTACACCTACAAGGTCATTTGCTGCTGTTTTCTGAGTTAGAAAGCAGCTACTTTAACCTTTCTTCCCTACTTAATAAAGGATCTCTCTGTGAAAACAGGTGTTTGGGTGTGGTTTGTGCGTAATCCAGGGTCTGGGAGGGAGTCTCCATGGTGTGTGGGTCCTTTCAGAGGCTAGAGGACAACTTGCCAGAGTCAATGCTCTCCCTCCACCATATGGGTCTGGAGGGTCAAACTCAGGCCAGCATGCTTGGCAGCAGGTGCCTGTATCTGCTGACCATCAGCACATGGTTTGGGAAGAGGCCATATGTCTTAAGTGCATGAGCCTCAAGACCCTTTCATGTTTACTAATAGAACTAGAGCTGTTAGTACTGTCACTTAAATCTGTCCTTGGTTTTTCTTCACATTCCTAAGTGACAGAGTGAGGTTATGAGGAGGAAAGATGTAGACTCCAACTCACATGGCATCATGGCCTTTTTACGTGTGTGTGTGTGTGTGTGTGTGTGTGTGTGTGTGTGTGTGTGTGTGTGTGTGTATACTGTATGGGGCACTCACTCCACTGCTAAGCTTCTTTTAATGACACTAGTGTTCACACACTACATCAGAACTTCCTCACTACATGACTACAAGGAGGGGCAGGGTGTCCTTCATCGCCCGTCTGGCATGTCGGCACCCATCTGAGGGCTGTGTAGTCTTAAGATGGACAAGGCTACATCAGTCAGATCTTCACATATGAATGAGTGGAATTTGGTAGCTGAAGGTCCAGCTTGTTAAAGTCAGCTTAGGTCATGTGAAATTCTAGATAGTTAGCTCTTGACTTGACATACACAAAACTGAGTACAGAAAAAGAGCATGTGAAAAGACGTATTTGTGCTATTTTGGGGGTGGGAGGTAAAATTGTCTGTGCCTAACGCTTTTGAACCAAGTCCCTATTCTTGTCCCAGCTCATTTACACCCATTGTTTGGTCTGTGTCACAGCCTCCACCCGAGCAGCCACCAACTCACAACAGTAATAACAGTGAGTGCTGCTTTTTAATTTCTATTTTTCTATGCCAGGCTTCACAGTAAGCAACTTTGCTTGAAAAGATATGAAGGGAAGGGAGTGTGGGTGTTCTAGATTACTCTTTGGAGGTAGAATAAACAGGAGAGAAAGGCCAAGGGCAGAGTCAGCCAGGGGAGGTGAGCAACTTCTCTCCATTTGACCATGCAATGGTAAACATTTTCAAATGTTATTTTATTCTAACAAATACTTTTTCACAATTTCCAGCAAAACTTTCACACCTGGACATCAGATAACCACATTCAAAATTAGATTCCAAAGCCACAGAATATGGTTTGAAAAGTCACACGTAGTTATGGGTTTTCCTACAGCTGCCCGTGGTCTGCCGGCCCCGTAGAGGCAGGCCTGACTCTGTGTAGCATTCTACTATTCTCTTCATCTGGCCATGACAGTCTCTCAAGAACTGTAGCAAAAGTTGCACCACCAACTTTCTAACCAGACATTAAACCATCCTGAGGTACAGCATGTGTCCAGCAAACTAAGAGCAAGTGGGGAGACCAAGGCAGAGGGTGCGAATGTTTTTATGAGTGGAGTATTTGAATACCCATATGTTTACAACTTTAACCAAAATGGGGAAATACAACACCTACATATTTAAACTTGTAAGGAACTAGGTAGTAAGGACTCAGTGGTAAAGGAACTAGCCACCAAGCCTGAGTTCAACCCTCTGAAGCCCACGGTGGAAGAAGAGAAATGAACTCTTGCAAGATGCATTCAGACCTCCATGTATGCATTGTGGTACGCATGTACATGTGTATACACACACACACACACACACACACACACACACACACACACACACACACTAGCAAATGTAAAATCAAAGGAACAGTAGAAAGCATCAAGCATTCTAAACTACCTAAAGATTCACTCAACAAGTGCCGGTGCCTATCTGATTGTAGGCACTGGCTAAATCCCAAGGCAGAGGCACCAAGCAAAACACGTGCCACCCTGCGTGACTCCAGAAAGTCTTGACATAACAGATTCCCCCAGGGGTCTAATAAGAAAACCGTGTCCAAATGGGTAGGCATGTGACCCAGCGTTAGTTCACCTTTCAGACCTGAGAACCTCAATAAGAATGTGAAGTCAGAGTGACAGGCATATGAAGGTATTTGTTTTGTTTGTCTGTTTTTTGTTTTTTTTGTTGTTGTTTTTTACAAGTTCACTGTCCTCTAGACTAGAAGGTGGAAAGCAGATGGAAAAGACGTAACACAGTTAAGTCACATGGGCTCCAGCAGCTCAGGATGGATCAGGGATTGTTTAGCCTAAAGTGATTCAAACACTTAACTGAGGGGCTGGAGAGATGGCTCAGTGGCTAAGAGCACTGGGTACTCATACAGAGGACCCGGGTTCAATTCCCAGCACCTACACGGTGGCTTACAACCATCTGTAACTCCAGTTCCAGGGGACCTGATGCCCTCTCTGGTCTCTGCTGGCACTGCAGACACATGACACACATGCACACAGATGACACACATGTGTCACACACACACACACACACACACACAAACATTCATACTCATAAAATAACTTGGGTTGGAGCCATGGCTCAGGAGTTAAGAACACTTGTTGCTCTTGCAGAGGATTTGGGTTCAGTTCCTAGCACCTACGTCAATTTACAAGCATTCATAACTCCAGTTCCAGGGATTCCAACACCCTTCTGTGACCTCCATGGGCACCAACATGAACGTGGTACACAGGTATACATGCAGGTAAAACAATCTAAAGAAATAATTTTAAAAGAACAGACAAATCTTTAAAAAATGTAACTGAGGGTTTTCCCCCACCATAAAAAACAAACAAACAAAAACAAAAACAAAACTTTTTTAAAGAGTTGGGAGAACTGAGTGATAATTTCGCCACATGCTCTAAGGCAGAAGTCAGCAACCGTTCTGTGGAAGTCCAGACAGTCCTAACACCATGAGCTTTCAGGGTCACTTTGTCTCAAGTCGGTTGCATTATGATTACAGTCCAATGTGTAAAGAGATGGGCAAGGCCATGGATTAATAAAACCTTAGTCACGGAAATGTCCGCAGGGCAGATTTTGTCTGAAGTCACATTTTTGCCAAAGCCTGCCTTTAAAGAATTGTTCATATCTATATAAACATACCTAGTGTGTGTGTGTAAGCCTGTGTAAACACACCTAGTGTGTGTATGGAAGTCTGTGTAAACACACCTAGTGTGTGTATGGAAGTCTGTGTAAACATACCTAGTGTGTGTGTGTAAGCCTCTGTAAACATACTAGTGTGTATATGGAAGTCTGTGTAAACATACCTAGCGTGTGTATGGAAGTCTATATAAACATACCTAGTCTGTGTATGGAAGCCTGTGTAAACATACTCAGTGTGTGTATGGAAGCCTGTGTAAACATACCCAGTGTGTGTATGGAAGTCTGTGTAAACATACCTAGCGTGTGTATGGAAGTCTGTGTAAACATACCTAGCGTGTGTATGGAAGTCTGTGTAAACATACCTAGTGTGTGTGTGTAAGCCTGTGTAAACACACCTAGTATGTGTATGGAAGTCTGTGTAAACATACCTAGCGTGTGTATGGAAGTCTGTGTAAACATACCCAGTGTGTGTGAAATTAAAGGTGCTACTGTGGTGGAGAAGGAAATGAAGCAGGACATAACCTAGGAAGTGACAGAACACTGCTTTAAACATTTTATACTCAGACTTTTTATTTTTAAATCTCTACTAAAACAAAATATTGTTATTTAACTGGTCTTCACTTTAAAAAGCACACCTTATTTGCAGTTTTACTAATGGGAATGTATCTCATTTAAATATCATCTAGAAAAAATTGGGCCCAACTCATTTTTAAATATAGTGTGTGTGTGTGTGTGTGTGTGTGTGTGTGTGTGTGCGTGCATGCGCGCGCGCGCACACAGGTGTGAAAGTCAGAGAACACCCTGTAGAGTTGGCTTTCTCCTGCTACGTGTGGGTCCTGGGGATCAAACTGGTGTTGCCAGGCACCCTTACCTACTGGGTCATCTTGCTGGGCCCCCAAACTCATTTCTAAAGGAAGAGGCATTTCAAGAAACAAAATTCCAGAAACTAATTAGTTTCTTCTACCTAAAAACAGCTGGAGGAATAAGCAAACACACAGGAAGCCAAAGCTATGCTTCTGGTTGGAGATGATTTCTCTTTGTTCAGGTTATTATTTGTGTGTTCAAACAAGAAAGACTGTGATCATATCTCACACAGGTCAGACATAGTCAGGTGTGCCTATAATTACCTGGTTCTAGTCCTTAACCTAACCTGCAAATACAAACCTACCAGGAAGCAAAAGAACCCATAATGCATTGCTGAATCGACGGTTACAAACTGTACTGGTGACAGCGTTCCATTTACCAGTTACCCTTTAGTCTATGTCCCCAAGAAAAACTCTGTAGAAATAGGTATTTGGGAATTACAAATGAGCTCTGCAAACATTTCCGTCCATTCTACACACCCAAAACTTTCTATTTAATTCTGTCATATAAATGTCATTACCTGTTTGACAGCATTCAGAAGAAGAAGATTTAGTGAAAAGGTAGGGGTGGAGGGAAACGTCTTTATAATGCACATGATGCAGAGAACATGAAAACCTACCTCAGTGACAAATAAGCTCTGTGCCTCCTCCTCTGCGTTCGAGGGGACCGTGGACCGTACATACCGCCCCTGCCGCCTCAGGACAGCCGTCTGTGAAGAGAACACAGGAGGAGCTGGTGAAGACTCACGGCCAGCTGAGGGCCTGCAATAGGACCAAAGCCCATGAAATACCTCCACTTTCCCCCAGCGGGTGAGGACAGCTGCCTCCTCAGGTCACTCATGACAGATCCAGTGACATTTTGAAGTTCCAATGCCCAGACGAGGTAGCAGGGCAGGCTAATTGATCACTAATTATTACATGAATCTACAGACCAAGAAAGCTACTTCTTGCCTCTGAAGATTAGAGCTATTTTTGATGCAGGAGATTTCAGTCTTACAATTTTTTTTTATTTTATTAGCACAGACTTAAACATTTGTTGCTCAAATTCCAAAAGATCTTTTAATAAAAAACCTGGAGTCTGATATTGAGGTAAATGCTGAAAGATTGGAGAGACAAAGGAACAAGTCACAACCACTACCTCTTACCTCACCAACTCCTCAGCCTGAAAAAGCCTTCTAGCCAAAAAGCCTCTAGCCAAAATGGGTTCCTTAGCTGAAAAGTTCCTGTCTCCTCACGCCTTATATACCTTTCTCTGCCCACCATATCACTTCCTGTCTCAACCTCTCTAGTGCTGGGATTAAAGGCATGTGTGCTTCCCAGTACTGGCATTAAAGGTGTGTACCACCACTGCCAGGCTCTGTTTCCAGTGTGGCCTTGAACTCACACAGATCCAGATGGATCTCTGCCTCTCAAGTGCTAGAATTAAAGGTGTGTGGGCCACCACTGCCTGGCCTCTATGTTTAGTCCAGTGGCTTGTTCTGTTCTCTGATCTTCAGGGTCCACAGTATATCACCACAGACAATGACTAAAAATAATGGATATCACTATGCCATAGTGAAATGCCACGGAGGTATGTACACACCACTACTGTGATTGTGTTCAATCTCCATATGTATACACCACTACTGTGATTGTGTTCAATCTCCATATGTATACACACACCACTACTGTGACTGTGTTCAATCTCTGTATGTATACACAACATACTGTGATTGTGTTCAATCTCCGTATGTATACACCACTACTGTGATTGTGTTCAATCTCTGTATGTATACACCACATACTGTGATTGTGTTCAATCTCTGTATGTATACACCACACACTGTGATTGTGTTCAATCTCCGTATGTATACACCACACACTGTGATTGTGTTCAATCTCCGTATGTATACACCACTACTGTGATTGTGTTCAATCTCCGTATGTATACACCACTACTGTGATTGTGTTCAATCTCTGTATGTATACACCACACACTGTGATTGTGTTCAATCTCCGTATGTATACACCACACACTGTGATTGTGTTCAATCTCCGTATATATATATATATACACCACACACTGTGATTGTGTTCAGACAAGCCCATTACCCTTCTCTTGTCCTTGCTCCAGCCTCTCCTTCTTCCCAGACTCTTTAAAAAGCAAACAACAACAAAACACCTCTAGATTCTAGATATGATAGAAAAAGTGTGACATTTGCTTCCTGTGTCCGCCTTGCTTCTCTTGCTGCCACAGCTCCATTTCTGTGAAAACAACCCACTTTTGCTCTTTATGGTTGAATAATACTCCACTGTGAATCTGACCACACTTCCTTACAGACCCAGGCTGATCGGTAGGTTGGCTATTGTGAGCAGTGCTGCAGCCAACAGATTTAAGGCATCTCGACAGTATTCCAACCTCAGTTACTCTATGTATAAGCCCCAGGAACGGGACAGCGAGATCCTGTGGGTAGTTCTAGTTTTAGATTTTTGAGGAACCTCCATTCTGACTTCCACAGTGGCTGTTCTAATTCACAGTCCCACCAGCACACGGGTCCATTTCTCTCCCAGATCCTCACCACCCTTTGTTGCTCACTTTCTTTTTAGATTTACTTTATTCTATGTGCATGAATGTCTTGCCTATGTGTACATATGTGTACCATATGCATGCCTGGTGCCCTTAGAGGTCAAAAGAAGGCATCAGATCCCCTGAAGCTGGAGTTACAGATGGTTGTGAGCCAGCACATGGGTGCTGGGAACTGAACCCCAGTCCTACACAAGAGCAGCAAATGCTCTTAACCACTAAGCCACCTCTCCTGCCCCCACTTTTTGTTTTCTTAATAGCCACTCTTACTGGGGTAAGATGGAATCTCAACCTAATTTCTAGTTGTTTCTGCCTGATAAATACCTTAAAGATTTTCACATATTTATTGGCCATTTATACTTCTTCATCTGAGAACTCCTGAATTCATCTGTCTATTTATTAATTGATTTATTTTGTGTGTTTAATTTTATTTCAGTTCTTTAATATGGATGCTAATCTAGAACAATGAACGAGTACCTGCCAAAGACTTTCTCCACCCTGTGGGGTGACTCGTTGCTCTGTTCACTGTTTCTTTGCTGGGTAGAAAGAAGCTCTGGAGCTTCTTGCAATCCCACCTGTCAACTGCTGCTACCTGATGGACTATCAGAGTCAGCTTCAGATTTCCAGGCCTTCCCCGGGATGTGTTCTCTAGCTGCTCCTGCTTTGCTTACATTACACCAATTGTGGAGCGCCGTCTTAAAGCCCGTGTTTAGATGGTGGCTTCCTTACTATATAAAGGGGATGGATGCATCTCTTGTCCTCCACCCAAGTTCTATGAAGGTGAACTATTTGTCTACTCTGTCCCTGGGGAAGTTTTAAGACCCTGGGTCTTGGTTTCTTAGTGAATAATTCAAACAAATGTTTATTTTTACTGTAAAACTGTTTTCAAGGTATGCTAGAGAGATACATGATCATAAACATGGGAAAGAGGTGCAAACTGTTCAAAAAGCCTTCACACAACATCATGTCTTCCAAAACTGCCAAAAATCTTACAAGCCAGCCATGACTACAATAGAGAAAACTGACCATCAAAGTCTGTGCATCTCACACAAGGGCACCTTCTGTGTCCTCAGACACTGTTATTTCCTTAGCTTGATTTACTGGCTCCTTCCACATTTTTTAAAATCTAACTATACATGTGAGACCTTCACCAACTGGATCACCTGAAGAAAAAGAACTGTGATCAGGTCACTTCAAGCCCACTTCACATTAGAGCACCAGAAAGAAAGAAAATTTGTTGCAAAAATTTCCCGGTAGAATTATGAACTCAGGAACCTGTCATTATGAGGCATTATTCCTTAACACCTGCCTTGGGTGAGAAAAATAACTGTCAATAGCTCTTCTAGATTGTTAGGATAAAAGGCTGTTATGCTCTCATTTGAAAAAGAAAACAACTTTAAATCAACAGAGAGACACTTAAGTCAGGCCTGGTTATTCTCATCTATAATTTCAGCATCTGGAAGGCTAAGTCAGGAGATTGCTATGTGTTCAAGGCCAGACACATACCAGAACACAGTCTGGGGTAGGGGGAGATATATAGAGACAGAGAGACAGACGGGGGGGGGGGGGGGGGGGGACAGAGGCAGAGAGGCTGAGACTTGATTCAAATTTAGGTTTACACATCAGTCATTTGTGATCAGTTCCTAACTGATTTTGACCAATCACTTTCTGCCACTAGAAATCACTATCTTCACCCACTAGAGACTTCATTTAAAAAAATGTTAGCTGTGCTTCTTTAGCACTCATCTGGCTTAAGTGTCACATTTGAGTTCTTGAACTACATTCCATCAGATCCATTTTAGATGCTCTCTAAGGTGGCCCGACCCTTTACCCTTCCTCACTGTAGGGATGCTGCTCTCATACCAAAAGATGGAGGCTACTTCCTCTTCCTCTGAATACAGACTGGTTGGGACTACCAAAACCAAGTAGGAAAGTCATCGTGTGCATTCCAAAGGTACCCTCTAGGAAAGGCACGTCCTTCCTCTTTCCAAGCTGAGCCAAGTGCCATACAAAGAATCCCCCTGTCTCTGCAGCTGCCAAACCTCATCTTTGTGCCATGGACATTGGTTAATGTAGAAACCCACAATTGGTAAAAGTGCGAAGAACACAGATCTGTGAGGTGCTCAGCCACAAATGGGACATCTGCATTACCCCTCCCCCCCCCCAAAAAAATTCAAGAATCATAATGGATGAAGGAGTAGAAAGACTGTAAGTGCCAGAGGGTGGGTAGGACTGACTGAAATGAAAGTATATTCTGGGCATGACAGGATCACTGCATTCATGAACTCATAGTCAACACAAGACCCACACAAAACCAAGACAGTCAACATTCTAGCATGGTGGGAGGATGGGCTCATAGCCCCACAGCTGAAGAGCCATTGACGGTTGATTGCTGCTGGAGGCAGTGGGCTAATCAGTTTTCTTTAGGGATGAAGGTCCTGGAAGATGGATCATGCTCCAGTGAATGGTCCCATGTCCGCGAAGACACAGGAAGCACAAAGGGGACTCAGTGAGTCATATGGTATGAAGTTGGGGTAGGGTGGGGGATGAAGGTGGGAAGACTTAGGGAGAGGAGGAGGGGTGAATATGGTCAAAATGCATTGTATGCATTATGAAAGTCTCAAAGGGCTGGTGAAAATATATTTCTAAAAATTCTACTATTTTGAGACTACTAGGAAAAAACATAAGATGGCCATTGAGAAGGACCATATTACACAATTCCACTCCGCCAAGGCAGACACATCACAGGAGTGAAGAGGCCATTTTAGACACGGCCTCTCTAGATAACTAGAGCAGAACCAGTCTACTGTGGGGTGTCTTTCTGTACACTGTGAATATGTATTGCTCTGACTGGTTGATAAATAAAACTGTTTGGCCTATGGCAAGGAAGCTTAGAGGCAAGCAGAAAATCCAAGGAGAGAAACAGGAAAAGAAAGGCAGAGGTAGAGGAGATGCCATCCCACCATCCAGGGAGCAGCATGTAATGGCACACAGGTAAAGCCAAGGAACATGTGATAACCTATAGATTAATAGAAATGGGCTGAGTTTAGTTATAAGAGCTAGCTAGCAAGAAAATTAAGCTATAGGCCATGGCCATGCAGTTTGTAATTAATATAAGCCTCTGTGTGTTTACTTGTCCAAGCGGCT